AGGTCGTGGACGGCCACGGTGCGGCCGTAGTAGTTGATGTCGTCGCAGCGCTGGCCGTTGGCGAAGACCTGGACGTGCTGGACGAAGCAGGCGGGGTTGGGCGTGGCCGGGGCTAGCGGGTTGGTGCTCCTGACGCGGAAGGCGATCTCGATCGACTCGGTTGATGAAGGATGTGCCACTGGTCAGCGGGATGCGGCAGACCCGGGAGGTCGGGGGTAGCTGGTGTTGCTCGTCTTCAGCCAGCTCATCTCGGCTCCGGCGATGACTACCTCCATGCTTCTTTACAAACGAAACGCATTTTGAGTCGTGCGGCGAAGGAAACTATTCCTCTACGCCCTATATCAATATAGACCTCAGAGGAATAGCGTTTTTCAGCGCAAAACCGTGCAAAAGCTATTAGTCTAGTCCGTATACAGATATACGGACTAGACAAATAGCATTTTGTAGTGCAAAACCGTGCAAAACCAGCTATTACTCCGGTCCGTATATGGATATACGGACTGGAGTAATAGCATTTTGCAGCGCAAAAGCGCCCATTTCCTGGAAGAAAGTGCAATTCCAAAACTGACTCACACCGCTTAAAACCCTTAAGCTAAAGGAGCAACCGCATGCAACCGCATGCCCTGCTCCGATCGAAAAGAATCAAGAGGAAGCTTTTGGAGCAAGTCCTGGGGCTGATCATTTGGGCCACCAGCCTAAGCCTGGAATTGAGATCTTGGCTTGCGCCTTTGTATGCAGATCTGCATTCGCCGCCAGGCTGCATGATTTCAAGAAACGCACGCCTATGGCCTGCCTTTCCTCGGCGCTGAACGCCAAAGCCGTACTGGCCTTGCCCGCGCACGGCATTTTCATGCCGCTTTGTTCAAAGGTATTAGAATACCAGCAAACCCCTGTGCGCAGACCATCGGACTTGCCTAGTGTGGCGCCCAGTCGCAAAACAGTGTGGGTGCGCAAAGCAGACCCCGCTGCCGAACACACTTTCAGGCAGATTTGGCGTGCCCGTTGCAAAGCAAGCCAATATTGGCGTGCAACGCAGCCGCAGACACATGTGCCGAAGGCACCAAAGTGGGCATAGGCGGCTGGTTCAATCCAGCCGGTCAATCTAGGATTTTCAGGAAGTCCAGCAGCAGTGGCCGTGCCTCACCAAACAAGCCCAGCGCTATATAGCTTGCTTCGAAACCTTGGCCCAGCTTGCGCTCATGCGGGTCGCTTGGACCGCCGAAGGCCAAGCCGTGCACGGCCTCTGCATGCCTTCCGGCACTGACTATTCGAGGCCGGAGTGAACAAGCTGTTCACTACAGCATGGCCCTTGTGCAACCAGAAGCCGCATGGGCCTACAAGCACAAATGGTCAGTGCTAGCCTCGCACATCCCAGGCGAGCGCAACGTGTGGGCTGACCAGCTCAGCCGCAGAAACACTTCCGCATTCGACAGCAAGCCGCATGCTCGCTTTCGATTTCGCCCACATGATTTCTGGCCCCATAAATTAAATCCGCGCTGTCATTGCATCCGCCCGACGCCCCGTGGTGGCCGGAGCATAAGAGTGCTTCGCAAACGCTCTGAAGAGGGGGCGATAGATTAGGCCTTTTGCTTGGAAGCCTGAAGTGGGGGCATTTGAGAAGGCTCCGCAGGGGGGTGCAGACACGGGGAAAGGACACGCACGGTCTTTCTCCCTGCACCCCCGAGCCTTGACTTCCAAGCAACGCCTTATAAAGAAAAAGAGCAAGCGCGCCTTTTGTCGGTCGTACTCTTTTGTCTTTTGATGCATGTTCCCTTACGGATTAAAGCAGTGATCAAGATTCTAACAGTCCATAGCATTCCTTAGCCACGTCGAGCATGCTCACATCTTGGCTTTGCATCACGATGGGCGTAAAGAGCTTCTTTTCCTTCTGCAGAATGGCCAGGTTAATTTCATGACGTTGCACGCGACGCGCGCATGATCATAATGCTGCGCATGACGCTTTGCAACCTCTCTTGCCAAATCTTTCATGTCCTTCTCTTGAAAAATCTAGCTGCGAAAATTTACTTCGCATACTACTATTGCTCTCGCAAATTGTGATTCTCGTGGTGCAGATACAGATGCGTACTTCGCGTGCTGCTTCTCCATTTAAAGGTTGTTTTCCGAGCTGGAACTGCGAGAGCAAACGTTCCGATTCTTTTTTTGTGCTTGGAAGTTGTGATTTCCGAGCTGGAGCTGCGGGAGCGCGCTTCGCGCGCCACCTTTGCACGTAGCTACTTATGGGCTTGGGCTCGCAAGCGAGGCCGCGCCCAGGCCAGACGCGGGGCTCCCAGATGGCTCCCAAGGTACCCAACGCCTTTGACGTGCTGAGAGCAACCGTGGTAGATCAGGTTGATCGGATCAACACGGGCGGAGGTACTCCGGCCAGTTTCATTCAGTTTGCCGATGTGGCGTGGACCTTAGTTCTATTTTGACTTGCAGCTGGAGTCCCCATCCCGAGTCCGGTCCTGCAATTGAGGTCCAAGAGAGGATTTTAACGCACTCAGGGCATAGGTGTCGACGCATGGCCCAGATTCTACGTTGGGACCACAAGCCAGGTCATCGCAATCCCGAAGGGTGAAAATCCTCGACCTTCATCTGGTCTCAGCTCCGAATCGCCGATGTCGGAGAAGGATACCGAATCAGGATGATGCCGCTCTCAGCACTTCGTGGAATCGTCGATCGAGAACCAATGACATCCGCTTCTCAACCTGTCTCTGTCGATCAGATCAAGTTCTTCCAAATTGAACCCCCCCGTGACAAGCCCAGGGTTCGACTAGTCTTCAACGCTTTTTGATTGCGTTCACAACGAGAGCAGTCCAAGAAGACGAACTCAAGAACGGCGTTGCTGAACTCGTCAGGTTCGTTAAGGGAAGGCTGCAACCTGGCACTCGAGCAGCGCGATTCTACACGCAGCGGTTGGTGGTGGGGACAAGAGTGCAAGCATGCTTGGTACGGTGGCGGCAGACGGGCGCGTCGCCTAGGTTGCAAAAAACGCGAGTGCCCTTGGAGATTAAGAAAGGTAGAGCTTGGCGATGGGGAAGTGCGGCAACTCCTTGCTGGTCAGGCAAGACCTGTGCAAGGGCAAGCCACGAACATCTCCGTGTCTTCCGACTTGAAGACTCCGGCGAACTGCATGTCAGCAAAGTTAAGTTGATGCGCGGTTAAGTTGATGCGCAGCTTTCTCTTTCGCCTTGCTCCAGGCATTGCGGCCAAGGCGTCTTCTGTTCGTTCGGTGGCTTTTTTTTTTGGCAGCCTTGAGTTCTTCGGTCTTTGGCAGAGCCGGACATCAACTCCTGGGTGCGTCTGAAAGTCCGCAAGCTCTTGCGCTTTGCTCAACGCGGGCCTGTCATCGGGTCACCCCTGTCACCTAACAGCGGCCTGTTCATGCGTAGTCTGAAACACAGTACGCCTGGCTTGCAGCAAGCCCGGGAAGATGTTGAACATCAGCCCTGTCAAGACCCCAATGAGGCCCGGCGAGCATTTGGGATGGAGGTCAGACCTGTCCGATGGAGCGCGCGTGCCGCGTGCCTGCTCCAACGGCTTGCCTGTCCGAAGGAGACCTTTCCCACTCACGCGAACAAAGTTTGGGTAACAGCTCAGTCGCCAGGTGCAGACGGTGTAAAGGGTGCAAATAAAATCTCCACCCCCGAATTGGGTGGCTTTCCCAAAGGCTGTGCCAGCCTCAGAAAGGAGTAGCCAGGCCGATTTCTTTGAACATTCCAGTGCACAATCGAGCTCGGTTCGCGAGGATGCGCAACACATGTCTCGCATATCTTTATTAGTTGGGCGACTTCCTTCCCAAAACAATTTAGAAATAAAGCCAACAAGAAGCAATGTTCGGCCTTCCTCTTTTCAACACAGATCCCTGTTAGGACCCTAGTGCAAATTTGTCGCCCTGCCAGGTGCTAAATTCAAATGGTCAGGGATCTTTGCTGCTGCGTCCCTTTTTGAAGTCGGATGGTGAGAAGCTGGAGCGCAAGTTGGCAATGCCAATGGGTGAACGTTACATCCTCAGCGTGTGTGCGGTAGAGTGGTTTGGTCAGTGTTGTGCTTCTTCTTGCTCGTATCAAAATGACCTAGACGGCCTCACGTGGTGCTCTTGTGTTTGTTCCCGAATCTGTGCAGTGGAGAGCGCTGAGCATCAAGATCGGGCTGCCGCCCCCCCAACCCCTGCTGGTTTTTAGAACGTTTACAGAAATGAACGCACCCTTTGTTGAATCACCGCTGCTTCGAATATCATGGGCGGGGGGGGCTTCCGCCCCCTCTGGTTTTTGTTAGAATGTTTTAAGAGATTAACGAACCCTTTGTTCAATCATCGCTGCCTCGAATATCCTGAAGGGGGCGTGCTGACGCCTCCCCCCCCCAACCTGTGTTTCTCAGTTTTTGTCCATGTTCTCTTTGTCTTCTTCTTTTTCCCTTGCGAAGTGCTGCGCCTGCCACGAAATCTTCACCTCACCTTGCGAAAGTGATGGGCCTGCAGCGAAAGCTGTACCTGACCTTGCGAAAGTGCTGCGCCTGCCACGATGTTTTTTTTTTTTTTTTTTTTGTTGTGTGTCCCTAATAAGTTTCTGTTTGATCTTGAGGAGTAAGTTTTTTGGATGCCTAACATTGTTTTGATCCCTCACCCCGACCCAGCGGGGCTGTCAGTTGAAGGTGCTTACAGATTTGAGGTTCAGCTGTAGACTTCGGATGGTGCTTGCTTCAGGTGACTTAAAATGATTTTCAATGCCGGCGCGCGGACGCCCAATGAGGGGCTTGCAAAAAGCGCGCAGCATGATGCGACCGCGCAACGAGTCAAAGCACCGAAGAGCCGGCATGTCATTGTGGCTCGTAGTCGGCTGAATGAAGTAGTCGGCTGCCCAAGCACTAGGACACACTCCGCTCAAATACAAATCAGCACTTCTGGGCCATGATTCACAGCACCACCGACATGGGTGGTGTTTAGTTCTGTGTTTGACGGCACATTGCCAGTCCTTCAAAAGAGCATTCACATGTGTAGTGTGGCCTGGCAGGAATCGTATAGCCATGGTCAGACAAACGTTTGAGGAAGAGGACAGAGTTGGGTTTTCAACACTTTGGTCATGGCGATTATCTCGCCAGGAGGCATTTCAACGAGGCCATGATGAAGAGGTCGCACGACCTCCCAAGCCCAAGCGGCCAAAAACACAGAAAGGGAAGATTGAGAAGGAGAAGGAGAAGGAGAAACTGGAGAACTCGGAGATCTTGGAGGATATGCATATAGGCCCCATAATTTTTTGGTCGTTTGAATTGGCAAGGATTTGTTGGCAAGGGATCTTTGGCCAGGCCGAGTGCGCAGACTTGTCACACCGGAAATCCATGATGGATCTCTTCTCATCGGCACTGTCCGTGATGTCACAGAAGAGGCGGGTCCATGCCTCATTCCAGCAAGCTATCTTTTTGGCAATGGAGGAGCTCACATTGACGCTTGCGTATCATATGGTCGCGTGCCTTGGCATGATGTCAGCGTCTGATTTTCTCCCAAAGCCAAGTACATTGGGCAGAGCAAGCAACTCTAAAACCATGAAGCCCAGGTTTGTCCAGCGCAGAGAAGCTTCTGAGTCCCAGAAGAGTTTGCTGGAGCTCTACGAGCCTGGCCAGATGGTGGTTGCCGTGGTCCTCGCCGTGTCTGAATTTGGCGGGAGAAGACTCCGGCTGGACGCGTCCCTGCGCCCGCGCCTGGTGAACGCGGGTCTGACCGCGCAGAAGCTGCAGAAGAACATGTGGCTTCCGGCCACCGTGGTGGGGGAGGAGGAGCACGTGCTGAGCCTGGACTTCGGCATAGACGTGGCGGGGCTCGTGAAGAAGACCGAGTTTCGGGGGAAAGTGGCCAGCGCCGGCAGCATCGTCATGGTGGCGGTGCAGGCGGTGAACGCCTCCGTGAAGTGCTCGCTTGCTTCCAGCGAGCCGATCTCCGAGCCCCTGGAACCGGCTCTGCTGAAGGCCGGGCTGCTGGTGGCAGCCCGGGTCAAGAGCATCAGCGACGAAGGTCTCGTGGTGAACTTTTGCGGCGCCGGCGGCATCATCCATTCCCATTATGCGGGCCCCGGCGAGTGGAAGAAGAACCAACGGCTGGCTGCCCGGGTGCTTGCGGTGATTCCAGGATCACCGACACTCGTTCATCTTGCTCTTCTTCCTCACATCTTGGATTGGGTGCCTGCGAAGCTTCAGCACGAAGTTGGAGACCTGCTCGAGGGAGAGGTCCTGGATTTCCAGCGGAAGTACGGCTGCAGGGTGCGCTGTGAGGAAGCTCTGGGCTTCTGCGCCATGTCGAGACTCTCAGATCCGGAGAAGGATGTTGCGGCGTCAACGGTTCAGCTGGGCTTCAGGACACTCACTGGCCCAATCTCCCACCTTTTCACCCAATCTCGACCTTTTTTTTTTCTTCCTTTTTTCTTCCCACTTTTTTTTTGACCTTTTAGTATGTTGGCGGATTTGTTTCGTCCACAAAGAGGTGATAGCACCACTTTTTTTGTTTTAAACTATTTCTACCTTTTATTCCAGCATCCAAGAACAAACTCCGGATCCTTCTTTGTTCCAACAAGCCTCCGTGTCTCCTTTTTGCTCACCGAAGGACCAAACTCCGGATCTTATTTTTTGTATTTTCCACCCTATATTCCAACATCCAACAAAACACAGATGGTCCTTTTTGCTCAGGACTTTGCTTGTTTTGTTTTTTTAACCATTTTAAACAAAATAAAAATAAAAAACAATAAACATATACCTTTTCTTCCAAGAAACAACTCCGGGTCTCCTTTTCTTTTCACCGAAAGGACCAGCTACCGGGTCCTCTCGCACAACTTCCTGGACGGGGTGCTGATGCTCACCCGCCGGCCCATGGACCTGACGGAGGGCGTGCTGGTCTCGGTGGCGCAGCTCGCGCCCGGGCAGCTGGTCACCGGCACCGTCTCGCGGACCGCGGACCACGGCGGCTCGTTTTTTTTTTTCCTTTTTTTTTTTCTTTTCTTTTTTGTACGTGGGGCCAAGGTTCCCCTTTGGCCCGGCCGCCTTGTTTTTTTAGTAAACAAGAAGCCTTTGTTGTGTGTGTGTGTGTGTGTGTGTGTGTTTGTTTTTCTACTGGATGCATCGGTGATGTCGTTTAGATGATCCTTTCTTGGCAGGTGAGCCTCAATCAAAACCGACCGGGGTAGATGAAGGTTAGTGAGGGGCAGTCTCAGCCGGAAATAGCTGCGGCCGCCTTTCTCATTCTTTACACGGTGCTGGGTTCACCATTTTTGTACCAGGTTTTGATTGTGACTCAGGTGTCTTTTTTCTCGTTCTTTCCCTACGCCCCAATCAAGGCATCCAAGTGAAGCTCAGCGACTACGTTTCTGGGCACGTGCACTTGCGGCAGCTGACGGATGTGCCCCTTGCCTCCGTTCCCAAGCGATTTCAAGTCGGCTCCAAAGTCAAGTGCCGCGTGCTCCACGTGCACAAGGCAAAGCGGCAGCTCACGCTTACCACGAAGAAGTCTCTTGTGCAGAGCGACTTTCAGCTGACGGCCAACTCCTCTGCGAAAGTGAACATGCTGGTGACTGGATATGTCAGCAGCATCAAGGACTTTGGAGCTATTGTCAGCTTCTATGGTGGTGCGCGTGGCTGCTCGGCTTCAACTAGCTGTCGTTGCTGTCTTTGCAGGAGAGGCAAACCCAATCTTCATCACCCGCGGTTTAACAAAACCGAACCCACACTCTGTGTCATGTGGGGAGCCCTTGAGCCGGCTTTCAGGTCGTGCACACTTTGCACTAGCACTCAAATCTGCACGTATTCAAAGGCATGACAATTTGTGGACATGTGTCGAAATAGGGGTTCCTTTGGGTTTGAACTTTCAAACCAACCAAAAGAGGGTTGCTTCAACAAAGCGACAGACCCAAACATCTTTTTCGACTTTTGGTTTTCTCCTTTTGTTGGACTGGGGTTCCCCTTACACGCCAAACCTCGGGGGGTTGCCCTGGGACGTTTGAGGGGTTCCTGCCACCGCTTCGCCTCCGCCTGGTCGTCCGGCCGCGAGTCGCGAGTCGCGTCGCGGGTCCCAGGCTTGCTGCGGCGGAAGGAGATGGAGGCGGAGGAGGCCCCGGCCCTGGGCATGGCCGTGGTCTGCCGCGTGGTCCACGCCGCCCGGCGAGTCGGCGATTCGCGCGAGTTTTGACGAGCTCGAGGTGATTTTGCCGTAGGCCGTGTGCTTCTTTTTTTCCCCGACCTCTTAGGCTAGTTGTGCATTAAAGTTCTTTGTTTTTCTCTGAAGGGAGCGCGTTTGCAGATTTTTGGGAGGCGGCTTTGCTGGCTTTTTTCATGCGTGCTTGCATTTTTTTTGGTTTTTCTGCAGCGGAAGGCACGGCTTTTGATGGACTTTGGAGGCTTTGTTGAGGCTTTTCTCAGGCTGGATGTGTCTTTGGGTTGTTAGGTCTTTTTCCCAGTTTTCGTTTTTGGTCCAGGCGCTTTTGGGCCATTCTCGTTCTTTTTTTTTTTTGGCTTTTGCTCTTCTCGGCTATCGACCAGGCTATCGACTATTTCCGGCCAGCTCAGGCCGCTAGGTTCACAAAGTTCGCGATGCGATCGCCACTCACCTCACGCCTTAAGGCCAAGCAGTGGCATGTCAGATGACCAGAAGGCTCGAGAGCATATGCGACTGCGCGATGGCGACGAGTGCGTGTGTGTTGCGTTTAGTGCCTGGGACGGACGCGCCGCGTGCGTGCCGCAAAATCTGCAAGCGCAGCTGTGCTGTGAAGGTAGGCAAGTGGGCCGCGTGGGCTGTGGGCGGTCCGTGCAGTGTGAGCAGGGAAGGTGCGCGGCAAGGGACATGTTTACGGTGCCTTGTGGTTACCAGTGTTGTCTTTTTTGAGAAGGCTTTTTTGGTGTTCGGGGTTTTGACCCATAATTTAGATCCAAGGTGGACCGCAAGCTGGACCGCATCACGCTGTCATTGGACCTAGAGAAGGGCAAGTCAGCGGCCGAATTGGCGGCCAGCGCCCAGGAGCCGATCCTTTTTCGGACTCGGGAAGTGGCCGTGGGTCAAGAATAAGTGCCCAAAATGGAACCCTGGTAAATGGAAAAGTAGACTAAAACCCGCGGTCCAATTCCTGGTTCAATTTTGACGCATACCCAGGCTTTTCGACCCGGTGCCGGGTGCGTGAGGAGCCGGTGCCGAAAGTGGCAAAAGCTCCGGCAGAGAGCGGCCAAGCGAGCGAGACGGCATCTTGGCGATTCGCTCTTGCTATTGCTATCTGCTTTGGATCTCTTGCTGGTACGAAATCGGGGGAATGAGAGTTGTGGAATGAATCGGAAGGGGATTCCCGCTTTTAAAACGGGTCACTCCATGACTCTCATTCCCTGCTGAGCACCGCACCAACAAGATCTTGTTTATTTTTTGCACTTGACACTGAGTCTGAACTGTCCAAGGTGTGCCGGACCGTAGCCCGCAAGGAGCTCGAGTGCAACAGTTCTCTAGAGTTTCTCATGGGAAACCACGGAATTGTCGACGCTGTGCGCGTGTGTGTGTGTGTGTGTGTGCGCTTGTCATTAGCTGGACAGAGTTGCTTAGCTCGCATGTCAAAGTTCGCCAGCATCCTCAATTGAACAGATCTGTACTTTCTCTCTTGACTCGCTACCGGACCTGTTTGTTTTGCACACAGCACAGTTCAATGTTTTTCGTGTGAAGTTCTTTGCCCATAAATTGTTGAGGTGCAATACGTTGGATCAATTCCGCGATGTCCACCAGCTGCCCCAACCATAACCATGAGACACACACCCACTCAAAATAAGCCCACAACGCAACTGGAAACGTCAAAGCCTAAAATCTCAAAGATGCGCATGCAAGACACAAGTTTCAGCTCCCAACGCAAATAATCACAAATAACAAGCTTTCCAAATCAAAGTTCAAGCCAAGAGGCAAGTGCAAGGGCAAAGTGAGCTCAGCCAACATTGTTTTGCCGTTATGGGCATGCATTGGCAGGGGAAGGGATTTGTTGTTCTTGGCATTTGGGTGACCTTGATTTCGGCGGACGTGTGCCGACATCCCACATTGCGTTGTCGCCCACATTAACGCATGCGTCTTGAATTTGCTTTTCCAACTGGTAGAGAGGATGCAGTTGTTTGCTGGCTGCTGTTACTGCAGGATGTTGCTTGCTTTGGGCCAGGAGAGAAGAGCAAAGACCATCCGGCGCATCAAGCGACCGGAGGAGCAGTTGCAGCCCGGATCTCTAGTGACGCTGCGTGTCCGCAGTATTGCCGGGCTACAGCTCCTTTGTTCCGCGCCGGTGCATGTGCGCGGTCACGTGCATGCGACGCAGCTAGTGGACATTGGCGATATGGCGAACCACGGGGCAATGCCTTTGCAGAGGCTTCGGTCTGCTCGAATCCTGGAAGCCAGGGTTCTCAGAACGAAGCAGCGGGATTCAGAGACCGGGAAGGGCGACAAGATTTGCCACGTGGAGTTGACTTGCCGCCCATCATTGATGGATCCGAAGGATGCCTCCGAATATGAGAAGGCCTTGGTGAGATGGCCGCTGCTTTTGCCAGGCACTCGGCTCGTTGCCGCCGTCGTGTCAGTGCAGAAGTCGTGCATTTGGATGGAGGTGGCGCCGGGCATCCGCGGCCGCGTCGCCTTGCTGGACTTGTCCCCGGACCTCTCGGTGCTGCGGGCGGTGGCGGAGCATTTCAAGGTGGGCCAGGTGTTCCAGGCGCACGTGCTGCGCGCCGTGAGCTCCCGCAAGGAGCTGGACCTGTCGCTGCTGGACTTCGAGGCTCAAAAGACCTGTGTGGGGAAGCTGCGGAAGGTCCACGAGGGCGAGGCCGCCGCGGTGTTTGAGCTGCCGGGAAGGCGTTGGGGCTCCGTGCACATCACGGAGCTCTTCGACGTGTGGGCCAAGCGGCCCACGCAACGACTCCACGTGGGGTCCCTGCATGAGGTGGCCATCCTCAATGACAAGGAGAAGTTGGAGGTGAGCCTCCGGCAGTCCCAGGTGCACGGCCACAAGGAGGTGCAGGAAGAGAAGCGGCCCAAGTCCGCCGAGGAGCTGAAGGTGGGCCAGAAGGTCTCGGGCTACGTGGTCTCCGCAGTGCCGCAGGGCGTCTTCGTGGCGCTCAGCCGGTCTCTCACCGCCCGGATCAAGCTGAAGGCGCTCAGTGACATGCCGGTGATGAAGGAAGCGGTCGCCAAGATGCACCCGCCCGGGTCCCTGCTCCGGGACATCATAGTGGTGCAGATCTCCGAGGGCCGCGTGGAGCTCTCTTTGCGCACGGGGGATGGGCCGGGCGGCCTCACCTGCGAGCAGCTGTCGGTGGGCGATGTGGTGTCTGGGAAGGTGAAAGCCGTGGAGCCCTACGGCCTCTTTGTCCGCTTGGACAACTCCAACGTCGACGCCTTCATCCACAAGTCCGAGATCGCGGACTCCGCCTCAATCACCGTGAACTCCTATGCCGTGGGCGCGAAGATCCACCAGGCGAAGGTCTTGAAGGTGGACGGCAGCCGAGTGGGGCTCACGATCAAGCCCTCGAACTTCTCGGGAGAGGAGCTGGAGGAAGACGCCGACTCGGATGAGATGCCGGAGATGCAAGAGCTCCTGGCCGAACTGCAGAAGACGCGAAAGAAAGGCAAGAAGCGGAAGGCCGAGGCCGGGACTGCGGCGAAAGAGGCTAAGACGAAGGAGCGCGAGCAAGAAGGCGATGCGGAGGTTTCTTGGCGAATGAGGGAGTTTTCCAGGGCCGAAAAAATGAGACGACGCTCGTGAAAAGAGCCCCATGCCAAGGTGTCGGAAGAGGAGCCCTGGCAGCCGGTGCAGAAGTCGGCCGGTGCATCTTTCGAGTTTGCGGAGTTCAAGGCCATGGGTTTTCGATGGCGCAGGTGCCTCTAGCAACACACCGCTGCGGTTTCCAGCCAACTCCGCCCTAGCGGGCAACTGCTGGCAGCCTACATCCAAGCATGACCCGCAGGGAACGCATGCAGAGGGGGCCGAAATGATTGAAGTGTCACGAATGTCCACCAAAGCAACTAGAGTCAGCAAGTGGGGATTTCAGCCAAGTGGCGTGCAAGTGGCACGACCATTCACTGGGACATGCAGACATGTTTTCCTACCCATGATGCTACCAGCTGAATTTAGGCCCCAAGCTTTTGCACTCTGACATGCTTCATGTTTTCTTGTATCTCCTTTTGGCTTAGGCCCTGGGGATCTGGCTTGACGCAAGACTCAATGGTCTCACTATGTGTTTGGTCCGAGAGTCAAGCACCTAAACGGACAGGGCCTTTGAGGTGCCAAAGAACCTCCCACGGCCGACGGCACCTAGAGGGTTTGAGGAAATTTATCTTCCAGGTACCCTCCAATGCCTTCCGTTCGCGGGAGGAAGGGAACGTATTTCCGCATGGCAAGCGCCTGCCATGTAGTGATAGTGCATGTTTTCACTTGTGCTGGGAAGACCGTCTACGTCGTGCTGGTATGGCATCCTTGTGTTTCTAAGTCCTAGCAATTTGACCGGCCACTTCAGCCCAGAAAGCAGGTTCGCAAAGCCAGTCAGCCCGCCGCGGCTTCATGAAACAGTCCAGTCCAAACATCCACACCTGGCGTTTGGCAGCCGATTTGTTTTCTTCCCTCGGCCTTCCTTTCTCCAATCTCTTCTTTTGTGCTTGAATCTTGCTCGCTTGTTGTCAGCGAATGTTCGTGCTCATTCCCGATCAATATTTTTTGATCTGCGAGCTGCTTTGCATGATCCCACGTGACCCCTCACCAGTGTGTGCGCAATCTGGCAACCCACACTGCCTCCTTTGTCACTCCGATCTTAACCCAGTTCGATTCTTCCCCAGAGTGGTGGACATTTGCTTCAAACGAGTTGGTGAAACGCCAACGAACATCAAGCTGGTCATTTGGCCATGGGTCAAAAGCCCGTACCTCCAGTGAACATCCCAATCCCCAGTAAAATAGACTAAAATGGGTGGTGCACCTACCCCAAAATGGTACCATTGGTTTTGAGTTTTGACCCACAGCCATTTGATTTCTAGATCCACATCATGATCTCATGCCTTCTCAACTTTCGCGGCGACACCCACTCATTGTGGCAGAGTTCACAAATGCTGTGAGAGCGCTGGTTTGCCCAATCTGTTGTTGACGAGCTGTCAAGAGACAAGACAAACACTTGACGCTTGCTTACATGTTAGAACACTTGCACAGTCTTTCACCTAACCGACAGTTTGCCAGCATCCGTTCGCAGCATGATGCCTTTGATCCATGGCAGCATGATTATCGGGGATGAATGACAGTTTTATGGCTTCGCCGCGGCATCGCCAAATAAAGCAGCCCTTCAGGTTGACTCTGCATCTTCCTCAGATGCTGCAGATGAGGAAGATGACGAGCAGACATTGCAGCTATCCAAGAGGCCAGGAGTTTTTTGGCAATTCCGCGGTTTGCGTTGCACTGAGCTCAGGCAGAAGAAAGCCAAAAGGAAAGAGGAGGATAAAGAGCTGCAAAAGCAGGAGGCGGAGAATGCTGATGGACGGTGGGCAGACGACCCGCAGAGCGTGGAAGACTTTGAACGGCTCTTGCTGACCCAAGGGGACACGTCCATAGTTTGGATTCGCTCCTTGCTTTCACAAACGCAAGTGAGGCAGTCCAGGGGTGGCTTTGCGCATCGGCGCGTCGCATCCAAGGCTACATGGCGTTTCACCTGAAGATGAGCGACCTGGAGAAAGCTCGGCAGGTCGCGGAACGCGCGGTGAAGCATGTTGCTTTGCTGAGATTTTTTTGGGGATGGAACTGTGATTGCACAGGACGCGTTTTTTTTTGCTTTGCACTCGCCCGTCATTCTATCTTTGACCATCTCCCAATCTCCAAGCCCAAACAGAGGCAAGCGTTTGAGAAGTGCCAGCTTCTCGCGTTCAAGGTGGGCTTTGCTGACAGCAAGGAGAGATTCAACGTGTGGGTGGCCTACATGAACTTGGAGTGCACCTTTGGAAGCGATGAGACTTCTGACGCGATCTTTCGCCGAGCTGCAAGTCACAACGAAGCCAAGCAGGCGTGACCTCATCATATCAGAACATGCAGCGGTTCGAGTTACACTTGTTTTGCTTTGAACATCGATCTTTCAACCATTTCTCCGAGGTGTACATGCAGCTGGCCAGGATACACGAGCGGAACAAAAAACCTTCCTTGGCGGTGAAGGCTTACGAGGCGTGCACGCGCAAGTTTCCGCAGTCGAAGAAGGTCTGGATGTCCTTCCTGGGCTTCCTCTACCAGCCTGTTGGCTGCATGAGTACCCTAAAATGGGATCCCAAAACGGTTTTGACCACCACAGCCATGTCTTTTGTCTGAACATGCAACCCGTGGAGCCCCGTGTTTCCTGGTCGTTTTGCGACCGGTGCCCGGGTCTGAGGACGGGAGACGCGGAGGGGGCGCGCAAAGTGCTGCCGAAGAGTCTGGCCGCGCTGCCGCGGCAGAAGCACCCGGTGGTGGTCTCGAAGGCCGCGATCCTGGAGTATCAGCTGCTTGGCTCGGACGTTGATCAACCAAAGAGTTGAGATGAATCAAAGAATTGAGATAAGAAAATCCATTTTACCTGAACTCAAGAGTTGAGATGATCAATCCATTTTGAGGGCAAAGGAATGGATTCTGCATCACGCGAGGCATGGATCGCCGGATCGCGGGCGCAGCATCTTCGAAGGCCGGACGTTGTTGGGACCATGCAGCTTTGGCTCGGCGTCTCTTTGTTTGCCTCTCGCTTAGTGGTTTTATCCGCCGAATTCCGAATCAAACTTTGACACCTCGAATGCTCAGCCCTTCGCGAGCCATTTGCAATGCCAGTCGCTTTCGCTTTTGTCGCTTTTGAAGGTCTCTTGGACAGCTACCCCAAGCGCACAGATTTGTGGTCCGTATACTTCGACGCCGGGCTGCACATGGCGCGGCCTTTGGTTTCAGGGCAGTTTTCGGTTGAGCCCATATTGGTCAACCCCAGTGTGTAGGTTTCCCTGGGTGTAGTGGGGAATGAGACCACTTGTGGAGGGAGCATCCCCCAGGAATAAGCTGGGGTTGATGCAAATCTGGGGGCAACATCACCCAATAGCTGCTAAGGACGCCCACATCAAAGCGCACACGCCTCCGAAAGTGCCGGATCCCGACTGCAAGCAGATCCGACCCCTGTTTCTCCGTTGCTGCGCCATGCCGCTTCTTGACCAAGAGAATCCCGTCGGGTGGTCGGGAAGAGAGGTAGTGCTGCAGCACGAAGGTCAATTCGTGGAAGTTGTGGCAGAGCTTACGAAGTCAGAAAAGCATGTTATGTGTGTGCCGTTTTGTAGAGAACCAATGTGGCTTTCCTTGTGGTTTTCCTTGAAACTACCGAACATGGATAACTCTGCACTTTTTTGGAAAGCGGTGACTTTCCCGTTTTGCCCGTATTCCAGGCTGAAGGCAACGAAGATGCGGTTTTTCTTCAAGCGGTGGCTCGACTTCGAGATGAAATGGGGTGATGCCCAGAGTCCTCGCCTTAACGAATCTGTGAAGAGAGAGAGAGAGAGAGAGAGAGAGATAGAGAAACAGGAGAAATAGAAAAAGACCTCTATCGAACTTTCCTTCTCTCTCTCTCTCTCTTTGTCTCCTCTCTCTCTCTCTTTTCTCTTTCTGTCTCTTTTTCTGTTCTTTATTGTATTGGTTCAATTGGTGCAATCAACTTGCAATGTCTGTTCGCAGCGAGCCTGGCAGATAGAACTCATGTGCACGCGAGCCACCTGAAACACCCATGGGCAAGCTTAAAATCATGTCCAAGATGGCAGGCATCGTCAAATCGGATCACGCGAAGGAGAAGCACAGGAGCAAATAGAGAGAGCCCAAGGCAGCAACTTGCGGAGCCATGGGCACTGTGAGCCGCTTCAGCTTGGGCCCATACGAAGTGGGGGTTGCGTTGCTGCTGCTCCGCTTCTCCGAGGACGCGGAGGAGTCGGTGCTGGAGGTGCTGCTGCGCGAGGTGGGCTCGACGCGGGGCTTGCAGGAACTGCAGCGGTCCTGTCAGAGCGCGGAAGAGGAGATTTGGGACTCCTTGCTCTTCGGCTTGCAGTCTGTGGACTCGCCAGATGCCCTCTTCGACATCTTCCGCAGCTTGGAGTCTGCGATCTGCCGAGAGCTGGTGTCCACATCGCCCCTGCACTCGAGCGGCGTCTTTGGCCAGCTGGCCCGAAGATTCGTCCTCGCATTCAAGCAAGCTTCCTTTGAAGCCACAGTTGCTCTCTACGACTCAGTGCAGGAGTGCTTGAAGTCCTATGAGGAGGATTGCGGGATGGGATCCAAGGTGCATGGCTCTCCGCGCAATCCGTGCTTGAGTCCGGCTCCCAATGCGGCGAGTGACCATGACCCTGACGACCTCCACGCCAGCCATGTGGCCTTCTTGCGGTTTGTCGACGCGCGCCGCGACTGTGAGCTTCCCACCTCCAGCTCTGGCGCTGGCGTTGCTCAACCGGATTGCAGGATAGAGCACGGCCAGCTGCTGGCTGCATACCGCGCAGCCGCCGGCGACGACGCGCCGCGCGGAGGTTTGCGCCGTGCCGCTGTGCACTTGAAAGCTGAGAACCCCATAGGCGCGGTGGCGTCGTGCATGCGGTGCCTGTCCACGAGTTCCGGCGAGGTGAAGGCGGAGGCGCTTTCGCTTCTGGCCAAGGCCCGGTTGGAAACCCATGACGTCCTTGGCGCACTGCAACTGGCCGAGGAAGTCGGGGGACAGCTGAACGCCAAGCTTCAAGGCAACCTTTGCCTGGTTCAGGCAGAGGCACTTCTAGAGGCGCAAGGAACTGGAGGTGAATTACTGCAAAGCGTCGTGGACAAGCTGCTGCTGGCGGCTAACCGCTTCAAGGAAGCTTCAAGTACATCGAGTCAATATGCGCATTGTCACTATTTGTTGGCAAGGTGCTTTCATCAGCTTGGCAATGTGCATCAGCGGGACTACCATGCCCGGGAATTCAGAGCTTCACGGGTTTCTCAGCCTTCATGAGATGCAACTCCCAGTTTGCTCCTTTCGTGTCGGCGCGTCGGAAAAAGGAGATGGCAGCCATCGAAGCGCAACGGGAGTTGAACTCGTCGCGTCTGAGCGTCTGAGGCCAAGAGCAGGTCCGCGCCAAGGCCCGGGACTTTGTGGAGAGCCTCTGAGCAAAACAAAAAGCCGAAGCGAAGCGTCTCACTCCGAACGCGAACGCCTGTGCGGGCCGGCGCCAGCAACTTTGCGCCGTGCCAGAGGCCGCGTGGCGATCGTCCAGCGGAACAAAAACGAGTGAAAAAAAGCGGGAGCCTTCGGAGTGTCAGGTGTCAACGATGCAGCCCTGAACCTGCTTCGCCGCCCTGTGCGAAGTGCAAGGCTTGTGAGATGGTAGATGTGAAGCTTGGCTGGACCAGCGCAGTGCATAGACCTCATGTTTGGCCGGCATCCTGTTCCATGGTATTTTTTGATGGTTTGGCAACTGCGAAAAAGCAGAACAGAAAGCATGTGCATGTACACAACAAATACCCAAACGGTTTTCTTAATTACCATCAAAGGGTAGAAGTCGGTTTTTGTGCCTCCCTAAGCACTCACTCTGCGACCAGCTCAAATGCATCGTGCCACGCTGGCAGCCAGGCAGTGCTGGTTGGCCGAACCGAGGGACGCGCATGGGGTGGGCGATCGATCCGTCTTTTTGCTTCTTTTGGGAGTTTGACTTTTTCTCTTATTCTTTTCCTTCTTCTGGGCAACCAAAAGGAGAACACAGGATTCTTGTTGGGATTGCGCGATTTTCTGGGTCACCAAAAGGCACAGCGGTCACCAAAACAGCCGCGCCCACAGCTCTTTTGATGGGAGCCAGGTGGGCTCCGTTGGGGTGCCTGCGACGCGTCAGCCAAGGCCTCGGCTCTGAGACCATGGGCTCGTCTTGCTTTTTTCTTTTTCGAGGGACCATTTTCAAAACGGGCGGTGTTGTTTCCCTTTACCATACATGTTTTTGATCGGCCTTTTTTTTGGTTGCGGGCGTTGTTTCCCTTTACCATTTTTAAATCTCATTGAAGGATATCATAAAGAGTTGTCTTCTTTTTAATCTGCTTTGAAGCATACCGACTTTGTATTTTAATGTGAAAAGCAGAGGAGCCACCCGTTTTGGCTCATGCCTTCAAGCGGGCAAGCGGCCTTCGCTCGCAAGGTACAGGTGAGGAGTACCTGGACGTGCTGAGTGCCACACTGACGGAAGGCAGAACTCCAGAGCTCGAGAGCGTTCCAAGGTCGAGCTGAAAGCAGGCGAGTGCAAAGTGCCAAGCAGCGGATGGAGCTGCAGTGGCAGGCGGGTCCCTTTCCTTTCCCCTTTCCCCTTTCCCCTTTCCCCTTTCCTCTCTCTCTCTCTCTCTTAATTTGGATTCATTGGTTCTTCTTCCGTGCACGGACCTTCCCTTTGCCTTTGTTATTTGCTGCGTACCAGACACTGCGTCTTGTGACTTGCCAGGGCGAGCAATCTCTCGTTGCCGAGGGCAACCACCATTTCAATCGAGGTGTGGTGCTGAGTGAAGTTCCCTGCGACTTTGGCGCGATGGCTTCCAAAAAAAGAGGGCGGAAAGGAAGCACCAGGTTCCAATTGAGCCACGATCAAAACCCGGGTAGACGAAGGTTAGTAAGGGACAATCCCAACCATAAATAGCTGCGGCCGCCTTAAATCTTGGCATGGTTCTGGGTAGAAATGAACTTGCAGGTATGAAATTCCTCGAAGGGCCCAATGCGCTTGGAGTGCATCTCACCTACATGGGCAGAGTGAAGTGCCCCAGCGACTGCGGTGAAACCTTGGCACATCGTTGCTTGACGTGGAGGTACCGTCGCGGCGCTCGGGGCACGCCGGGCTGACAGAACCCTGAAAGCCCCTGATGTGCAGTGAAAAAATATGAAACATGAACAAAGCAGCTTTTGGAAGGAAACAAGACGCTTGTGCCTGGTGAAAAAGAACCAGCTTTTGGAAGGGGAAAAACAGACAACATGAAAGCTTCAAGCATCCGAAGCCACAAGAAGACGTTCAAGCTCAGGTGGGGCTTATCCCGGCGTTCCGTTGGCCGTCCGGGCCTACGTCAAATGCGCCTTGCGATAATTTTTGCTCGCAGAAGTCTCAGGTCTGCGATATGCACTTCAAGTTGTGACCGACCCGTGAGACCTGGCGGTTCAAAGATGTCACGCGTGTGCTTCCGGCAAAAGAAGGTTGCAGCTAGGTCTTGGCTGGCTTAATACCAACGCAGACACATTAGGCACACATTGTTTTTGCATGAGTTTGTCTCAGTTTGTTTGGCATTTTTTTCTTCTTCTTCTCCGAATTCCCAAAATCGTGATGAAAGTGTAGAGACCTCGGCGTGTGCACAGTCCTTATCTGCAAAATGGCGGTGTTCAACGACGCCCAAGGGCGCAGCGATTCGGAGGGCTCCAAGCAATCCCCATGCTTGTGGGTGGTGGTTGCTGGTTGCAAGGACGAGAAAGAAGAGGTGCAGGAAGAAGCAAAAGAAGAAACGAAAGACGAAGCGGAAGAAGCGGAAGCAAAAGAGCATGAAGTCGCGACCGTATTGGCCCGGAAGAAGAGCAGGGAGGAAAGAGAGAGAATCGGTTTCCACGAAGACAAAGACCATGCAGCGCCTCCTGAAATTACCACGGAAGGTAGCCATTTTGCGAGATATGCAGCCGTCAAAGGAGGGAAATGACCCTAAGCTGCTTGAAATTTGAGTTGTGCCACTGATCAGTCCTAACTTTGGGAAAGATCCATAAAAGTCAGTTTTCCGTTTCGGTATTCATTCTCTCAAGGTATCGGTTCAAGTCCCAGAGAATCCCATGCTTTACTTCATCTTTTCCACAACACCTCCCACTTCCCCAAACCAGTATCTTCTCCAACCTCGAGGCACCTGAAGTGTAGGGACAATGAAAAAGAGGTAAACATATTGAGAATGCTTGCAGCCGAAGGCGGCAATGATCCTGTTCATTTCGAGCTGCCTGGTGCCCATTACGGGTTTGCGGGTGGATTTGCCATCATGCGTTTGGTCGATGATGGCCTTTTGAAACTTGCGACGACAAATCAATTGGTAAATCTAAATTATATTTGATTTGTCCATAAAAATCTAATTATAAATTGGTTGAATTATTGTTTTAAAATATATATTTTTAATATGGTTTGGAATACATATTTACTCTATAAAACGAAACCGTGAAACTTGCTCGTCGCACTTGCGCGCGTTTTCTCGGACCGCTTTTCCGAACAATCCCGGATATTTCGTTGAAAATTGGTCTGGACTGCCCCTGGAAGATGTAACCGCTTCATATTTCCTACGGACCGCTTGCCTAAATCTGTCCGGGCTACCCCGGCATATGTGCGGAAAACATAGTGGCTTCATTTCTTGTAGGGACCAATATCCCGAAATATTCCAGATATTTCGGGAAAGCGGTCCGGGAATCGCAGCCACCCACCATTTTTTCGAAATGTTCTGAATATTTCGGGGACCATTTTCCCGAAATATTCAAAATATTTCGGGAAATGCTATTGTCGAAATATCCGGAATATTTTGGAAAAATTGTCTGGAGTGCGACTATCGAAATATCCGGGATATTTCGGAAAAATGGTCCGGGCTTTGAAAGCAGTCGTTGTGTCTTCTAGATCAAGAGTCTAGGCATATACGTTCCCATCCGTAGCCGTTGAACGAAGTTGTGTCTTCCAGATTGATAAAGAGTCGGGGCATATATCTGCCTGTCCATAGCAATTTTGGCTGAAATCTTGGCCCATCTTCCGAGAGTTTGGCAATGCGAGAAGCTGTGAGCCGCGGCCGATTGTTGCGACCAGTGGTGTCTTTCCCTATTCTTTGGGCGAAATCAGTTCGGCTTTGCTTGCACCCAGGATGTTTTCTGGTCGATCGCGTTTTGCTCGCTCCACTGGGCGAGGGCGCCAGGGGACAAGCGGCCAGCGGCCGCGTGCAACTGGGGCACGCGCAGCCGAGAGCTCGCACGCGCGTTCTTGCCTCACGGCTCTCGGGCTCGGAGTTGGATGCGTGCACGTGCGCAGGCGAAGCCTGTGGCATGTCGACATCAGAATCCGGCGCGAGGTGTGTCTCTTTTTGTCTCTGTCTCTCTGTCGGTGTCTTTCACTGTCTCTCTTTGTCTGTTGGTCTCTCTGTCTCTGGTACTGTTTCTTTGTCTGTCTGTCTGTCTGTCTGTCTGTCTGTCTGTCTGTCTGTCTGTGTCTGTCTGTCTGTGTCTGTCTGTGTCTGTGTCTGTCTGTCTGTCTGTGTCTGTCTGTGTCTGTGTCTGTCTGTGTCTGTCTGTGTCTGTGTCTGTCTGTCTGTGTCTGTCTGTGTCTGTCTGTGTCTGTGTCTGTCTGTGTCTGTCTGTGTCTGTCTGTGTCTGTGTCTGTCTGTGTCTGTGTCTGTGTCTGTGTCTGTGTCTGTGTCTGTGTCTGTGTCTCTGTGTCTCTGTGTTTCTGTGTCTCTGTGTCTCCGTGTCTCTGTGTCTCTGTGTCTCTGTGTCTCTGTGTCTCTGTGTCTCTGTGTCTCTGTGTCTCTGTGTCTCTGTGTCTCTGTGTCTCTGTGTCTCTTGTCTCTGTGTGTGTCTGACTGTTTGTGTCTGTCTGTCTGTGTCTGTCTGTCTGTGTTTGTGTGTCTGTGTCTGTGTGTCTGTGTGTCTGTGTGTCTGCGTGTCTGTGTGTCTGTGTGTCTGTGTGTTTGTGTGTCTGTGTGTCTGTGTGTCTGTGTGTCTCTGTGTCTCTGTGTCTCTGTGTCTGTGTGTCTGTGTCTGTGTGTCTGTGTCTGTGTGTCTGTGTCTGTGTGTCTGTGTCTGTGTGTCTGTGTCTGTGTTTGTGTCTATGTCTGTCTTTGTCTCTGTGTTTGTTTTTGTCTTTGTCTTTGTCTTTGTTTGTTTGTTTGTTCGTTTGTTTGTGTGTTTGTTTGTTTTGTTTGTTTGTTTGGTTGTTTGGTTGTTTGTTTGTTTGGTTGTTTGGTTGGTTGTTTGTTTGGAAGTGATATTATACAGGTTAAGCTTTATGAGTTAATTGATATTGTATAGGTTAATTGAATAGGAAGGATATTGTAATTGGTATATATAATATTGAAGATTTAATTATGTTTTTTGTATAGATTGGATTATTTTAGATTTGAATTATTGATATATATTATTGGGATATGAAATTTGAAAAATATATATTTTTGGATTTCTTATGATGGTTTGTTTTGGTTGAAATATTTATGGAGGAATAGAATATATTCTTTTAAAGGAATGGAATTAAATTTAAATTAATTGTGCTTTTTAAATATTTATTTTGTTTGTTTGCTTTTGTTTTTATGAATATAATTATATATATATATGAATAATTGTAAAATTGGAAAGATTTTTTATTTTATATTTTGATTTCTTTTTTCTCTTGTTATGGGTTTTATTTTATATACCTTTTAATATATATATATTATTTATTGAATTTACAATTTAATTAGATTTTAATTATTGGAATTAATAATAAGAAAGCACTATAACATTTTTTTTTTTTATAATTTTGGAATGATTTTATTTTATTAATATTTTTGAATTAATATTATAAATAGATTAATCTGGTTATGTAATTATTTTAGATATATATTAGTATAATTTTATTAAATTATTTATTTATTTATTATAATAAAATATAATAACAATTAATCGAAAAATGTAATACCAAAAGAATAAAACATATTTTAATTTATTAAAATAATATATTCTAATTTATAAATTTTAAATATATTATTATTTAAAATAAATATATTATTATGTATATATATCTAATCGAATTTGGATTTTATATTAGTAGTGGATTATATATGATTTGTTAAAAATATTATGGGGGTTATGGAAGGGGTTGTTTCTCGAATTTATTTTGATATTTATATAATTTAATATTATTTTATATTTTTTAATTATTTAACTCTATATTTTTATATATTAAATTCTTTTTTTCATTAAATTAAATATTTAATTTTATTTAAACAAATATATATAATCTTTTTTTAAATATATATATAAGAATATATATATATTTATAAATCAAACTATTTAAAATATAATTATATATATAATATATTATTAAAATTTAATTTTTATATGTTCATTATATTATTATTAATCTAGCTATTTTATACATTTATTTTATTCAATATAAATACTAGTGAGGGCCTACTGCTTTCCAGCAGCGTGCGAAATGAAACCCATAGCAAAAGAATAACAGAATCAGAATATAAAATAAGAAATCATTCCAATTTAAGAATTATAGATAGATATATATGATTATATTCGTGCCAAGCAAATCTTTAACAAAACGCGGTTTCGGAATATTTCGAGAAACTAAATGATTGCGATTTTGAATCTTTGCCTTAAATCCCGCCTAAATAAATCATTTCGAAAAATTATGTATTACACTAAATTGGAGACCCAATTCTAGAGACCCAAATATCTAAAGACGAATTATAGATAGAGCTTCTCAGCAACACCTCAATATACTTCCTATACACAAAACAACAATGTGTCGTAGGACAACAATGTGTCATAGGTGCCCAATACCAACATATAGACATTTAGTGAATGAACCCATGAATTATTAATCTCAAAAGATCCATCCCCATATATAATTCATACAATATATACGAAAAGAATTTATTTAAACATTCCATTACTATTTTGGTTAAAATATTATGCCCGTTTTACTAGAATTTGGCAATATTTATAATTAACGATATTTTTCTAAATAATTTAAATAAAATTAATTCGGCTTTATTTATATTTAAGATATATTCTGGCCAGTGCTAATTTTCTCATAAATATATTCGTTCCACAACAAACCATATCAATACCATTGCGATCAACCTAAAGAATCATACACTCGAATCTCTTAAACTAAACCGAAATCGACGACAGACACAGACAGACAGACAGACAGACAAACAAACAGACAGACAGACAAAGAAGCAAAGAGAGACAGAAAAAGATACCGACAGAGAAACAGAGATGCGCAGCGCGTCGGATTCTGATGTCGACATGCCACAAACTTTGTCTGCGCACGTGCACGCGTCCGACTCCGAGCCCGAAAGCCGTGATACAGACGGGCTACAAGAACGCGCGTACGAGCAGCCCGTGCCGGCAAGACATTTTTTGCAACTCAGTCACCAACATATTTTATCATCTCATATATATCAAAAAATATATACTCGTCGCATGCGAAAAACATGCAGCCGTTCTCCAATCACAAGTCGCGAGACACACTGAGGGCCGGGCTAGTCGCGATAAGGTCACGCCAAAGAGTCAGTGAAAGACGTTCGCCTGAGCAAGATGAGAACGGATCCGCGGGCTGTTGACCTCAAAAGATCCATCCACACTCGCAATTGTTGTAAGCGCAAACAAAAGCAAAGCCGAACTGATTTCGCCCAAAGCATAGGGAGAAACACCACTGCTCGTAACAATCGGCCGCGACTCACAGCTTCTCGCATTGCCAAACTCTCGGAAGATGGGCCAAGATTTCAGCCAAAATTGCTACGGACAAGCAATTTGGAATCACAAATGGCTATTTCTCATATATGTCCCGACTCTTTATCTAAAAAACACAATGGCTTCATTCAACGACTACGAATAAAGAGATATATCTACGCTCTTAGCTTAAAAAACACAATAACTTCGTTCAAAACCCGAACCATTGTTTCCCAAAATATCCGAAATATTTCAATAATCGCACTCCAAACCATTTTTCCAGCAAAAAAATAAATAAAAAATCCAACAAAACGCATACAAATGCGACGAATACATTTCCCAATTTCATGTTATAGAATAAAAGAATAAATATATTAAAATTATTAATCATTTTAAATATTCATTATTCATTATAATATTTCCTTTATATATAATAAAATACCCAACATCTACCCATTATCCCATAACCAATTTCTCCTTCTTTTATACTAATATCATCATAATTACGACTCAAAAAACCAACACATAAAATAATCCCTAATAAATAAAAACAAACCAAAATATCTAAAATTTTAAAACACAACCATTTAACCAAATTTAAGCCAACAAATACCTCCAATACATCAAACAATCAATTCCAAAAAACCCTAAACACCCAAAACCTAAACTCCAAAACCCCTAGACCTACTCCCTAAAAACCGGAAAATCCAAAATTTAACCTTAAACCTCTTAAAAACTCATAAATCTTGTACAAAAAACAAAAAAAATGTGCATTATATATATATATATATAGCATTTTTTATTTTTTATACATCAAATCTACATATCAAATATTATCCTAATTCTAATCTATAATCTCCTAATACTTAAATCACGACCATACTAATATATCCGACCATATTTATTTATATTTATTATGGGATATATCCCAATCAACCACATATGTGCGAGCGTTCAATTGTATCCAGCTATGAACACTTCATTAATTTCCAAACAAATATCATGTTTCTCATGCGTTTCATGTGCAAGGAACTCTCCTCGCTTGCCCAAAAAACCCAAAAATGATGTCTTGGTTCGTATTTCAACGAGGCCATAGGGATCATTCCCCCGGGGTGTTGCAAGGTTTCGCTTTGGGCAAGTGGCGTTTTCTGGAAACGTCGATGTGAGACACGAAATTTTCGGCCGGCAAAACGAACTGCCTGAGAAAACACCAGAACGCCATTATGCCACGGGCTCAACGAAAGACCATGAATGACAGAAGTTGGAAGTCTTCACCATGCGAGATGCTTGGGGAGGCGAAGTTCGCCTTGGCGCGAGAGCGTTGCTTCGCCTTCCGCTCTGAGCTCGTTCCCTTGGAAAAGGGACGCGTGTTGGTCCAGGTCCTCCAGATTGGAGAGGTTAGAATAAGGGTACCAACTTTTTTCTGTAGTCTGTTTTAGTAGGGGCTTTCCCTCCCAACCAAAATAGAAACGGTGAAAGGGCACTGGATCTCGAGTGGTTCTCCAAGGAGCGACTCAGGACTCCTCGTCCCACTCGCCTTCCGGCTCAGTTTCTCCGTCTTCCTGGCCGGGAGAAGGGACCTGTTTGGGCGTTAGGTGAGGTGTTGCAGGTGTTTCACGAAAACGGGGGGGGAACTATTTTTGTAGATTCCCACACACACACACACACCTCATGAAATATTTTTGGGCGTCGGCATGCGCACAAAAGAGGGACCGCGCACAAGAAGGCGCGATCTCATGTCAAGAAGCTTGGGGTTCTGGTCGAACATCTACCCTCAGCAAAAATGAAAAGACCAGCTGCGGCGGCATTTCGCTTGGCTGGAAAAACGGGAGAGCCTTTTTTTAGGCCGCGGCTTGCGATGTGCATGCCCAACCCCCCCGCGCTCGGCGAGCAACTTTGGGGGATCGGGAAAACCGCCTAAGAAACGATCTGAGTTTCTGCCACGGGAGAAAAGTCAGCCATGGTCATTTGGGGGCCGGTAATGAAGGAATCTTCCGCTCACAGTTCAGAAGTTGCCACCTGTCGGCAGATGAAGGGAGGCAGGCCTTGATCTACAGACCGAAAAGAAGTAAACAAACACCGAACAAAACACGGACACCATTTGTGTCCTTTTTGGGTTTCAGCGCCGTTTTTTCTGGCCTTGAAGGGACATCTTCTGAAAACTGTGGACATTTTGAGACCCCTTGGACCAGCTCAAGCCAGCCAATGTCGGACCCAGTTTCCCAGCTTGCTGGCTTGTTTGTTGTTCATTGGCCGAAGGGTAAATGGTTTTTTTTGCTTTTTTAGGGGGCTCCCAAACAATGGCGGGTTTTGCCCTTTGAACCCCCTAAAGAAGGGTGCCCCCAAAAAAAAGAAAGCCATATGTAAAGAGATCAACGGTCTGATCCATCCCCCCGCAGTGGCTTGCTACGTGTCGGGATGGATTCAAGGCAACGCCCTCCGTCAAACCCCAGCCCCTGCCTTTTCAGAGTCCTCTCCGTCCTCGCAAGGGGAAAGCAAGGCAATCAAGGCGACCAGGAGCAAACATGTCCAAGCCATAAGGGCACCCTTGCTCAAGGATCCTGTTTCTTTGTTTCGAAGATTTCGTACCCGATGTGGAACCGATCTCTTTCAAACGGGCTATTCAAAGCCAGCTCCCCGGGTGTGAGGGTGAAGCGCGAGCGAGGGTTTCTTTCAGGTTCTGGTGGCTTGGAGACCCTTTCCAGTTTGCAATGAACAAAAGAACGACATGGTGCCAATGGGATCGCATGCTATGTGCCAGAAATTCGGGGTCCGGACCCTTGTTCTTTCAAAAGAAAGACACCTTTTTCGACGGCTTTTAGGGGTGTCGTTTCGAGCTGCAAACCTACATGCAAAATGGCCATGGCCGTGCTGATTCTGGCGGGATTTTTCGGGAGCGCTACTTCCGTCACGTTCAGAGCAAAAGCTTCGCCGCATACGTTTGCCTTTCCAGGTGACTTTGAACCCCCTGTCGATTATGGGATGCAAGGTGATGTTTCAAGGGAACAGTCATGCTGCAGGTGCTTAGACAAAAGTGGTCAATCTCAACATATGAAGCGAATTTGGCTGCGTTTCTTCCCTACGAACCACCAGTTCCAACATCTGGATTGGTCTCAAAATCAAGGAGCACTTACGCGCAATGGGCAGCCAAACAAACACAAGCACAAGCACAAACACGAACGCAAACACAAACACAAACACGAAAACAAACACGAACACGAAAACAAGCACAAAACACAAACACGAAAACACATACGAAAACCATAAACACACACACAAACACAGACACAGACACAAACACAAACACACACACACACACACACACAACACACACTCACACGCACACAACACAGCAACACAGCAACACAGCAACACAGCAACCCAGCAGCACAGCAGCGCGGCAACACAGCAGCACGGCAACGTAACAACAGTGAACACACAAACGCACACGCAGCCAAAAAGGGTACCCCCTCAAAAAAGTGAGCCGTACCATTTGACGGCAAAAACTGTGGGAAGGTTGAAATGGCGAAGGGACACCTCCAGGCAACACATGTCAGACATGGCGATGAAATTTCCAGACCGAGCCCAACACACTGGATGGCCCTTTGGCTTCTCCTTATCAACCAGGGGGCCCATGTTCAGCTTTCGGATTCGCGCTGTGGGAAATGGTGCTCGCGGACGAGCTCGGAAATAGTTTTAGCTGCCCACGCCACCAATCCAAGCCACCAACTAAGGGCCTGAGAAATAAGTCGGCCACTGAAGAAGGGATTCATGAAACAACATCACGTGGCCGTCAAGAACGTGTTCAAACCCCGTACCCCCAGTGAACATCCCAGTCCCCACTAGAATAGACTAAAATGGGTGGCGCGCCTATCCCAAAATGGTACCATTGGCTTTGAACCATGCCCATGTGTTTTCAGATTTGTCTGTGTGTCCTGATCCTCGTGTTTCCGTTTCGTTACGGGACACCGCCTGAAGAAGGCGAAATGTAAACGCCGCTCCTCGTCGTCCATGCTGCCTGCTTCGTCCTGCGGGAACGCGGGAACGCAAGCACGGTGCCGTCAAGGATGCGTGCACATGTATGAAACACAACCCGAGGTGGGTGGAAAGGACAAAGAACGAAAGCGTTTTTTCATGGGACAATGGGGTTGTCTCAGCTAGACCCGTGTCTCCCCCCCAAAAAAAAACAATGAACTGTGTTTTGGGTCAGTCAGGTCCCTTCGACAGAAACTACCTTTATTCCTTTCCGTGAACTGACCCTGGCACCCGGGCAAATCCAACCCGAGGTGGCAAAGTCACGGGAAGTCGATCCCAGCGATGCAAAGTCAGTGACTCGACTTGCCCCAAAGGAACCTTAGTCACACTCAAAACCCGGCCATAAACTGGTGAACCATGTAAAGAGTTATGCCCAAGGTCAGGGTCTGATTCTTCAGGCGCGCCCACCTTGATTGATAGATGGAGAAGGCCATAGGGCAAAGTATTGCCAGATGTGTCACATTCCCGGGAAAAAAGAAAAAAAACAATTATCCATCCATTACTACTGGCCTGTCCTCGGATGGGGGAAAAAAAAGACATAGTTCCCTTAAAAACCAACAGGGGAACGCCAAGTTGAAGCGGATGCACTGGGCCAGCGCCGAGACCCACAGGTTGAGCTCGGCTCCTCGGCATCCTCCTCGTCGGTCTCCTCGTCCTGCGCGCGGTTCCCTGCTCGGAGTGCGGAGCGCTCGGGGGCGCCCATGGCGTGGAAGGCTTTTCTTGTGGGGCGAAACCAACCGGTAGTCCTCCACTTCAGGGCCTGGAGCTTTTCGAGCACTCCTTTTTTCACTCCACAAACAGCGGCGGGAAAGAAGCCCACGTTGTTGGGTCCTGGTCTCTTTCTTTTTTTCCTTCGTTTTTTTTGGCCGGCGCGCTGCCCAGGCTCTGGAGGCTTGCAGTCGCGCTGTTGAGCGCATGGCGGGCGGCTTGTTTCATAGCCTTGCGACTTTTTCTGGAAGGACACCAAAAGCACACCACCTTAGGGACAACCCCTCATGCATATTTATCTATGCAAGGATGCTTCTTTCCAGAAAGCCAGCTAAGAACAAATTGGCCGATTGCTGACATTTCCAACTTAACTCGTATTGTTCTCAGCCACAGCTGGCTATGACAAGCCGCAGATTGGAGCACCAGAAAAGTTTCCGAGACCAAAATTGACAAGACAGCTTGCATAGAGTGTCTAGAATCAATCTGCAAGCTGAAAATACGCGCCGTTTGGTATCAAACAGAACACCTGACTTCGGTTGTCTAGTGACAAGGGCGCGTTCATCTGGAGATATGAGCTCTGGCATGCACGCAGGGTCTTGAAACGCGCTGCATCTTTGTTGCTCAAGGAACCAACCAACGGTTGGCCACGATATTTTGGGGAACATATTTTCACACGCCTCTCCAAGAGAAGTCTCTGGCCATCAAAGGCGATTCGGCTTCCCCTCCTCTTCCTGCGCGTTGGGGTTTGCACCTGCCAAAGAAGCCGCACAATTCGTCCAGTGAATTTTCTGGGCCCGGGGACCCGCAACCAAGAACAAAGGGAGGTCAATTCAAGGACATCGAAGGCATACCGAAGGCAAAACTTGTAAAGAGCTTCGAAAATCTTCAAACTAACTAAGGGGTACCCTTCCTCCAGCATGGCACAATTGGGGCCGTCAAGAGGACACTTGGCAAATGCATCCTGACACTCATAAAAGACACCATGGACTTGTTGAGGAGAACTACTGATCGGATGTGCTGACAAAGGAGCACCGGGAAGATTGTCGTCACCCGCACACACACACACACACATACAAACTCAGTAAGAATGGTCAAATCGCGCAACAAGGACCAGGGTAATTGCACAATGGGTGAAACCTTTCCTGAGAAGACATGACCGTTTCAAATCACCCAGCCAGGAAACGACCAACACAACAAAGGTGAGTTCTTATTAAAGCAACCAAGGGGAATGACTACGACCCGTGCTCCGCCCAAAGGCTACATGTTACTGGTCAAGCACACACTCCTGCACCCCAAAAAACACATTCTAGGTCCTGCAGTAGAGAGGTTGGAATAAGGGTACCCCTTTTCTGTCTATTTTAGCAGGGGAACCCTCCCAAAAAAGATTTGGTAAAAGGGCACTACTGCGGGACCCAGCATTTTTGAATCACCAGGTGTTTGAAATCAGCTTGCACCTCGTCCCCCCTCCCCAAAAAAAAAACGGCAAGGCCCGGCGATGCCTTGCGCCAGCGCTTCGCACACGGTGCCCAGCTCCGGCTCCCTCTCCTCCGTGTGCGCCTGGCAGGTTTCGACAGGCGAGAAACACGAGCGAACAGCCCAGATGGCCATGGGTCGAAACCTAAAAAACCCGTACCCCCAGTGAACATCAACCAATCCAACCACTAAAATAGGTTCTAAAATGGGTGGTGAATTCACCTACCAACCAACATGGTACCATTGGTGTTGACGAACAGCCATATCAAAGTTGTGGGGTTTGTCTATGAAGATGATAATCACGAAAGTCCCCCTTGATGATAGTTCAATCCTTGCTTCACCACTGTCAAAGCCGCCCAAGTAGAGTTGAAGTGACTTTCATGAGCCGCCAGAAGCAATCAAAATCATGACCCCAACAGAGCTAACCTTAAGCACGAACTCCAAGCCATGACGAGCAAAGTGAACGGCACCTCCCAGCGTGCTCTTTTCGCAAGGTTGGCCAAGGGGAAAGTCCGGGAAGCAAGAGCACACCTCTGGCCCCGTGAAAACCGGGACATGGAGATTCAAAAAGGGGCCGTCAGCTCAAACCAAAGCCACCACACATTGGAGGAGATTTGGACGGCTCGAGCCGGGGCCGCAAGTTAGGCGAGGTGGAACGTGTGGATGGTTGAGGGTTTCTTTGCTGTAGCCTTTTGCAGAGATAGCCTTCATGCAACGCAAAATAAAGGTTTACACAACCGTGGTTGCAACAAACAATTGTCGCAACTTGTCAGTGACATGAACGTGGTGGGTTCCAGGCTTGTTTAGGCAAGTTGGGGGTGGCGGCGCTTTAGGTACTGGGATGCTTCAGTGTTGGTTTATGGGCTTGTTGGGGTTGGTTTCGAGTGGTTTAGAGCTGGCTTCGGCCCTGTAAAGAAGTGGGGCAATTAGGACACAAATGAAGACACTAGTGGAGAAAGTGCGCGATTGCAAACCAGGATCAACAAGCGGGAAAACGGTCCTAGAAAGAAGCGGCGGGTTGGGGGGGGAGGGGGGGGGCAGCCGCCCGGAAAAGCGAAACAAATCCAGACACCAGGGCAGAAAGTGTGCGATTACAAACGAGGCTCACTCACTCACTCACTCACTCAACTCACTCACTCACTCAGTCACTCAGCTTCTTAGAGCACCTGGTTTGCAATCGCACACTAGTTGGTTTGTGTATGGCCGGGGGGGGCGGGGGGCTGCGCCCCCCCCTTTTTTCCAACCCATGCCTCTTTATTATTTGTAGGGCCGTTTGTTCGGGTTGGTGTTTATTGGGCCGCTTGATCGGCCTGGTGATATGAGTGAGTGAGTGAGTGAGTGAGTGAGTGAGTGGGTGGGTGGGTGGGTGGGTGGGTGGGTGGGTGGGTGGGTGAGTGAGTGAGTGAGTGAGTGACTGACTCGCTTAACGAACAACGAATGAATGAATGAATGAATGAATGAATGAATGAATGAATGAATGAATGAATGAATGAATGAATGAATGAATGAATGAATGAATGAATGAATGAATGAATGAATGAATGAATGAATGAATGAATGAATGAATGAATGAATGAATGAATGAATGAATGAATGAATGAATGAATGAATGAATGAATGAATGAATGAATGAATGAATGGATGGATGGATGGATGGATGGATGGATGGATGGATGGATGGATGGATGGAAGGAAATGGAATGAATGGAAATGAAATGAAATGACATGACATGACATGACATGAAATGAAATGACATGACATGAAATGAAATGAAATGACATGACATGAAAGAATGAAAGAATGAAATAATAAAATAATGAAATAATGAAATAATGAATGAATGGAATGAATGGAATGAATGGAATGAATGGAATGAATGGAATGACTGGAATGACTGGAATGACTGGACTGACTGGAATTAATGGAATGAATGGAATGAATGGAATGAATGGAATGACTGGAATGACTGGAATGACTGGAATGACTGGAATGACTGGAATGACTGGAATGACTGGGATGACTGGAATGACTGGAATGACTGGAATGACTGGAATGACTGGAATGACTGGAATGACTGGAATGACTGGAATGACTGGAATGACTGGAATGACTGGAATGACTGGAATGACTGGAATGACTGGAATGACTGGAATGACTGGAATGACTGGAATGACTGGAATGACTGGAATGACTGGAATGACTGGAATGACTGGAATGACTGGAATGACTGGAATGGCTGGAATGGCTGGAATGACTGGAATGACTGGCATGACTGGCATGACTGGCATGACTGGCATGACTGGCATGACTGGAATGACTGGAATGACTGGAATGACTGGAATGACTGGAATGACTGGAATGACTGGAATGACTGGAATGGCTGGAATGGCTGGAATGAATGGAATGAATAGAATGAATGGAATGAATGGAATGACTGGAATGACTGGAATGACTGGAATGACTGGAATGACTGGAATGACTGGAATGAATGGAATGACTGGAATGACTGGAATGACTGGAATGAATGGAATGACTGGAATGACTGGAATGAATGGAATGACTGGAATGACTGGAATGACTGGAATGAATGAATGAATGAATGAATGAATGAATGAATGAATGAATGAATGAATGAATGAATGAATGAATGAATGAATGAATGAATGAATGAATGAATGAATGAATGAATGAATGAATGAATGAATGAATGAATGAATGAATGAATGAATGAATGAATGAATGAATGAATGAATGAATGAATGAATGAATGAATGAATGAATGAATGAATGAATGAATGAATGAATGAATGAATGAATGAATGAATGAATGAATGAATGAACCAATCAACCAGCCAGCCAACCAACTGGACAGCCAGCCAGCCACCCGACCTGGCAAAAAATGAAACCCACAAATTCCCCCAAAAAGGAATTTCGACCGGCTCCAGAAAACGAATCAAAACAATGACGGGCGCCAAACAAAGAGTCACCAAGCAAATAGCGCCAAACAAAGAGTCACCAAGCAAATAGCGCCAAACAAAGAGTCACCAAGCAAATAGCGCCAAACAAAGAGTCACCAAGCAAATAGCGCCAAACAAAGAGTCACCAAGCAAATAGCGCCAAACAAAGAGTCACCAAGCAAATAGCGCCAAACAAAGAGTCACCAAGCAAATAGCGCCAAACACGGAGGCGTCCGAATCGGAGAGCTCCATGAGGAGTCCCCTTGGCCTCCCGGAGCTCCATGAGGAGCCGGCGAGTGGCCGCCGCGGCTTCCAGGCGTTTGAACTCCTCGCCCAGGTACTCCTCGCCGAGCGCCGGCGGTTTCGCGCCGGCGGAAACCGCGCGGCGAGAGGCGTTGCGGGCGGGTGGCGGGTTTCGACGGTTTCGGCGGGGGTTGAAGGGGGAAGCAAGTTGGGGTGGGTTTTGGGAGGGGGGTTCGGCGGGATGCTGTTTTTGTTTGGGATTTTGGGGTGTCTGCGTTTTTTTTTTTTTGGGGGGGGGCGGGGTGGTGCTTGGGGGTGCTTGGGGGTGTTTTGGGGGTGGAGAGGCATGCTATCGGATGGCCCAGCCAGGTCCTTCGGGCGGTTCGGAGGGTTCCGCCCTGGCGTTTGACAGAACGCGTTTGTGGCTCAGGCTACGGCTTTCGTGTCCGAAAAGTGCGGCACATCCGCGTTTCGACAGGCCGGCGTTTCGAAGCCCGGCACTCGGTGCCGAAGGAACACATGGGACAATTCATCTTTACAACAGACCCAGGGTTCCTCACATGCCCGTTCCAAACACGGGGAACTCCATGAAACTTGGCCTTTTTGACACAAATGCTCAAATCACGTCAGTTGAAGCAACCAACAAAAACAAAGGCGATTCCTTGAACTTAGCGTTTCCCAAATGTTCGAATCACCGGGACAAGTTGGATGGTAAGCCTGAGTTTTGAAACTGCACGGTAAGCTATGAGACTGACACCCTCGCAAAGCTGTGTACATGCGTGTTTCTGCGTTCTTTTTGGATTTCCCCCCCCTAAACGGCCTTTTGGTTCTCCGTAAAACGAGAAATTAGGTGAACCAAAAGTCCCAAAAGACACGCACCCAACTTCTGTGTTTTGCTCCCCGCGCTGCAGGTTCCAGGGAGCGACCGGAAGGGTTGCCACCTGGGGAGGGGCATCTCTTCCCCTTGGCTTGGGCGTGCGGGGGGTGCTTGCCCAAGGTAACATGTCGGGCAAAGACGGGTGTAATCCCCGGAGATTCCTCTACACATGCTGCTGGGGTCCCATATCAAGGAGACATATCCCAATCATTTCGCTCTAAGAGCCCTGGTAGGTTTCAAATGTCTGAAGGGGAAATGGTGGGACAGATTTGGGCAAGAACCTCAGCTCCGCCCGAAGCAAAACCTCAAAATCAGTTTCCAAGAGGTACACCACAAAAAGCCCCTTAGACGTTGTCACCCCCCCCCTCCCCCCCCAAAAGGGTACCCAATTTCCCCATTTGGCAGAGGCAAGGTCAGCCAGAAACTGGCAAGGCCATGTAAGCCAAAGAGGGTATAGGGAGCTGCCATGCTTTGTGGGTCAAAAAATCCCCCCCCCACCCCACCCCCCCCCTATGAAACCGCTTTCGCTTGGCTCCTGCAGGAGACTCGTGATCTCTTCCTCACGCGAAGGCGTGAGGACACCACTGGGGACGCTCTTTTGGTCGTAAGGGAAGCGGCTTCCAAGGCACCTCTCTCTCACATGGGCAGATGGCCCCAAAAACGTCTCCGGACGTTTTGTATTAGCACCAAAACGGATATAGAACTCAGGATGTGAGCTTTGCATGCCGGCCAAAGCGCATGCCGGCCACAGCTCATTCTCTCCAAATGGCCAGGTGATGCTTTCTTATCACAGGCGAGGGACCTCTCCGGGCTCCAAATCCGCAGCAAGTCTCTGCTTTCATGGAAAGACCCAGCCATGCGAGTCGACGTGAGTAGATTTGCCCGCGTTCAATCCTTCCAATCCCTGACAGTTTGGACCTTTCGCGTCAAGAGTCAAGAGTGGTCATTTTCTCTCAAGCTGCAGAACCGTGTTACACTGGACACGTCCCAAACAAAAGTGAACCGTCTTTGGTCAGTACCCTTAACGCGCATGGAACCCTTCCATTGAGGTGCCCTTGGATCGCTAAATTTTGGCCCGCGCTCGCAGGTCGCCAAAACCCCCCCCCCCCCAAACGTTGCCCATCAGGGATCCGGGTTTGGTGTTGCAACCAAGGCCAAGCTCAAGGCCCCAACATGGGACAATGCGCCGCTTTCTTGAAACGAACAAGGCCCCTTTTCGACTCAAACCGCGATACATCGCCTTCTCGGGAGCATTGCTTCGACATCTTTGGAGAGCCACCAGGACGTCGATATCGATTTCCTGCGCAACTCGTCCGAACCAACTTCTCCGGCCGGGCGCGAAGCCGGCGGTAAGAGGGGCCGTCCACTTTGCGTGGGAAGGCTGGGATGTCTGAGGCTGGGATGGGCAAGCCGAAAGAAGGCAAGATGAGGTTGGTGCAGATCACACTGTAGGTTTGTCTCAACATGGTTCCCTTCAGTTTAAGCCCACGGGCGTGCTTTATAAGGTCCAACTGCAGTTCAAAATTTGGAAGAGAAAACGGTGTGCCTTTGGTCTCTCTTCAATCACGAAAGTGCACAGGCTCCTTTACCAAGAGGAAACTCGTCTTCCAAAGGGGGTGTTGTGCAATGTTTGTTGCTAGGAGGGTACCAGTCCCTTTCAAGAACCTATGAGATTCAGCTTGGATCGTGGCAAACCTGCCCCCCTCCAAAAAGCCCAAAAAGAAACGCCCGCGGGCTTTCCAGTCCTGGAACCCCGTCACAGGTCTCGCTGGGTCACCCCAAAATGGACCCAGCCACCCCCTTTCAGGGGGTTCGAATTGGACCCGCGACCCGTGGAACGACTTCCCCGGAGGAAACGAAGTCCCAACCACACCACATGGAAGATCTCTCCACTGGAAGCAGGTCAGGGCCGAAAACCAGCAGCGAGCATTCCCCGCCCGTGTCGTCTTGCTTGCCGGTACAGTTTCCAGGGTGGTGAAAGGATCTGGTAAAAAAATGTGTGGTAAGGGGACATTGACCAGGCTGAACGAACACCGAATGGACAAACCACATCAGCGCGGCTTTTCGCCTTTTGGGCCATGGCCATTTTTCTTTTCTCTGGCTTGCCGATCCGATCGGGGATGGTCACATCGATCCGGCCCGAGCTTGGGTCCCGCGATTTGAGGACTCCGAAACGGAACCTAGCAATCCAGTGGAGTTGCCGTTTTTGTTTTTCCCATGCGCTCAAAACCCCCAAAACCAGCAGTGACTGAACAAAAAAAGAGCAGCCACTGGGCGACCGAGAGGAATCCCGCAAGTACGTAGGGCACAATGCCCGTGGTTTCCCTGCATCCGCGAAAAGGCTGCCCGCAGAAAGACAAGGGGGACAAAAACGGTTGGTGTGGGGAGCTGAGGCGTTTTTTCCATATGGCGTTTACATCATGGGACCTGCGAATGCCATATGGAGATCCGGTCGCGTCCTCATCATGTGAGGCATTTCGGACCAAGGCCTGCGATGCGAAAGAAGCGGGCAGCCGGGGCTCGGTGTCTTATGGGAGTGTTCCCCTCAGTGATGAATCCCCCGCCAGAAAAACATCCCCCCATATTCAGTGAATATGGGGTTTGCTATATCATCCGGGGTCAACACTTGTTTTTGTTTTTGTTTTTTGTTTAAGAGATGCAGCACATGGTCGTTTTGGAAACGTTGGGAGATATTATGATATTCCAGTAGCAAACCGCAATGACATATTCCCCACAACTGGGTTTCAAGAACAAACCGTGGCCTGTGTGTGCTCCTCCCCAAGACAACAAGTTTGATTCTGGCAGCCACAGTGAACCTATGGCTAAAAACACAAACGCATCACAGATTCATCCCCTAGTCATTCATGGTTCCCCTGTTGGTTTCACAAGCCTCTGATCCAAGGGTCGGTGGCACGGACGCCGTTTAAGGGAAACTACCTGGAAGGCCAAAGGGAAACCAAAGGGAACAGGGGAAGCGGTCAAGAGACACCCCGGGCCCGTTTCGAATTCCCCGCCTCTGCAGAGGCCACAGCGCCGATCTGGACCCACACCCAGAGAGGGCACCGGAGCCGCTTGTCCTCCGCCAGATTTTCCGCGAAAAGTTTGACGCACTCGTGGGTTAAACGGACATCCAACCCGCCAAACACCGAAAATGCGAAAAAGCCAAAAAGCTAAAAAGGCCAACAGTTTGACTAACTGGTGGGAGAAATGAAGGGAACCCCAAGCACTAAACAGAAAGCAGGGGACCAAGAAACCACTGTAGGAGACCCGAATCGCCGAGCGGTCCTTTCAGTTTTTAGATCTTCTTTGGTTTTCTTGTGGCCTGCACAGGTAACTGGGGGAACCATGCAGGGTTGCCCACACGTGCGGCATTCTTAACCCTTCCCCATCGCGGATTCCCAAATAAGAACTGTGGCTTCCTTAAATGGGTGTCATTTTTCGAGTTGGCACCCCTTTTTGGTGTGTTTCAAAGGAGAACCAACAGGAAAACCGCTTTCCAATGCTGGAGACCCGAGCCGACTCGGCTCGACGAGAATTCCCAAGACTCAAAGATCGAAGGCTCAAGCCCAGTGAATCCGATCGGAGCTGGGAACATCCGAAGCAAAACACGATGAAGCAACAATGTTCCTGCGCGGTCCTCAGAATCCCCACCAAAAACAAACAACGAAGAAGCTACTGAATCGGATGGCATCCACGTCCAACGACCCTTTGCCCGGGCGCCCGGGCCCTTCACATATTGAATCAATCCAAGGGCAATGGAAGCAACCATGGCTTCGTGCCCTCCGAATCGAACTTTACCCATCCTCCTTGAAGTCCAACGGGTGTTGAAGGAAGCCATCAGTTTAGGGAGGCCAGTGTTCTAAAAAAACCTGTTCAGCATTTGCCTCCAAATGAAAGATCACGTTGTTGTTGTTTTTTGTCGCGGGCCCATGTTGTTTTCAAGAGAATTCCTGTACAAAAAAATGGTCTCAGAAGCAATCCGATCCTATTTTTGGCCAGCTCCCAAGGGTTTCACTGCATGCCAGCGACAAACGCAGCCGCGCACCCCCGCCTGGCCACAAAATCAGTCACAGGGCAGAGAGACCAGGACTCACGTACATGGAAGTGAAAGGCGACCATCCGCAACCCACCTCTTACCAACAGGGCTGGGAACAGCGGACCATCTGCAACCCACCTCTTATTCAAAAGTATTTGAGACCTCAGATTTTCCAGTCCTCTTTTTCCAACCAAAACCAGAAAACATCCCCTCGCCCCTATGGAGCACACCGAAAAAGGCGGCGTTCGTCGTTCGAATGAGCGTCCTGCTTGATCAGCGGCTCGAGGATGTCTTCGAGCGCATGCCGCACCTTCGAGGCTTCGAGGCGGCGAGGCTTCTCGACTTTTCATCGGGGGACCCGGAGGGAAAATAGATCGGATATCTCATGGATGGACATCACGAACACACAAGTCTTTTTGTTTTTTAAATAAGGGGGGGGGATGGACATCACAAAGACACGTTCTGGGACTTTTTTTGTTGGGGGGGGGGGGAGAAAACACATTTTCTGGGAGTGCTTTTGGGGCAAAGGCGCGAGGCGCCAAGTCCTCTGATTTTGTTGAGGAATCCATGGCCCAAACGGTGTTTTCAGTGGGCTTTAAGAGATGCCTCTGGGTGGATGGGAGCAATTAGAGGGGATTCCTCTTGGAACAGGTGCAAACAAATCATTTTTCCCGTCTGAACGAGAACGGGTTTATCTTGAAAAAGTGGGGGGCCCCCACAAATGACACCGTTTTGCATTGGTTTCCCTTTCTAAGCCATTTGCGGGTTCTTGTTCTTCCTTTTGGGTTCCCTTTGGTTGCTTTTCAAACCCCTTGCTGGGTGCATCTTCGAATTCCAAGGTAGACTAGTCTAATCCCAATGGCTTCCAGGTTTCCTTTCAACCACTTCCCGAATGATAAAGCAGCCCCAAACCAAATCTGCGCTCTATGCGAGCAAAAAAAACAAAAAAACAGCAACACAAAGCACAGAACAACACCAAGAACACAAACAACGCCCCATCCTGGGCTTTCTCTGCCCGAGCTCGAGCTCGAGCTCGCGGCCTCGCGGCCTCGCGGCCCGGCGGGCTTCGGCGGGCGCGCGGCCCGGCCTTGCTGCTGGAGATGGTCTTCAGCTCCTCCAAGACGTCGGAGGTGACCCTGGCCCCGTGCTGGCCTCGCTCTGGTCAGATCGCTCCGGATCGGATCCCCGGCCGCGCGGGAGAAGCGAAAAGCTGAGAAGGGATCGGCACTAAGGAGAACAGCTTCTGTTTTTTAAATAATAATTTAAGTAAAAAAGGTTTCTTGAGCAGTTTGGTTTTCCATCGTGTTTCTTGTTGGCTGTGGGGCAGGTTTTTTGGCACATGTTTGGATCGTTTGTTGGTTGTGAAGGCGACCTCTTTTGGAGGTTTTTGATACGTAGCCTCATCAGTCGGCATTGGTTTGTGAGAGATAGTTCTCCTAGAAAAAGTTGGGTGAGTGTCAAAGGATTGCCACATGCTAGGATTCACTCTGCGCCAGGCTTAAAATGAGAACAAAGGATGCAGGAAAAGCGTCCCGGCCATTTGGCTGTGGCTCAAAAACCGGTAATTACCCAAAATGGAAGCCTGGTGGAAACATGGACCAACACCTGCGTAACTGCCCTCTGTAATTTTGAGCAGCCATTTGTTTGGCTTTAAAAAGGCCAGTGACACGTCCTCGCGCGTCGACCCAAAAGCCGCCCCGCCCAAACACCGACCGAGCGAAACGAAACGAAACCGCCGTCGAGACTTGGGCCCCCGGTCTCAAGGCTTTGACGCCGGCGACGCAGCGGCTCTGCAGCGCGGACAGCAGCGGGGTCTCCGAGCTCATCTCCGAGTTCACCTCCCCGTATGGTCCGCAAAAAATATCCGCCGCCGGTGGCTTTTCTAAGAAAAGAGCTACAGGGAGAAAACTAAAAAGGAAACCCCTCTGATTTTGGTGCGTTCGTGAACTTCCGGTAGAAGTTCCTGTAGCTGGTTTCCATGAGCTTTGGGCTCTTTCCTTTGTCACAAGTCGGCCATTTGGGGGTTTTCCCCCGAGTTTGAGACACATTTAAATGTTGAGATCTCGCTTTGAAGCGGGGGAAAGGGGGACATGGGGGGAGTTGTGTCAACTTGAGTTTCCATCATCAGTTCAATTCCAAGGGAAAAGCAAGACACGCGTGTTTTCCTCTACAGAGGTGTGATGTGTGTTTTCTGTTTCAAGCGATATTTTCCACGGATGTTTAGTGGATTTCTATGGGTCCACATCATGGTCCTTTGCCGTAGAGTTTTTGAAACCCTCCGGGTTTATGGTTCGAGCACAGAGAAACCCTCCAGAAAAGGCTCACTTCCTGAACTTTTTGTCTGCCACTCAGATGGTCTTGTTAAAAAGTATGCAGTCCAGGAACTCGGGAAGTGAGACATGGGACAAGTGCCCCATGGTCCTTTTGGCCCATCCTCGCAAAGGATTCGAGGAAGCTCACCAAGTCTGTGTGGTTGACGGTGGCTCTGATCCCTACGGCTGTCTCTGGACAAAGGAGAGGTTCAACCCAATCCCAATAGTGAGGGAACCAAGCAAGAGCCCCTTTTTGCAGACCAGGTGCTCAAACCATCGCAGCAGAGGGCTCTTGAACACAGGCCCCGGAACAGATTTCCACCTTGGCGGCTTTTGATTGAGCCAATCTAACGTTGGTGTCCCTTGGTGGGATGGCTCCTGGGAACCTTCTCGGTCCCCATTTCCAATGGTTCTAGTGCAAGAAAGGAGCCTCGAACTCAAAACGTTCCAGGCGGACCTCGCCTCCCCAAATTTTCATTCCTCAAGGAACAAAACTCGGTGGGTTTCCCATGAGGGCCGAGGGAAACACAACTAGGTCCTCCAGTAGAGAGGTTAGAATAAGGGTACCAACTTTTTTTCCGTAGTTTATTTTAGTAGGGGAACCCTCCCCCAAACAAAGGTAAGAAAGGGCACTACTGGGGGATCTAGACAAGGGAAACATGAGGGGAACACGAGGGGCCCAACGTTCAGAGACGGGATGCTGGACTTGCGGAACCCAAACCGTAGCCCCAGCGCCTCCGCTTTGGCTTCCACCAAACAGGCCACGCCCAATTGCATCGTCTCCTGGCTAGTGCGGACTAAACGGGCCTTCTTCTTTGTTTGCTTTGGGGGTAAGGCTCGCAAAGGACTTTTGCCTTTTGGTAAGGGTCCCAAAGAACCTTTTTGGGGTAAGAGTCCAAACGGATTGCTGGGTTGAAGGCGTCGTTTGGCCGTTTCTCGCAAAAACGACACTTGGTCAATGTGCCGCCCCAAATTTACCTCGGTTCCACACCTTTGAATGGAATGCGAATGTGTAAGATGGTGTGTCGACTCGGGAAAACACGCGTTGCCCTATCGGTTTTTAAAGATTTGGCTGCCATCATCTTGGCGGCCAACTACCAACACCCTGTCACCAAGCAATACTCCAGTCAAGGCGGGCTCTCGTGCCGCGAACATGGGGGGACATCAGCGACATGGGACTCCAATCCGCCAAATTTTGCCTAATGGACCCCTGTAGATTACTCATGTTCTTCCATGCCGATACAGCACACGTGGGCTAAAACCTAAGTTCCCTTTTTATATCTGCCCGTCGTGTACTTTGTTTATTCATTCATGTGAGCCATGTCAGCCACAACAAACATCCTTATTCCTCAAAATCGGACTCCGACCCCCCCTCTAAAAAAGAAACAAAACAAAAACGACAACAAGTGGCTTCCTTTTGGCTTCCCTTACCAACCCCCAAAAGGCTATCGAGCCTCAAAACATGACACACGCACACACCACACGCACACACCACACACGCACACACGCACACACGCACGCACACGCACACGCACACGCACACGCACAGGCGCGCTGAGGAAACGCTAGAGACCGATGAATATCTGCAGCTTCGGCGCCCTCTTCGAGGAAGGGAAAAAGCATCCTTGTGTTTCCTTGTCTTTCTCTGCCCACACGGTGTTTTCCACTTGCCTCTCTGCATCTCGTTTCTCATAGAGGCACACAGAGGAACTCTTGCGCTTCCCTTGTGATGTGCTTTTGGGACAATCGAAAAGCATATGGGCAAGCTACTTAGCGGTCGCATCTTGCGGGCAAGCGGTCGCATCATCGCCCGGACGCCTTGCGCTGAAGGGTTTGACTGGGTTCCGTGGGACCCGGTTGGGAGCCCAATAAGAACACCTCCAATGTTCGCAATGACAACGCTGTGAAACCGAAAACACACAGGTGCCATGGTCAGTCAGACTCCCAAAATGTGGCCCAGGGCTTCCTGAATTCATGTGCAATGTGGGTGTGGTTCCCTTCTTTTGGGACCCCCTTTGTTTTTTAAAGAACCGCAAGGAACATCCTGACCCAATGGCACGCCATCCCTGAGGCGAGAGATTCTGACTGGAAGTTTGTAGCAACACAGTTTCCCTTTCAAGAACAGGCAGCAAGTCCCAACAAAAACACACAAGCCAAGCTCGTTTGGGTCAATGTTCGGAATCCCGAATTGAGTGATTGTCAAAGCCAAGTGCTGGGTTGAAAGTGGGCACCCACCAGTTTCTGACTTCAGCCCCAAAATCACCAACCAGACTTTCTGTTCTTTCCATTTATAAGTTGGCAGCGCCAAGCCAAAAAAAAATCCAGAGCCAAATAGGAGACCGACCCGGTATTGAGCCCTTTGGAAGACTTCGGCTGCTTTCTGCTCCCCTGCTAAAAGTTTAACTTTTGGTTGTTTACTGGAAAACCCATTAATTGGCAACAAGTTGTTCAGTCCTAACATCCCTTGGCAAAATGCACCGCAGAGTACCTCTACACCGGTTGTCTAAGTTCGCGAATGTACAAGGCGTTGATGCCTATCCCTACCAACCCCAAGCAAAGAGACCTGGGCATCCCTTCGTCGCACCGCTTCGGTTTCCGATGTGACCGAAGTCGGTCCGGCGCCACGTGGAGATTGGTGACCAGCAGCTGCAGCGCCGAGAGCGAGTAGCTGCCCTGCGGTCGAACGGTCGTTGGGCGTGACGCGTTGGCCCGAAAATGGACATGAGAACGCGGCGGGGGGGGGGTGGGTTATGTTCAACCTCTTACTTCGTGGATTTGATCCAAGACCCAAAGGAAAGGGACGCCTGCGAAGGAAGGGCCGGGCTTCGTTCAATGGACACTTTGCACATCTGGATTGGCACAATGCAGTGCCGCGATTTGACCGAGTACTTTCCCAGGTGAGAGTAAACCACCCCACCTGGCCGACCCTGCGAGAAACTTTGCCGGGTCCCCAGCCCTCGCAAATCGATCCCGGGCCGGAGATCTCAAGCAAGCGGAATTGGACCGCAAAGCGTAGCCATGTGAACAGACGTGGACTTTCCACTTGAAATTCTGCTCAGCCCCAGGAGCTCTACCCAAACATCGTCAAGGCTTCGCCTTTCCCCTTTTGGTTGGAAAATGTGGGGGGACTCACTTTGAGTGATATCCGGAAAAAATCGGGGCCCAAATTGGGGATGTTCCAATTTTTTCGGGGGCTCACTTTAAGATGTTCCAATTAGATAAAACTCAGAGTCCCGAATACACGGCCGAAAAAAAAGCCCAAAGACAAATCTATAGAGCCGTGGAGCCTCACCCGCGCCCGGGATCCCACTGCCGGCGAGCGCCTCCTGAAACTCGGCGCCGTCCTCCGTTTCCTCCTCCTCCGCAAGGCTTCTCACTTCTCTACCTAAAGGGTCCGCCGGCCAGAAGATGAAAAACACCTTGCGCGCACCCGTCTTTGTGCTGTCTTTCCCCTTCGCGTTTAACCCGGGCCTTCCTTTTTCCGGTTTTGCGGTGTTTCGTGGTTCGAATTTAACCCAGTTAGTCACTGTTAGCGAATGGTCTGAGGACCGCCCAGTTTCGGGAACACCGGTGCCTGATGGATGTGCCTAGCTTTTCACCTGTCCGCTCGGACCAGGTTAGGATCGAAACCTGTCGGCTGGAGCGAGGCTTGGAATTGGAAGTCGTCGGCATCGAGCACCTAAAAGATCTAACAAAAAGAAGCTGAAAGGCGAAGTTGAACTGGATGAATCCCTGGGCTTGCCCCCAAGTTGAAAGAATTCAAGACATGAAGACATGCAACAGTGGAGCGAGCTCGCAGAGCTCTGAGCCACCCGCAAGGGATGGCTTAAATTGGGCTCATTCCATAACTCGTTCATTCCCTGAGCGCTAGACAAATTCACACAAGATGGGCAAACAATAGTGGAACAGTATCGCCAAGCCTCCAAAGCAGACCGGCGATGTCTTTTCGGCGCACATGGGGTTCCTTCAGGACGATTCAGGCGAGAAGACACGTGTCTTGCTTGTTTCCCAAGGAACATCTTAGAACGAGCAGCCACACATAAAGAATTAAACAACACATTTTCAGCAGCACGTAGAGCTGAGGAAGCTCTGGTAAATAAGGTTTTTCCAACCACTTAGCAACCATGTGGGTTTGCCTCTTAGAGAACCCCTTCCCCCAAAGTCTGCTTGCCCTTTGAAGCCTGTTTTAAATCCAGGCCTAATCGCAATCCGTCGGTTAAATTCTTGTTTTGGGAATCTTCTTAGTCCGTCCGCACTGTAAACCTTGGGCCAAAACCACGTGGAGCATGGACCATCCGTGCAACATCCTGCAACCCATCTGCAATCCACAAGCCACATAATCTAACCAGTAAACCGCACGATGAGGTTTTGAACAAGCAAACGCCGTCTGTTCCCACAAGAAAGCAGCCAGCAAACCAACCGCAAAACGCGTTCAACCCCCCCCCCATTCTTTTTTTGAAAATAAAAATCCCAAAGACCAAACAGCCCACAACCAACACACAGCCACAGAAGCACACAACCAACCACTCCATCGAGCCCACGAGACTCGACTCTCCTGAGCGTTGGCATCAGCTTCAAGCTCCAGGCTGCTCTGAATGATGCTCAGCTGGACCTCGTTCGCGGCAACTCCCACGCGTCACCCGGGTTCAACGGCTTTGATGGCACCAGGTCAGCAAAAGTTTCGAGGAAACAAGTGAAAGAAAAAAGTGGCAGCCACTGCATCAATTTTGATCAGGATTTTTTGGAGACCCCAGCTAGAACTAGAAGTTCGTACAAATTTCGATGAGCAGATGAGCATACCTCATAGCACACATGGGACCATTCGACCCATGACAGTCGATTCTCAAAGTCGTTCGAAAGTTCGAGTTTTTGCAGGGTGCCGCCTGCTCCATTGCCTTTTCTCACACTCATGAAGAGCAAACTCCTCAGAAACCAGCCCCCAAAAAAACATCCCGGGTCCCCTTGAAGGGCCCCAAGCCGAGCCCTGGCTAACTCCCCTCTCCCCCAGTTGGGACCGAAAAAACCCGCCCCAGCCGCCGGGCATCCGCGCGTCCCGCTGGTCGTCGAAGGCCTCCCGCAGCTCCTGGCGTCGGGCGAGAGACTCGCGGAGGAGCCGCGCCGCCGTGTTGGTTTTTGTCTTTGTTTTTCCTTCATGGGGCTTCTTTCTTTTTTTTTTTGGGGGGGGTGTTTCTTTCTTTTGTTTTCTTTTTCTTCTTTTTCCTTCATGGGGCATTTGTTTTTTTTTGGGGGGGGAGGGCAAAAAGACCATGGGAGACAGAGAAAAGTCCGTTTTTTCCTTTTTTTCGTTTCACTTGGAGCCGATGCTTCCGGCTCCGGAACATGGAGGAACCCTTGACGGTGAACCGTTCCGTCCGACCGGAACGTAACACACGGCTGGTTCCAAACGGTCAACTCGTTCTTAGCCAAAGGACAGAGGGTTGCGAGGTTCCTTGTCCAGCTCTGGGCTAAACCCAACCAAAGAACTTGAGCTGATGGCTCTCGTGATTCAAAACCAACAGAGGACATGAACCACATTCATTTCAACTTTTCTTATTTGCCTGATTCCCATTGATTCCACTCAGTGTGGATTTCCATCCGAAGGTTCGATGCTACATACATCTAAAAGGGCGTTGCCCAGATTCTGAAGGCTGATCCTTGGTTGTTGACCCCTCTGCAAATTGTTTTAAACTGTTTGTGGCTTCAATGGAAACCCGTTGATTTCAACCGAAAGCCTCAAGATCCAACCCAATGGCACTCAATCCCTCTTCTTTGTACCCATCCTTTTCAACCAGGCGTGGTTTGCGGATTTCTTCTCCCACATGGAGGTGGTTTATCAGGAGCTCGTCACACACCGAAGAACTCGAAGAGAAACCGCACTCGGCCCGGGGAACACGGTCCTTCCGCGGGAGAAACGAAAAAACACGTCCACACATCACGACCCGCGCGAAAAGGGGCTCGAAGCGCGTTAAGCGTTTTCAAGAGGGCTGTGGGGCAGCTTCTTTCGGGAGTCGAAAAATCCGACGGTTGGGGATGGCTTGTGCTTTGGGGGGTGGTCCCCCGAAAAGTGCTTGGATTCAGACCACTTTTGGAGGGACCATGACCGTTTTCCCACGCAACAGCCTCATGAACACTCCGCTGCCTCAGCCGAGCTGGGAACGCCCCCGTCCATTTTTGCGGACGGGTCCGCTTCACTTGGATCTGGGGGCGTCACATTGGCAGCTTCACACATCCCACCCATTCGATCCTGCAGCAATCGCCGGGTGGCCGCCTCTGTCCGTAGCCGCGCGTACTCCTCGCGACGGTCCGGAAAGATCGACGCTACTTTTCAGGGGGCAGCCCAATCTGACCTTTTTCTGTCGAAACGCCTTCCGATGAGCCAAAGACTTTTCTCATCGCCAGGCCCGCTTTTTCCCGCCGGTTTACGGAGGAAAGCTGAGGTTGCCCTGTGCGGAACCAGGTGTTTCGCGCTGGGATCGGTAAGCCAGAAAGAAGTGACGGAACTTGAGAACGACACACATGTAAGACATGCCTTCTTGTGGCCTTGGAACGCTGCCTCGAGTTCGCTTACTTGAAAACCAAGTCCATTTTATCTGAGAGAACCAAACTCGAGTCAGCGCAGTTTGCAGGCATGCGCAGTTCCCAAAAGAAACAGGCATGCGGTTGGGTTTGGTGACGCAAAGATTTGCAGGCATGCTAGAGGGGCCCACAAAATCTGTGCGGGGAGGGCACAGTGTCATGCATGCAGCACGAGACTGAGAATGGATGATTTCAATGCGGAGGATGCTAGGACCCAGCATCACCAGCATCACCCGCATTGAAATTGAAGGGTTCCCCCCCTTAGAATCTGGACCCCCCCCCCCGGCCCCCTACAGCCCTGAGCCGAGGATTTCTTTCCTTTTCTGAAGCCCGTCTTTGGACTGAGCAGCTAAAAAAAAAACATGGCGGGTAAATGACAGGAAATGGAGGTTGGCGAATGGATGGTCTCTTTTCTCTTTCATATTCTCTGTCCTTGGCATTTTTTTAGAAATCTTATGGTTATTTATCTTTCATGTGTTTCATTCTATGTTTGCATTTCTTATGTCATTTATCTTTTTTTATCTTTTACTTTTGACACAAGAAGGAATTCTTGTGGTCGAAAATCCGGGAAGGGCATGATCACCATCCCACGCCCACAAGCAACCACCCTGAAGCAAAGCTTCTCGGGGCAAGGCTATAGCATGAGAGACCTGTGTCTTTGGAGCATCTCCAAAATGAGGAAACCCTCATAGTTGGCTTCTGAACGGGTTTCCAAGGGACCCCTTCCCAAAGCAGAGTCCCCGCCCCCGTCACCCGACGAGCCATGACTCTCGCCCTTGCCTCCTCGCCGCACTTCCGGCGCAGGAGCTCCTGGCACTGCCGGGAATTTCAACCGTGACCGGTTTGGTTGCAGCCCCCCCACTGAAAATGGAACGGAACCAAGCAGCCGAGAAATCCAAACCCATGCCACCAGTGAAGGTGAACTAGTGTTTTTTTTCCAACCACATGTTGTGTCCTTTTTCTTCGCCAACCCATTGATACTCAAAGGGACGTCAAAGGCAAGCGACCCATATTCTTTGGCTTGTTCGGGAACCAGCCATAATGCAAACCAGCCATTTTTTTCAGGGCCCCGCGTCTCTGTGACCACAGGTCCCAAAGGAGTTCCTAACCTCAGGTCCCAAATGAAACCGATCGGCTTGGCCGAAAGGGGCAAAGGCCAAGACGCTGCGTTCAGCTTGACGACTTGGTGGTGAACTCCCCAAGATGGTGTGGCTTCCTTTTGGTTTTCTGAAAACCAGTACTCGTAAAGTTCCGAGCCATAGTGAGTCTAACACCTGGCGAAACAAGGCCGACCCAAGTCTGCAGATTTTGCTCGCGTGAAGTACGGCAAAAAGAGCCGCCAAACTTCTAAGCGGGTTTCGATTGCGGCTCAAAGCCCAAGTAAACCCTATCCCTCTGAAACAAAAAAACCCATTCAACACCCGCCCACATTTCACCGGTTTGGACGGACTTCGGTTTCCCCTCCAAACGAAACAAAACAAAAAGGAAGAACCTCGGTTCTCGCGTCCCTGGGAGAAACGGCCCCCAGAACGGGTGCGAACAGATCCTCAGCACCTACACGTATGTCCAGTGGGTGGTGGTTTTTAAGCGCAACAACAAGCGATACATCTAAACAAAGACAAGGAAGCAGCACAGACACACATTCGAAGATGGTTAGAAGCCACGGGCAGAAACTGATCCCTTTTCAACCCGTGGAATTGAAAGCAAACAATTCTGTTGCGCAAGGAACCCCAAACATAGAGGCTGAGGAAACCCCATAAGGGAACAACCTTGAAACGAACACAGAAAGAAAAAGGAAAACGCAATCATGGGCGCTGTTTCTCCGAACCGACCAAATCCATGAAGGTTCATGTCCACCAAGAATTACTTGAGGCTATGGGACAGTTTCTAAGGAACCGGGGTGATTAAGCAGCCCGGATAATATCAAAGCTGCTCCGTCTGATCGCAGCCCATCCGCGACGTCGGGCCTGCCGACCTCCATCTCCGAGTGGTTCCCCCACGGCGCGAAGATAGAGATCCGACGCGCCACGACCAGCAGCCCCTCCGAGACAATGTCGTACGGAGCCCTGACTGTAGCTGCTCGCGCAGCGAATGGAGCAAGGCACAAATACTTGACCCGCGCTCCAGGCAGTCTCGCGCTTGGATAAAAAGGCTTCCGTCGTAGAACCACACCATGGAATGACCAGGCACGTTTTTCCTGCATCCAAGGTGAGGCGGACCATGTTTGAGCATTTGAGTGAAGAATCTTGAAGTCGCTGCGCCCCCGGCTTCATTCATGGGTCTCAACACATAGATGTTGGCAACGCCAGTCAAAAGGGATAATGTCTCTGCAGGATGATGGGGTTGGTTCATATCATAAGTCCCCTTTTGACTGAATCGAAGGCACAGGCGAATGCCGAGAGACAAACCAAAACCAGTGCGCAGGGTTTTGATATGTCAGTTTCTCAATGACACACACCTTTTCATTATTCTCATCAAGAAACGATCCCTTGTCACTTTATTTGTTGCTGGTGCTTGGCAGGGAATGAGTGAATGACCTCTACAAACCATCCATTTCCTCTGGTTTCCATCTCTCATTGCCTGCACCAGCTAGATTTGGTTTCCCGTTAAAACCAACCCCAGAAAGGGTACCCATAAAAGGCCAAACACACCGATGGGCGACCCACGAATCTCACACGGGTTCTCCAAACAAACAAACCGGACCATCCTCAACATAACACCAACCGGTGGCTTCGCCTTGAAACATCAAACAGACCCTTGGCTTCCTGAACCAACCTTTGGTTTCCTTCACCGACCTGTCCTTGCCCTAACCAACCTTTGGTTTAACCTTTGGTTTCCTTCACCCTCACCAAGTCCCTTGAAGTACCCAAGGCATGTAAAACCTGCATTCCGGTGGTTTAACCACGTTTTTCCTGCATCCAAGGTGAGGCGGACCATGTTTGAGCATTTGAGTGAAGAATCTTGAAGTCGCTGCGCCCCCGGCTTCATTCATGGGTCTCAACACATAGATGTTGGCAACGCCAGTCAAAAGGGATAATGTCTCTGCAGGATGATGGGGTTGGTTCATATCATAAGTCCCCTTTTGACTGAATCGAAGGCACAGGCGAATGCCGAGAGACAAACCAAAACCAGTGCGCAGGGTTTTGATATGTCAGTTTCTCAATGACACACACCTTTTCATTATTCTCATCAAGAAACGATCCCTTGTCACTTTATTTGTTGCTGGTGCTTGGCAGGGAATGAGTGAATGACCTCTACAAACCATCCATTTCCTCTGGTTTCCATCTCTCATTGCCTGCACCAGCTAGATTTGGTTTCCCGTTAAAACCAACCCCAGAAAGGGTACCCATAAAAGGCCAAACACACCGATGGGCGACCCACGAATCTCACACGGGTTCTCCAAACAAACAAACCGGACCATCCTCAACATAACACCAACCGGTGGCTTCGCCTTGAAACATCAAACAGACCCTTGGCTTCCTGAACCAACCTTTGGTTTCCTTCACCGACCTGTCCTTGCCCTAACCAACCTTTGGTTTAACCTTTGGTTTCCTTCACCCTCACCAAGTCCCTTGAAGTACCCAAGGCCACGCGGCTGGCGGCTCGACTCGAGTCGAGTCGGGTTCCCCTTCCTCGATCTGCTGCCGCGGCTTTTCGCTGCGGCACCGCTGGAGGCTGATGACGTCGTCCACCGAGACGGTCTCGGAGCCGCCGGTTGGGGCGGTTTGGAGAGGAAACACTTTGTGCGAAGTTGCTTTATTTTGGAGAGGTTGAAATTATTTTGGAGAGGTTGAAATTATTTTGGAGAGGTTGAAATTATTTTGGAGAGGTTGAAACTATTTTGGAGAGGCTGTTTTGGTTTGGAGGTTTTGGAGAGGTTGTTTTGGAGAGGCTGTTTTGGTTTGGAGGTTTTGGAGAGGTTGTTCTGGAGAGGTTGTTTCATTTGTGTTGGAAGACCGGTTGATCCATTTTGATTGTTCCTGAAAGGCATGGAGCTGTTGTAAAATGAGTTGGTCGAGTCAGCGAAGCACTTAAGCCCCAAAACTCGAACGAAATTTGCTGGCTGGAATCCGGCGGGGATTGCGTGTCCCCCCAAACATTTGCCATTCTCAACTAGGTCCTCCACAAAAAGGGTTAGAAGAAGGGCACGTCAACCTTTTTCCCGTCGATTTTTAGGGGAACCCTTCCCTTTTCCAAAAAGCAGTGGGAGAGAAGGGGCACCGGGAAAACCCCGGTTTCGCTGGCCTGGTGCTCTTTTCCAGGTTCATTCGTCTCATCTTGAAATGAGGCTTCGCCATGACCTTTGGGAAGCCAAGTGGAGACGGGCACCGGCGGCTTCGATCGCCCGCTTCCCCAATGAGAGCTTGGAGATAGCCAAGGCCATTCCAAATCCAAATCCAAGTCCTTCAAAGAATCCAGTCCACTCGGAATGGTGGTCCACAAACCTATTTCTCACCCAGGAAAAGTCGGGACAACTGAGAAAACTCCGGGGCATACCGAGTCTTAGAACCCCTTCTCTACCAAAACTCGCGTCTCAAAAACGGGTTCGCTCCAACCCCCAGTCCCAAAAAGCGGGGACCCTTCGCTCCGCCTTCGCTCGGCTCTCGTTCCGATCCGGGCGCCCGGGCGGCCTCCGCGGAGCGGAGCAGGGCCTCCACCGCAGCCACGGAGCCTGGGGACCCGGAGCTTGGGGCGTGCGACGGATTTTTCAGGGGGGGACGTTTGACGGGGACGGGAAAGGGAAAGGGAAAAAAAACGGGGGTTTTGAGTTTTTTGAGGCCACGGAGAAAAAAAATCGAAAAGGTTTTGGGGGAGGGGGACATGAAGAAGTAAGGGACAAGAGGATGGCGTCAGGAGAAAAAGAACAAAACACTAGGAAACTGAAAGGATCGATGGAGAGGGATTTTCGAGCATCGGCCTAAAAGTACCTGAACTTATTTTGGGCAAATGCCCCAATCGGCAAAGAATCCACTTGGCCCAACTCACCAAAACTGAGCGCAGACTCGCTGAATCACATGTCCTCAACCTTCAAAATCCCAATTTCGCCTGAGGTCTCTTCCCTGCAGAAAAATCATCCACGTATCCACGTCGTGTTTTTCCCTTTCATCGAGAAAGCCATCTTGGGGTAGGTTTGAAGGGAAACAAGCCATTCTCAGGGTCCGAACTCCGAACCCCGATGTGGGTGCTTCCTCAAAATAGGGGACAGCAAAGGACGAGCACCAGATCGCCAGGGCCGAAGCATAGTTTCGCCGAAACTTCCGGAATGCCATGCCACTCTCGTTTAGTTGCCTCGCGGAAGGCAGACCATGCAGCTCCAACTTAAAAGTTCAAGATCTGCTCTCCGCAAGAAGCACGTCCATGCGCGCAAAGAACACCATGCAAGCGCAACGCGAGGACGTAAACCTGAGATTCTCTGATGCTTTGGAAGCATCGGATGCCAATTCGAATGGGCGAACAAGACTCGCACGGTTTTCTTTGAGGGGTCAGCATTGTTCTGGGTTGGTACCATTGTTTTGGTTGGTTCACAAGGAGACCAACAAGAACATCTTGTAAAAACTATGTTTTTTTGAGGGCGCCCTGTTTTTGATGGCTTTCAAAAAAGGGGAACCCACATATGTTTTGTCGTTCTTTCCGAGCTGACCAACAAACTGCCCCGAAACAAAGCTAAGCTTTTTCCCAAACTCAAGCATGAACCAACCTAAAAATAAAGCCAAACTCGTGTTCACCCAAGCAAAAAGTGGTTTTTGAGCACAACTATGAACATATCGCCGAGCCATGGTTTCGAATTAGTTTCACATTCCTTAGCTGACACAAAGTGTTATGAACTCCCCTTAAAATAGCATTCAACAAACATGTCATGACCCTTACCCCCGCTGAATTTGCATGTGTTTCCTCAAATTCTTGGGCCACCTCCAGTATTGGGCTCTATCTTTTTCTTTTCGACTCGTCGTGTAGAATTGGGCCAATTCTGAACTAGTATTTTGCATTTGGGGGGGGGGAAGGGATGCGTGTTTTGGAATACCAATTCAGTATTCGGTTAGTATTGCGCCTTTTTTCCTTTCCGGGGTGAGGGATTTTGTTTTTGGAATACTAATTAAGAATTGGGACAATACCAATTCAGTATTGGGGCGGTACTGAATTTGCTATTATTGGGGCACGGTGTTTTTTTGCATTTTGTTTGAGGGGAATGCTAATTTATGAGTTTCATGAGGATCAGCTTAGCTTTATTTAGGGTTTGGTGTTTATTTGGTGCATGAGGCGTCACGGCCCACTTAGTTGGCATTTATCCCAGAAGTTGAACGAAGCAACCACTGTGGATCTTAAATAGGTCGAAGACAACGCATCCCCGATTCCTCTAATCATTCGCTTTACCTGACAAAACTGCTCAACTCCAGCTATCCTGAGGGAAACTTCGGAGGGAACCAGCTACTAGATGGTTCGACTAGACATTCTACTCTTTGACCCTGTTCTTGTTTTACAGGGAGCGGGGGGAGGCGGGGCATTTCCGCATGTATGATTCAGAGGTGGACATTACTTGCTGGTGCTCAGTGGGAATGAGCAATGGAATGAGCCCAACAAACCAATCCCGGCTTTCTTTCAGGAAATTCTGTTTTTACCAGTTCACCCGGACGCGTTGTCATTCCCTACCGAGATCGCACTGTGGGCGGAGAGATCCCTTCAAATTCTACAATTCCAAAAAGCTGAATTCAGAATTAAGGGATCCCCAAGTTTTCAGCACCGACATATCACGGCTTTCGCTCCCTATACCCAAAAAACAGAACAAGCAAGAAAAAACGAAAACAAACACAGGAAAAAAGAAGAAAACACATCGATGGACTGCCCCCCCGTCACGAAAAAAATCTCGGCCGCGACCGATCGGGGCGCCGGGCCGTGCTCCACCCAGGTCCACAGCGGCAGAGGCGCCAAGCGCCCATTGCCGCCCTTCAGCACCGGGCGCAGCAGCTCCTGCCGTCGAGGCCGGCGCGGGGTTGTCGACCGGTTGCTTCTTTTGAGGTCTGCATAGTTGCTTTCAGAAGCACCCCCAGTTGTCCAAAAAGTGGTTGCTTCTTTATTTGACCCCAAACCTTTATCGTCGAAGGCACTTGTATGCTTGACAGAAATTCAGGTGCCGAGATCACCGGATTTGTCTATCAATCGAGGCTTTGGGACCCCCTCCCAAGCCCCCCCCCCCGCGCTTCGTCCTCCACCCGCAAGCGCCGAGAATCCTCGGACAAGCAGCCCACCTGCGACCCCGTCGGCGCTCCCCCCAAAAATCGTCGGAAAAATCCCCGGAGACCTCCTCCAAAAGTCGGGGAGAACGTCAAGGGGAATGGTGGGTGTGGCTCCTTTTCGATGCTTAAAGCACAAATTAGGAGGATGTGTGGAATCATCCCCGTAAATTGTCTTATCTGTTTTTTCTCATGGCAACCAAAGAGAAACCCTTGGAATGTCTATCAGAACATGCGTGTTTGCCTCGGAGGGCCTCCAGACATTGAATTCCCTGTGTTCTTTTAGGGAAGCTCTTCAATGCACCTAAATCCCTCACCTAGATGTCCAAAGGCTTCCCAGGCAGAATCACAAATCCCCAAAGAAAATGGACACCTCCCACCTCCCCCGAAAACCACCACCTGAGGTTCTCCGCCCGAAAAAACGGCTAAGACACCCCAAACACGGCGAGGGGAGGGGAGACCTTTGTGGGCTGGGATCGAGCAAAGTGGTGAATCGCCTAGCACCAAAGACTTCGAGCCCGGAAAACTCGTTTCTTTATGTAACAACCACCCCAAACAGTGGTTGTTGGGGTGGGGGGGGGGGAAACGGGGGAAGGGCTGGACTGCAACCTCCAACACGTCTTCCACGTTTTCGGAAGCGACCCCCCCACCAAACGACGAGAACGACGTCGATGTCGCGTTCGCCTCATCCAAGATCTCCGTGACGATGCGGGGCGCGGGGCCGGAGCCGCAACAGTTGGAGCCTCAAAGACCGGCCATTGGCACGCACAGGTCCCCCCCGCCCCCGTTTTGGGCTGCGGGGTCCGCTTGGAGTTTGGAAACCGAAATCCAAAACACAAAAAAATCCGAACAGCGCTGGCGCCAACTAGAATTGGTACCAATCACATGCAAAAACAACTCTACCCCTTTGGCACCGAATTCCAAAGGGACACCTCTGGACGGCAATGACCATTTCGAGCCCCAGGCCACCCCGTGTTTTCCCCGGATTTGCTTTACTGGCTCGGTGTGCCTTACCTGCCAAGGCTTGGCACTTGGCATATGAACAGATTCCTCATAAAGTCACCCAAGCTTCAGAATCGATTCCCCCAGACCAGCTAACCCAAGTCAAGTTGGCTTTAACAGAGTCACAAGCACAGACTTTGACCCCATGATGCTTGCCACCCCTCAGGCCGCAGCAGTCGGGTGCGTCCATCCTGCTTTCCGCCGTCGCCTTGGCGAGCACCTGGCAACGGCAAAAGCTTGGCTCAGATGGGTTGAAACCAAAGGAGGGCCGAAACTCATCTGGCCATGAGTCAAAACCCAAATCGAACATCCGATTCAATCCAACCACTAAAATAGGTTCCAAAATGGTTGGTGCACCTATAATAATAATAATGATAATAATAATAATAGCACATAGTAACACATAATCATGTACGAATAAGACACAACAACACAACATAATCATGCAACACTAGTGTACATTCATAAACGACCAATGGGTCATAACACATAATAACACAACATAACCATCATGCAGGACAATACGTAATACTACCTAACACATTACTAATAATACAACAGCTATAACAACAACATTCCACCACACAGAATAACACACCAAAATATCACACATAAGACCTCATCTCAAAATCCTCCAGCCAACTTTCCCTCTTGAAACTTACGCAGTCCAACCGACTGTCTTCTTTTCTGGGCTGTCCTCAGATCCCTGCTAAAAGTTTGACTTGCGGGCTAAATGGAAACCAAGCACTACAAAGCTAAACAATGCCGAGGAGTCTGATGACTGGGAACCACCGAGTTTCAGTTTATGTCCCAAGTTGAGCACAGTTGCTTTCTGGGGTGGGGCAGTCGCCGGAGCGTCGAAGACTCTCATGTGCTCAAACGGCCCCAAGCAGCACAAAGGGGACCTAAATGAATGGTTGGAGTGTGGTTCTGGGGTAACAGTAAGCCAATTTGCCGCAGAATCATGGCAAATTGATCGCTGTGTTTATCTGACCTCTTTTGTTGACTCATAGCCCCCCGCTTTTAGCTGGTGGCCAACAAAAGTCTACCGGTGAAATGGGGGTTCAATCCACATGTTTAACGGGAAAACTTCATCTTGGCTTCCCTTTATCCAGCCGCGGACAACATGAGTGTCTCCCTCAGACATGGCCTGCGAACAGGTGACTTTGAGCGCAACAACTTGGAATATCCTGTTGTCCGTTTTCGCGACTGTTTGGGGTTGATTCGAGGTCGGAAAAGCAAATCCAAGCTGGCTTTCCGCAATCGAGAAAGGCCAAACCAGTGAGGTTGTCCGCAAATCCTTTCACCGCGTTGTGGGGACTGAAAAGGCACCGAAAGGACATTTCGGTCCCCAAGCGAGGGCTGATTAAAAGGTCCTTTGTGAACACGGGATGACCAAACCGAACCCACACGAGAAAATGATGACACCTCCCATGCGTTTCCTCAACCTGGTTGAACAGATTTTCCCCGGACCCGGGCTTTCCGGTCATTTGAATGGGGCCAAAACGGAACGGCTGATCCACCCGGGTCCTCGCCTCCAAGGCGGTCATGTTGCGGTGGCGCAGCGCCACCCTCGGATCCGGGAACCGCTCGACCGGTCGTTGCACCCTGCGAGAAACGCCAGACCGGGGAAATCGCGGACTATTCGTTTTGGAGAGGTAAGCCCCCCTCTTCTTTTAAACTTTGGAGGCCGCAGCATTTTTTGGGAGAACCCTCTCTTCTTTCCCTTCTTTTTTCTTCTTTGTTTTTTCTTCTTTTTCTATGTCTCTTATTTGCGGAGAGTTCGGAGGGTACCGGTGGAGTCTGAGGCGCACAGATGGAATCTAAGCTCAGCGACAGCAGCGGCGTGGCCCCATCGTCCACCTCGCCAGAGTCCGTTTTTGGTTTTTCTCTCCCGGGGGGGGGGTATTAAACGGGCCTCCGTGGATGGGTTTCCGCTTTGTCGAAGAAATCCTCTTTGGTGTCCATTCTGCGGTATTTCCCTTCGGGTTGAACCTTTCTGGGCGGTAGCGGGATCCCAAACAGAAGCTCACAGGGTGTTTAGACAAGAAAGGTACCATAGTCTTACTTGCCCAAAGCACCTGGACATAAAGGTTAACCTTTTGTGGCCATGACTAAAAATAGACCAACATAAGAAAAGCCCATGGTTCTGGAAGTTGAGCAGTTGAGACACATGTTTCTTTTGTTACATAGGTGAGGACAATGTGTCCCCCCAACGCAACATATTTTGCCGATTTTTCCATATTGCCCAAAAGTTGAGCAGGTTTACGGCCCCAAGTACCGGAAAAAAAGATGCCATGGTTGGAAGGTTGGAGGTTCTGATGGAAATAACCTGGGATCCGTGCTGCAGGTTCCCTTGCCCAAAACCTCCCCGCATGTTTCACTCCGAATTCTGCGAAGAAACATCTGGCTGTGACCCTTCTTCCTTTCTTTCCTGAGAATCTGGCTGTTTCTTCTTCCTTTCTTCCTGAGAAATACTCACTTTTCAGGGTGGTTTACCGGCCAGCCACGAATCCTTTAAGCCAGCCGGACGCCGAGTGGGACGTGCCTCGATCTCCAAGTCGGCCTTCGCCTCGAGCGCCAACAACCCCGCGGAGCCGCCACTTTTTCAACTCGGGGCGGGAGCCTGGTGGTGTTTAGGGCTGCTCGGTGATCTTGTACTTTTGATTTTGATTTGAACTTTAGGCGTTTCACAGGATGATTTAAACTTTAGGCGTTTCACAGGATGATTTAGACTTTAGCAGTTTCACAGGATGACTTTCCAACCAAACACGACTTCCGAGGGAAGTCAGACCTGACTTCAAGTTTCACGTCGGAACCCGCCCAGTCACTGGCCCCGAACCCAACCGAGGGATTGAAGTCTGAACACATGTTCCCCCTGGTAGTCACCAAGACATAGGCACTGCTCAAAGCAAACCAGGAAACTGGGAGGAACCAAAACCATCTGCAAGCTGGAGCCTTTCTTTCTGAGCCACGATGTCCTTTTAAGCAAGATGGCACCACCATGAAGCACCTGGACGCCGTGTGCTTATTCCCAAACTGACTGAAAGGATGAGGGAACAAATCCCAAAGCACGGATTGAAACTCACCACCTGCAAAGCACAAGCCTGCTTGAACTCCTGCCAGTCTTTTGTACCATGTTTCTTCTCGCGCTTCTCCACTCTTTTCTCTGTGAGTTCCTCGCTTTGGCCAATGGGGGTCCCTTGGGCTCGGGGTGCCAACATCTGGCCGAAACGGAGTGCGAAACACCGCGAAACGGAGCGCGCCACAATCAAAAGCAGTCTGAGTCTGGCAGTGAACCCAGGAAAAAAAAGACGCGCACCAAAAAAAAGCATCGCAAACGGATCTGATCCCCCGAGAGGAAAGAGATTTGTCTGGAAAAGGCGGAGATCCACACAAATGGCTGGGATTCTCCAGGTTTTGATGGTGGCTGAGTGGGGGGACATGGGCAACCGGTGTGACCGCCAAATGGATCGCTGTCCCAGTGCTCCGTCAACACAAAAAAAAACCGTTGACAAAACAGAGAAAACAAAAAAAAAAGACGGACACTCTAACTGGAAGGGCCGCTTCAAGTGTCTCATGAGATCCACGTCTTGGGGTTTCTCTTCGAAGGTTTTTCCCCAAACTCCTTCCTGTTGCGAGTCGGCCTCCAGGAGCGCGTGGATGCTGCGGGTCACCGACTCCGGGCTGGAGCGGTAGCTCATCGCCTGAGATCTCTGGAGGCATCTCGATGCTCCGAGAGGCCGCAGGGAAATCGTAAAGAAAACAAAAAGTTCTCCGAACCATCGGAAAAAAAAGCAAAAAAAACAAACACATCTGAGTATGGGTCAAAAAGTTTTCGAGCGCCAGGAATTGGACCGGTCGTTGTCCTTGGCTCCGTTCACCAGGGTAACCCGTTTTGGGGTTGCTCTATTTCTGACCCACGATCTAAGCTTGGCTTCTTCGATACCGCATGGAGCTCCTTCGAAAGCTGTTTGAAGTGGTAGTGAAGTTTCTGAGCCCGGATCGAGTGGGCAACACCTGCAATGGTCCAAGCCCAAAGAGCAAACCCAAAGAGCTCAGAAAGTGACGTCCGAAATTTGGACCTTTGGTTTTCTTGCCAGCAACGGAATATGTCTTTCATCACACATGGGTTCTCCTCGACTTTTGTGTTTTGTAACCACGTATTGCCCACCACGGGTGCAAGCGATCAAAACTGCCCCGCCCCAAACTGGTTGCTTCCTCACAGTGACTGAGGGCAGGACCCCGAACTCAAACATTCTCATGGCGATGGGTGTAAAAAAAAGAAAATCCCAACCCCCCCATTGACCGGCCAGTGCTCACTGGGGAATCAGTAGAGGTCTGGGTCGGGGAATGGATTCCCCACAAGTTGGTCTCAGTTCCTGGAACTTCCAAAGCTCTTCCTGAAAAATCGATCGCAACGAAGAACATGTCCAAAACACCTTCTGAAAACCTGGTTCAACTGGTTCAGGGTGGAAAGACCCGGCTTTCGCTTTTGGTGTCCTTTTCTTGGTGGTTCTGGACCTGGAACTCCCGCAGTCGGACGGACCGAGAATTTGCTTGGCCCCCCGCCAGCAGCGCAAGGCCCGTCAAGCCCAGACTCTCCTCCTCCTACCATGAACCAGCGTCACTGCGACGTTCGAGCGGCTTTGACCCGGAGCCAAGTTGGGTGGAAAGGGAAACCACGTCCAAAATTGGGAAAAAGGAGAAGCCTTCAAAGATGTGCGCTTCGCTGGGGTTTGCAATGTGTAGGAACACCCAAGTTTGCTGGTTTCACCATGGACTAGCCACGGTTGGTCGGCCACCAACCCCGAAGTTTTCGCAGCGCTTCGCTCGCAAAAAACCGTGCGGGGTTTGGAAATCGCATGCAACCGGCAGGTCTCCTTCAAAGAAAACACGTCAGGGGTGACATAATTGTTTTCAGCTTCGCACCCTAGGTCTTTGCCCTACTGGGTGTGTCGTTTTAAGGATTTTACGGGTTGGACCCCCCCAAAGTTGTGGCCTTCCTTGTGGTTTTTTCCTTTGAAACCACCAAAAAAAAGGTGCCGACTCGGAAAAGACACGCTGACATGTTGGAGCGCCTACACGATTGGCTCTGCGCAACAGCTCCGCTTCAAGGAAAAGTTGGCACCTTTCTCCCTCCAAGTGAAGGGCTCCCACGTGCCTCCTTTTGCACAGGGACGGCTGCGGGGATGTTTGTTGGGTCGGTTTGGGTTTGGCAAGTTCCTGGAATCGCAGTTTGCACTTGAGCCCATTCCGGGAGGGCACGGCTTCATATCGAGAGCCTTGAGGTCAAACCCCAATGAGCTGACGCTGAAAGAGTCTTGAGACAAACATCTGGCCGAAAGAAAGTGCCATGGTCATGGTTTCACAATTCCTCGCGATTGAGAGTATAGGAATGTCAAATGACCACGGCACATATCAAGCTTCAAACCCACTTAAGCATCACTCCGGGCAAGCAGAATCCAAACTGGCAACCAGCCGGGATGTTTTGAAGGGAACCCCTGGCAACATATTTTGCATAAAACAGATATTCCTATCTGGAGACACATCCCGGTGGTTTGCTTACCTCCAGGTCTTCGGAAACTCTTTACCTCCAGTTTCTTTTTACATCCGGAAACTATTTCCCTCCAAAGTTTTCAGGTCATTCCTTACCAGCTGTTATGGTCATAAGAGTTCCCTTGACTCCCCGCGGCTGGAGCACGTGCCGCCCGGGCAACTCGCCTCCTTCTCCCGCGCGTTGGGGTCGGCGCCCGAGCGCAACGCCTGAAACTCGAAGCCGGCGGCGCAGGCCACAGCTTGACCGCGGAACCAGACGCGACGTCTCCAAAATGGAAGGCATGACAGCCTTGTCCCGGTTGAGGTGCTTCTTTTTTTTTACTAGCTCTAGCTTTTTCGGGGATTCTCTGGGGGCCAGTTGGCCCGCATCTCAGCATCCCAGCATCCCCAGCATTTCCAGCACCGCCATCCCCAGCATCCCCAGCATCACCAGCATCCCCAGCATCCCCAGCATCCCCAGCATCTCCAGCATCACCAGCATCCCCAGCATCACCAGCATCACCAGCGTCACCAGCATCACCAGCATCACCAGCATCACCAGCATCACAGTCACAGCGTCGCCAGCATCCCCAGCATCCACCGCATCCACCGCATCCCCAGCATCCCCAGCATCCCAGCATCCCAGCATCACCAGCATCACCAGCATCACCAGCATCACCAGCATCACAGTCACAGCGTCGCCAGCATCACCAGCATCCCCAGCATCCCAACATCCCCAGCGTCGCCAGCATCACCAGCATCCCCAGTATCCCCAGCATCCCAACATCCCCGGACTCGCTCGGACTCGCTCGGACTAGGACTGCCAATTGGCCTTGATTTAGAGTTGCTCTGAGCTGGTTGTTGGGCTTGCTGAGGTCTTATATAATGAGGGCTGGTCTTGGGTTTGTTTGGGGTTCATTTAGGCTTTGTAAAGGGCTGACATCCAGGATGCTGTTGGGAGGGTTTAAGGTTGACTTTGAGTCGGTTTGGGTTGGCTTGGAGCTGATTTGCGCGAGGTGTGCGACCCACTTTTTGCAGTAGCTTTTGGGCTGCGGTGTTTGTGGCAACGCCCCACAACCAATCCCAAAGCAGCCCAAAAATTGCATAACCACGCCTGAAGCAGCCCTTACAAACACCGTGGTTCATCAACCACGACCTGCGCTTCTTTTTGGGCTGGGACTTTCATTGACCAAAGCGCCGATAAGGCCCGCGGGGCGCTACACTGGCCTCCTGAATCACCGACACCTCCGGGTCCCGCTCCTGGCCGTTGAGCCCAACGCGGCCTTACCTGCCCCTCCCCACTCCCCAGTTTGGCGGTTTTGGAGGGAAACCCCTAGTTTGGTGGGTTTAGGCCATTTTGGGGACCCTCTCCCCAAATTTTGGAGCCCATGCAGGGAAACAAAACCGGAGGTCTACCGAAGCAAAATATTTTGTGCTTAGCCTTTGGTACAAAAGAACCCACCTCGCAAAAGTCAGACAAATGAGAACCAAACGTACCAATGTTCGCATCTTCAAAGCCCCGTTTGCGGAGTCTGCTTTTTGGGGCAGCTTTGGGTTCCAAATAGATGGCTCCAAGGGAGTTTGCCATGGGCAGGGAGGCCTAGTTGAGAACAAACCCATTTGAATAAAGCTCACTCTGCAGCCATATTGGGTGCCCAACTGCAGCTGTTATGTGAAACACCTGATGCTACCGAAAAAAAACGAGGTGCCTTTACCTGCAGAACCCATGGCCTATCCAAAACTGATAAGAAAAAGTGTGTTGGGCACAACGTTTTGGGGATAACTGCATCGACCCAGGTGTAGTTCACTTTTACCAGTGAGCATCTGTGTTGGGCACAACTCTTTTGGGATAACTGAATCAACCCAGGTGCGGTTACCATTCACCTGTTTCCACAGTTCCGTCGGGTTGGACAAGCGGTTTTGACATGGGGCGTTCTACGTGGTTGTGGAAGAACTCACAAAATTGTGGGGTTCCTTACCCTCGTGGAACAGAAAAACAAAAACCAGCTCAGGTCTGCGCCAACTATCACTGGTCGCTGCAAACTTCGTTCGGTTCCTGGAGGCCTTGAGACTTCACGAGTTTGGAACAGAAACCTCCTGGGGTTTGGCAACAATTGTATCGTGAGCTTCGGGCCACGCATGTTTGCGTCGGAATACATGGGCACCAACAGTGCTCACTGGACACTCATTTTCTGCAGTTTTTAAAACACAATTCCCAAAGCCGAATAAGAATTAAGGGCTCCCTAAGTTTCAGGATCGAAATATCATGGCTTTCGCTCAAAACAAAGGCTAAGAAGAGGGTGGAATCGCTCGCGTCAGAACAAAATTAGCAGACTCGTGCACATTTGAGACCCTTCCGACCTGCGAATCCGAAGCAGTCTCTCAGAATTGCCGCCTCGTCCAAGGCCTGGCACCGATCGGGTCGGATCCGATCGATCGTTGAACCGCTCGGGGCAAGGCTGGGTAGGATGTCGAAGGCTGTGGGGTGAAGGACACATCCTCATGTCAGTGGTTTGGAGTTCCGGTCTCCGCCCTTGAGGACACGACCTTCAAAGTTTCGGTCCAGACCGCCCAAAGATGGGGGTTATGTGAGTGAACTCACAAAACCGAAGACACACAAAAGGTGATATGATTCACAATCAAAACCCGGCATTGAACTGTTTGATGGCTCACATGCCGCTGTTTGGAGCCGGTTGATTGGTGAATTTGTCTCCCATTTGATACTGATGGACGAAATCCCTTCGCACCACTTGGGAACCGTGGTTGAACCCAGTGGTTGGCATTTACAGGGGAATCACATCATTCCAGAGTTTCTTAGCTGGCGCGAAATGGAATTCGGTCATCCACAGTAGCATCACCTTACCTCTGAGTGGCTTGCTTTGGCTGAAGCATGCGCCACGGGGAAGGGTCCCTGTGGGAAACCCCTTGAAGCGATCCAATGGGTATCCCGTATCACTGAACAAAATGAGAAACCCTTCACAAAAAAGAGCACACCCTAAACCCTTCTAACCAAAAGTGCAAACCCCTAACACCCTTTAAACAAAACTCAAACCCTCATGGAACAACAAAAGCACACAACAAAACAAGCAGCTTCCGGCTCTCGCACCCGGTTTGCCTCCCCGGCGCCCTTCAAACATCGAACTTCCGCAGGAACAAAACCACTCGTTGTTCAAGACACCTGGTTGACTCGGGGGTGGCTCTCTTTACTCAACAAACCAACTCGGAGCAAACACACCCCAACCAAGGTTCCCTTGGTTCACTTGCAAAAACTGGCTGAACTGTTCACGATCTGCTGATTGGACTGTTCACTCCAAAACTCATCCAAACGCATCAGAGTGAAAACTAGTCTCAAAATTGACCAAGAACCCCCCCCCCTCCAGCAACAATCAAATCACAAGGAACATACATAAAACAACAACAATACAACCAACATACACCAAACTCTCCAGCATCCAAGGATTAATAAACCCACGGAAGAAATTGTTAAAGCACCTGATGTTTTTCATGAACCCTGGACTGATGGGTTGATATGCGCACCACACCGCATCCAAACCTTCCAGTTCGAGGTTTCAACCTCACCCCTTTGCAACAGAACATGGTATCACCTCACAAACACGAGCCTAAACCCCACAGATCTTCGTACCCCCCAGCCACCCCCCATCCCATCCCCCTTCCCCTCCCCCCAATAGCCCCGTTCCCATTCCGAGCCCATCCCCGCCTGGCGCAGCTCCATCAGGAGTCGCCGGGTGGCGGAGAAGGTCTGCATCTTCTCGAACTGCTCCTCCGGCTTTTTCGAGTTTTCGAGCTCGGGGCTGGCTTGGTTGACGGGTTTGGGGAGCCAAAAAATGTGTTTGCATTTTTTTTGGCAGTGAAGTGGTGGGATTTCAACCACAAGCAAACATGCGAAATGTTTCTCAATGAGGGCCAACCATGCCCGCGCCTGGTGAGTTGAAAGGCCAAGTTTCTGTCCAAATGGATGTCGGACACCTTGGGTGGGAGCTTGAACAGGAAACCAGAGGAAGCCCATCGTTTTCCTTGTTGGATGGTGGGGAGAAAGGAGTGTTGCCGGGATTTCGCCCTGGAAATTACGGGTCTGTCTCTCTTTCTTGCACAGTTTCTCCAGGAATGGTTTCTCCAAATTCATTTCCGGAAGAAATTCTTATTTTGAAAAGCCCCCGCAGCTCCTAAAAATCCGACTCGGCGCGGCTTGTTGCGAACGATGCGGCAGTTTTTGTTTCGCCTTTTGGGTGTCGAAGGGGTAAACACGGGGAATGTGGAGGAGTGTATGCCTTCCCTCGAGGACGGGCTTGTGGTTTAAATGGCTTGTGTTGTTCTATCGTAAAAACAGAAAATTTACGGGGTGCTTTCTCATGGACAATGAAGAAATATTTGGACATGGCCTGGTTCCAAAGGGACAAAACTCGTTTGAAACGGATCCCATGCTAAAAACGGATTTGTGAGTGCTACAAATGTGTTGGGATGTAGCACCTTTTCGTGGAGATGCTTGGCTACGCGTGCGCATGTTGCTTAGGGCTGGGGAAGGCTGCGCAGGGACGTGCTCATGTTCTTGTCGTATTGCCTGGCCCTGGTGATGCGTGTGCAATCCAAATGTCCACATTGGCACGGCTGGCGCTGATGGGGATCAGCGATTGTTGCAGTTCGGCTGCGCAGGGGGTGCGCACAATTGATGCATTTCTTGTTGATGCTGCGCTATCACATCATCATCATCATCCTCGTCTTCTGCTTCTTGACGGAACTAGGACCGCTTAGGCCTTGCTGGGACGGGCGCCGCGTGCTGCTGGGGATCCGCTTCGGGAGACGCGCTGGCGCGCCGCAGCTCTTCGCCTTGCGCTGACGTGCGCATTGGACCCGGTTGAAACACAATCGTGTGGAGACTTGAGCCAATGTGGCCACGTGTAATGGGTCATATGACGTGTCACTGGCAAACTCTTGAGTCTGGTCTCCCCTTTCCGGCGTATCAACAATCATTCTGTTGAAGAATAGCCCTTACCCTTACGTCTGCGCGTGTTGGATGTACGGGGCGTGCTATATTTTCCACTGGTTCTAAAGGGAATCGATCACTGGAGATATTTTCTCATGTGTCCAGTGGGTAGTTGCTCACTCCCCGAGTTCCTGGGCTTTACGTGATTGGTGGTGATGGCTAGAAGCGTGCAAGCTCTTCCCAAAAATGTCCAAAATCGCGGTCCCACTCTCCAGCCCAAACACGCAAAGGTGCAAAGGGTTTGGGGGTGCGAGCTCCATGTCAAAAGCAATGGGGTAAGCCATGGGTCGGAGCAGGACCTTCGCAAAAGTCTCCTTCCAAACCTTCAACGGCACCTTGCCACCAAACTGCGCCACCCAAACCTGGGCCACCCCCAACATCCTCAACGCGGCCACGGCCTGCACTGCCGTGACCTTTACAGCCCTCTTAACTGCGCTGGACCCATTCCAAAACGTTTGGAATGGCGAAGAAGTGGGCAGAGGGATCTCCACCCCTTGCTTGTAGAGAGCAGCACAGAGCTCGGCCTTCCAGGCTTGGACTTGCTTGAAAGCAAGTACTTCCAGAAAAATACCCAGAGGCTGAGAAAACAGTTGCAAGTGGTGGGGGCCTGCCACTGTAAACAAAGCCGTTGTGCCCCAAAAGGCCGCGAACCCCAGCTCCTCCGTTGGAGATGGGACATGTAAACAGCCGCAACATCCAAAGTCGAGACACATGGCAGCTGAGTGTTGCACGCAAACAGCGCGCGCGCGCCACACCCACACACACAGACACACACACACACAAAACCCACACCGCACTCACGCACTCACGTGCACACACACGCACACGCACGCACGCACGCACGTTCGCAACACCAGCTCTTGAGCAACGACTCCACTGGCACCCCTGCATGTCGGCTCGCTTTGCTTCTCTTTGGTCACTTTCCATTACGCTTTCGGGACACCGTGGTTCTGGCTTTTTTTAAAACCCAAGGTCAAAGGCGCAGCCCCCCGAGTGCTGGCTTGTGGGGATTGGTCTATTGCGCCTCCTGATTTGCGACTCCAGCTCCCTTGTGGTTACTCAACGCGCGCGCAAGCGCACAGAGCTCCCAACACCGAAGCTTATAAGTCACAAAAGAAAACAAACTTTGCAGATATCCGCTTAGCACGCGCGCTCTCAGGCGCGCAAGTGTGTCACACACACACACACACATGCAGCCATGATGTGGTTCTGGGAGAGGTCAACGACCCCCTTCGTTTCACCACCTGCTTGTTGGAGGGCAAACGTGGACGAGTTTTGCCTTGTTCGGGAAAGTTGTTGCCACCAAGTGAGAAAAAACTATGTTCAGTGTAACTCAAGCCGCGACCATGCTTATTTCTTTAACAGGAACTGAGGCCGTAGTAAGGCTGCGACATTGGCGGTAGACGCGCGCTCTTCTCCCTTCATTGTGGGAATGCAACTCCTTCCCGATCTAACAAATATGTGCAATTCCGCAAGAACTGTCATTCTGAGCAAGACTAGTGAGAGGGTATAATTGGGAGAGCCCCTGTCTCTGTTTTGGTGTGTTGCTTGGCGTCCCAATTGACCTTCCCGCAGTTTTTTGCATGTGCTATGCAGTTGCAGAAAAACACATCCTTGCGGACCGCTTTCCAGGTGCCATATCTGCACAACCAGGGACATTCAAGAGTCTCCACACCCATCGACGCAATACATGAGCAACGATTTGTTCTTGCTGTCCTATCAGTCTTGGATAGGCCATGTGTTTGAATTTTGCGAGTTGGTTCCAACAATAAGAATCACCGACTCAGATTGACATATGTTCTCTCTTTGTGTTGAAGATCTGTCACTCGAGCGCGCGGCGCCATAAAGACATAGAGCGTGGCAACGAGTAAGCGGCAGGCACATCACACGCAATTCACACAGCTCTCCGCCAACCACTCGAACGGGAGACCGTGGTTCGTAGCTATGTCCCGCCACAGCCTCTTGTCCTTGCCAAAGCCTGAAAATTGCATGTTGCAACCTGGCCACACAAGGCATCAAGACTCTGACAAGTCGCCACTTTGCAGGCAAGCTGCCACCTGCGTGGACACCAGCAGGCCGAGCCCAATTGTTCACGATACGTGTGGTTTTGTTGGTGTGCGTGGCTGCAGACCGATGATGCGGGAATTGCTCGGGTGCAAATTTGGGGCCAGTTGCAGATGATGTAGGTGATGCAGGTGATGCAGTTGACGCTGGCGATGCATGTGATGCATGTGATGCATGTGATGCATGTGATGCAGGTGATGTAAGTGATGCAGGTGAGGCGCAATGCAGGTGATGTAGGTGATGCAAATGATGCAGGTGATGCAGGTGATACAGAAACTCTAGTTTTTGGTGATGCCAGGAATGCAAACTGTCAAGTCCTGTAGGCATAGTGTGCCGGATGCTTTTCCAAGGGTTGTGGATTTCCCGAACAAAGGGGACACAGAATAGAGGGAGAGGATTGAACAAGGAAACAAAGGATTGGAGTAAATGCTTGCGGGCTGGCTAGTTTTCCACAGACTCTGACGCTACTTCATTGTTCCACCTTGTCCTGGGCTTTGTCTCGAGAGACACGCCCGGAGACCGATCTACCAGAAGTTTGGAAGGTCCGGGACGCTGGTAAAATTGGGGAATATGAAGGAAACCCCAAGACGGATGCAGTGCGCAATGTGGGAGTTTCGCGAAAAAACGCATTTTGGAGCCCCTTTTGGTTGGTATTTAAAGGGAATACGAAGAAAACTCGAAGGGGCAAAACGGAGTTGCGATGGAGCAAACTGGAACGCGAAGCAGCTGTCCTCCCCAACATGCTCGCGCAGGTGCTCGGCGATCTGTTTGCGGCCTCAGATGTGTTGCTTGTTTTATTTTCTAGGCAAAAATCCGTTTCGCGTTGGTTGAAAGGGAAGCTGCACAGAAACACATTTGGGTCCCTCTTTCTTCTTTGCCCCCTCGTTTTTGGGGTTTCTTTTTGTTTTTGGTCGAATTACCCCTTTTCGGGGTCCCCTGTTCTTTTTGGACGAAGCAGTTTCTTCTGTCCACGCTGAACGGCTGTGAACAAATAAGGCCCAATACCATGTGTTGACACAGGTGTCCTTTTGGGGCAAGTAGATGGCCCTGGTAGATGATTAAACCACCAGGTAAAGCAGGGCCATCTATTTTTCCAAAACAACCAAAAAGGACACCTATGCGTTGATTTTGCCGTTGGGTCCTTCTTTTGAGGTGGGAGATTCATCTGGGTTGCTTCTTTTGTTAAGTGGGAGATGGATCCCCTGCAAATCAGCCAAATTCTCGTGTCCGTTCTCACACGCCTTTGGTTTCCCCCGGTTTGCACAGGTGCATCAAAGTGACATCTTCAAAGTCACTCTCAGACTTGCGGCTAGGGAATGTGAGAATGAACCCAGGGGCCCCAAAGGAAACCAGCAGGATGGATGGCGTGTTTTTTCTTCTTTTCGGCTGATCCCATTTCTCATTCCATCTCTCCCATCTCTCGCACCGATCGCAATCGCTTGCACTCAAGTGCGGTTCTCAGGCTCCAGCTTTCCTCGTCGCCACCTCGAGCCGCTGGATGGACTTAAGGGTAAGGATATAGAAAGAATACCGTGGCCACGTTTGAGACATAACCCTTCAATCCATTCACCAAGGATGCATAGCATTGCCCAAAAATGCCACAAAAAACAACATCCCGTGCAACAGAAAGTTGGCTTCCCAAAGTCTAACCGAGGAGATTCCAACTTGCATCACAGAGGGGATAAACCCCGAGTGATCCCACAAGCCTGTTCCCACGTGTTTGAGACACATACATTCTAATCACGTCACGTCCTTTGCACTCAAGCCCAAAGGGCTGAAACCACCCCAAACACGAGCGATGGCGTCTTTTTACCTCGCCCACCACGTCAGCAAGTCGCTGAGAACGAACAAAAGGAATGCGAGTGTCTACCCAAGGACCTGCGGACAACTTTTGGTGTGCGGTTTTTTGGGATCCCCTTTTTTGGTGTTCCAAAAACAGGAGCCCTAAAGCTGGTCTCAAAAAACCCTGCCAGCCGGACAACTCTTGTGGGGTTTGGGGCGCTGCTCACACACATTTTTTGAAAGGGACAAGTCCTGAGGTGCTCACAAATTGAGCCTTTGGGTCGTTTCAACATGTTGAACGGGGCACACTCACCGCGATGTCGGTTGCAATTGGAGCCCAGTTGATCGTGAGGTTCATGCCTGGCTGCGCCAATTCCCCCCCAATCTCCGTGGTTGATCCTGGCTGACTTGCTTTTCATCGCCCCTGAACTTCCATTTGCTTATCCGCCCCCTTAAAAAAAGAACAACAAGCATGAAGTCCAGTAGTTAAAACTCGATTCCCTTTCCCAAACCTGCAAGGTAAAACACACAGAATTTCAGCATTCCCTTTCCAAACCAGCAAGGGAAAATACATAAATCAAAAAGAACATAGAACCCATCACAAAACTCATTTCAGAAAAGCTTTCCAGACCTCCACGCGTCGTATCCCCCGCGTTCGTCTTCGAGGACGCCGCTGCTGCGCTGCAGGGCGATGAAGACATCCTCGCCCACCGCCTCCTCGTGGGCCGCGTTCCGCAGCAGCGCCTCGGAACCAGAGGGCAAAATGCCCATGGCTTTAAGGGGAAGCCCTTTTTCTTTTGGGGGGGGACCAAATTTTAAGGGGGAAGCAAACAAGAAGGACCACCCCCATTTTTGAGGGGGGCCCATCCCTGAAAACGGAGCAGTTGAGTCCAGGGGTAGAGCTTCAGCTTCTCCGAGGGTCAGGCGGGTTTAAGGGGAAAGCCAAAAAGAAAAACCATCGACATGCTTTTTGGGGGGACCTAAAGACCCTCAAAACAACACCCCAGTTCCAGGGGTAGCTTCCATTTCCATTCTTGGAAGGGATCCAAATCTTGCTAGAAAACCTCCGGACACCCAGGAGAAAAACCGGCGGTTCTTCAAGAAAAGAACGGATGGTTGAAAAGAATGGAGACGGCAACAACCCCCAGAATTTGGGTTGCTTTCGGTTCGTCTGATGCTCGAAACCCTAAACTTTGGGTAACCCTTTGGATTACTTTGAGCAATTGGGTTACGGTTTCTCTTTCGGTTCGGATGGGAAAGGGAGGACAATGTTTGTTGTTGGGTTGACTTCTTAACTCTGCCAGCTCCATGCAAACCAGACAATCAGATTAGTCAAGGGCTCAAGAAAGGGAGCGGGCAACTGACGTGCTCCGAAATTCTTGGCAGAAAAAGACAACAAAACAATGGCAACACCAAGGGCCCCGTGTAAAATGTTGCGCCCCCCAACGCCGCTTCGCCGTCCCCGTGCTTGAAAGAAACTCCGGCAAGCACAAACCGGAAAGCCCACGCCGCCTCCACGGCAGCGGCGCTGCCTGCCTGAACCGGTCGCGTGGAAAGCACCAAGCGGTCCCAACCCCAAATGACTTGTTTGGCTTTCGCGGCGTTGTCTCCATAAACACCCCAAAGAAAAGCAGCAAAACGGAAGGCTGAGTCAGTATCGATCAAGCTTGCAATCCATCTGGTCTCCTGTAGCCTTGCACGAGCCCTCTGCTTTCAGATTCGCCTGCAAGCGCAAGTATTCCGCAGCGACTCGCTGGTCATGAAATCTTCATGCTCCTATCTACAATGCTTTCAGGCTCGTTCATACGCTATCAAGTATTCTGCATAGACGCGCTGCTCATGGAAAAGTATGAATTCGCGAAATCGTTTGAGAGCTTTGCCCTTATTTACAACGAGAATGATGGTAAATCGGATTTCCCTCAGGACACCCAGGAATCGGGGCAAGTTCCCTCCGTTGCGAGTTGAGAAAGATTTCTGCGCCAGTGCCCATATCCGTAGTTCGCGGTTCTGCTGTCTGCATGAAGCCGCGAGTGTAGATCGGCCACCCGCAGGAAGTGCGGACAACGAAGCAGAAACACAGCTTCCGTGCGTCCACCACATCTTTTTTAAACAGGCACTCCAGGAGCTCTTGAAGATTGTCGCTTGCATCTGCCACCGGCCTCGCATATTGGTCAGCCTTCTCAGGATCGCAAAGGTACGTGCCGATGCCGAAGGCGCCGTCCTTCGAAGCCAGACCTGTCAAACCGCGCCTCAGAATGGGCAGGACATGTTCTGGTCGAGTGCCGTGAAGTAGACTCCTGCTTTCTTGTTTTGCAAGGCTGGCAGGGCCGAATCCAAACTTGTGGATACATGCTCAGGGATCCCAACCCCAACCCTCCTGGGCACTTGCGTGCTAACGCCATGGCGCAGGACCAGCTGAGAATACGCACCCAGGCCCCTCTCAGCATCCTTGCCTTTACCAAGCTCGAAAGGTTTGCTTACCATCATCAGACTGGTCAAGCCTTGCAACTCACAGCCGCTTGCTGTGACCCAAGGGGCCCCAAGTGTGCGAGGGTTTGTCCAGCCAGTAATATGGCGTGTTCTCCACATGCGGACAACGCCCATCCCTATTAAATATGTCAAAGCACTGCTGGCACAAATAGAAGTCAGGCTGGCGGGAAATGACTAGCTGGAAGCAGCAAGCGCAGAAAACGATGCCAGGCTCGGCGAATTTGGCCTGGTCTCGGCAGCGCCTCACCACCTTGGGTCGAAATGCCTGTAGGGACCGCTGGCAGAACTTTGAAAGCAGCTCGATGTTGCGGCTCTGAAATCTCTTGAATGCCTCCTCATCCGGGGTGGTCGAATGGCTGGCGCTGGCTGAGTGGTCAAGGCGCAGCAACTGGGCGGTGGCCAAGGCTTCCTGGGCAATTTTGAGGACCCGGCCTTCAAAGGCTTTCTCGAGACCCGCGTCCAGCTCGAATTCCCCCCAACGATCAATCAAGCCATTCCAGAGATAGAGCCAGAGCTGCCGGAGCCAGCTGAACCGAAGGAAGGAATCATGGGCCGGTTGGTGGTGTGCCCATCATGGCCAAGGAAGTGGCCGGAACACTGAACACGAGGCCCATCAGACTTTGAATGCGCATAAGGATATTCGGATATTCAGCACAGCAAATGCACTGCTGAATATCCGAAAACCAGCTCTTCAGCTTGTCAAAGGCAGACTGCTGGATCCATTCAGGAAACCCCACCCTGCCCTCCAAAAAGAACTTCTAGGCCAGAAAAATGCGCGCAATTACTGAGGCAAAAATCCGGGCCGGAGCCAACGTTCTCAACAGAGCCTTCCCAGCAGGTAGAAGGACAAAAGAATGCGCGGCAACGATCGCCGACGACGTGTGTTGAAGCAAAAAGCAATCTGGATCTGGGTTGTTGCGCAGGTCAGCAATCAGAATTCGGGGAATGGAAATGGTCTTCCCTTCGTTGAGCTGCCTGACCACGGTGGGCGAAGTTTCGTAAGAAGCAGCTTCGCATCTCCTTCTGCTGTTCGTATTGCTCTTTTAAAAGCCGTTCAAGAACTGAGAGCTGTTCATTGAACTTCTCCATCAAGTTTGTCATATGAGTTGCAGTCTGGGAAGGTCATGCACACGATGTCTGCAAAGTTCTGCTGCAAGAAAGCGGCAAAGTGCCACCACTCCCTTCAAAATCAAACAGGAGGCTATGACCATATGCGAAGCAGCTCACATCCCCTGTCACAGACAACGGCACACCGCCGCAATCTAATTCTTCGAAGTCTAAACTGAAGGGCAAATGACCAGAGTCAGTGCCCATCATCTTCGAAAAATGTTTGGCGATGTGGCTCTTCCCAGCACCAGTTTTGCCCATCAGCGAAATTGCCCAGTAAGGCTTTCCTTCGTCCCACCCGCTCCTTCAATCGAGCACACAAACCTCTTTGTTGACTTTCAATTCGCCATGACCTTCTCTCACGTCCAAGGAAATGATTTGACGCTGTTTCAACTGCATCCGAGCTTGTGCTACCTGGTCCATGATCTCAGCAGGAAGACGAGGTTCAAAACTGTCAGTCAGACCCGCATCCTCTGCATATCCTCCCTCGGCCAGTGCCGCCATGGCCAATGAAATGATGGCTCAAGCACTCGACGCGCAGTCAATTTGCAACTTAATGCGTGGCAGCTCAAGAGAACAGGATGCATTGAATGCCGTTCAAGAATTGGCGAGCTGGCGGCAAAACAATTGAGCAACAATTAACAGCAAAGTGGTTCACCTGACAAACTGCGAGCCACAAAGGTGCGCGCATAGCCCGTGTTTCTCAACAGAATGAGCAAGCAAAGGGTCATGGGTTTTTGCGCAGGTGCAAGCAAGCAGGGCTTCGGGCTGCTCACGATCAATTCCTCACGCCGCCCCCGTCTCGAACCGCTGGGGCATCAAACATGTCCAAGCCACCAACACCAACAAGTGATGTTAAAACATTTTGCAAAAGGGTAAACCTAGAACAGTTCCCCAAAGAAAGGCGGCAAACATCAGGACCTCTGGTTTCAAGCGGGCGCTCACCCGATTTCCGCGACCGAAGCGGCGCTCCCGCTGCCTGGATCCACACCCACAGCGGCAGCCTGCAAGGCGAGCAAGGTGGTACAAATGCAAGATCGGTTCCATTCAACTCCTAGGTCCTCCAGATTTGAGAGGTTAGAATAAGTTGGTACCAACTTTGTTCTGTCTATTTTAGTAGAACCCTCCCCCCAAAAAAGGGCAAAAGGGCACTACTCAGGGACCTAGGCTCTCAAATCAGCCGAAGCAATCGAGCTTCAAGGAACAAATAGCCCAGCCAACTGCGAATCCGCATCAGCACTGAGTGTCTTCGGCCTCTCTGATCCAATACAGTCCCCGAGAACCCCCTAAAATAGTTCTTGGGTGCTTCAGGAACTCCCCCCCCCTGACACACGCACACACACAACACAACACAACACAACACAACACAACACAACACAACACAACACAACACAACACAACACAACACAACACAACACAACACAACACAACACAACAACACAACACAACACAACACAACACAACACAACACAACACAACACAACACAACACAACACAACACAACACAACACACAACACAACACAACACAACACAACACAACACAACACAACACAACACAACACAACACAACACAACACAACACAACACAACACAACACAACACACACACACACACACACAACACAACACAACACAACACAACACAACACAACACAACACAACACAACACAACACAACACAACACAACACAACACAACACAACACAACACAACACAACACAACACAACACAACACAACACAACACAACACAACACAACACAACACAACACAACACAACACAACACAACACAACACACACAACACACACACAACACACACACACACACACACACACACACACACACACACACACACACACACACACCACACACACACACCACACGCACACGCACACGCACGCACACGCACACGCACACGCACACGCACACGCACACGCACACGCACACGCACACGCACACGCACACGCACACGCACACGCACACGCACGGACACACACACACACACACGGACACACACACGGACACACACACGGACACACACACGGACACACACACACACACGGACACACACACGGACACACACAGACACACACACACACACACACGGACACACACAGACACACACAGACACACACACACACACAGAGACACACACACACACAGACACACACACACACACACACACACAGACACACACACACACAGACACACACACACAGAGACACACACACACACACAGACACACACACACAGACACACACACACAGACACACACAGAGACACACACACACACAGACACACCCACACCCACACCCACACCCACACACACACACACACTCTTGGCCGTAGCTAATGATTTTGCAAATTTGTGGTTTACCGAAAAGGCCAACTCCAAATCACCTCGCCGGAGCACAAGGAACGAAACTCAGCGCAAGCAAAAAGAAAGAGCAAGTTGTTTTTGAAAGACGTGCATAAGGAAAAGGTACAAAGGCACAAGTCAATTTCGACCATCATTTTGACAACACATCCCGGGAAGATCTGCCATAAAAATCTGCCACGGGTGAATTCAGAGCCGAGGCCTGGGACAAATCCAAAAGGGAATCTGTCGGCGGTCGTCGATTTGGGCTGGTCGTGTTGGTCCACTTCTCCCGCACGGCCAACGACGTGGGTTGATTTCCAGTCGTTTTCCAGAAGCCAAACAATGTGGAAATGCTCCGAAACGGCGCAAACTTGGTCGCCACGTACTGCAACCTATGCTTTGCATCCCCCTATGTACGCAATATGTCGTTTAGCAAAGGGACCCTTTGAGCGCGACACAACCCCCCGCCGGGAAAAACACATAATGACTTCCCTGACACCGTGTTGCACATATGCCACAGGCATGGCTTATGTTATACCCAATGCCCGCCAAAATAGCAAGAATTCAGAGGTTTTGTGCAACCTGGAAAGAAAATACAATCTGCGAAACGCCTGGAAGCAATGGCGAATATATGGTTCAAACACGCTTTGGTGAGCTACCAGAGGCTTTAGCATCTGGAAACACGGGCTGGTTGCTGCTCCCATCCCACTCTGATATCTTCGCCGCGCCTCATGTTCGGATCTCCCTGCACTTGTGGCCGCATCAGCCTGTCCGCTGCCGGCGGTGACGAAGCAGGGGTGCTGACACAACATGGTCATATCTGGGCTTGTGTTGGAGGGCGCCCTTTTTTCAGCTTGGTCCAAAGCAAAAACGAAAAGGAAGCATGGGGTTCGCTTAGTTTGACACACACCCATGGTCATTCTCTCAGGCGGTGTACACGGAAAAAGGGCAGCGAGCGCCCCACTTCGACATGATCTCTCAAAGGAAAAGTCGTCTTGGCCCCCTCATCCAAGAATTGCTGGTGCTCAGGGAATCTAGGAATGAACCCGAACAGCTTTGGGCCCCTTCATTTTTCCTTTTCAAAACCACCAGCGGCGTCATGTTCCATAATTCTCAGGGCCGGTCGAAGATACCCGCAAAGGAAGAGCTTGGAGCCCGTGCAGTTGCTGAGAACCCCCCGGAAAAAAGACTAACAACATATCTCCAGCAGTGAAATCGATTCCGTTTAAAACAAGGGAAACTATAAGGTCTTCATTTCAGCAAACGGAGGCTGTTCTCACCATCCATAGTTTCCGCACCACATCTTCCGATGTAAAACGACTCCACGGAGCCAAATGGAACGACCCGAAAACATCCAACTTGTTGGCGGCTGGTTTCCTTTCCCACAAATTTCTGGGTTCCTTCAGTTCGAACCACTTCCCAGTCGCGCATCTTCTCCCGTCTTTTTTTCCTCCGCTGGCCTCCCCCCCGATGTCGCCCCCCACTCGACCGCGGGAAGCAGCGGAAAGCGCCGGCCTCTCCATCTCGCAGCGCTGGGACTCCAGGGACACCGCCTTCAGCTCCTCCAGGACCTGCGGGGAGCGAGCGGGGGGGGGAGAAGCCTCCGGCGTTTGGGGGAGGTGGACAAATGAAAATGGGGTTCCTCCCACCCGGCCGGAAAATGTCCGGTTCTTGGTTGATGGTGCTTTTTGGTGTGTTTCAACCTGGGGGGGGGGGTTCTCAACATAGGGGGAAAGGACCCGGGTGGGAATTGGTTGGTCACGAGGTCGGAGCCTGGCTTTCGGGGGTTGCGCACGGAAGACATGAAGACATGCGCGAGGGGAAAGAAGTGGTGCTTGGTGGTTTCAAGGGGTTCGGGTTTAGTATGGGTTTTTTTCTTGTCCTACTCGTGTCCGGTGGATCTTCGTAGATATGAGGGCATGTGTCGTTTCAGTTCTTGAAGGGTGATGTTGTTTAACACACGGAAGAGCCCGGAACACCAGAAAGCGGAGGATGGTTCCGTCGTCCAAGTTGCACACAGTGGGTGGATTTGGGGGTGTTTTCTTTCTTGGCGCGATAATTGCCCTTGTTTGGGTTGGGTTAATTGCAACCCTCTTCCCACCAAACGTGGAAGTGGACAGGGCTAAGACGAAGCCCATCCTCTCAAAACGCCCCCTCCACTTCCATTGTGAAAGAGGGTCCAGGTGGATTGTTGGGGGGGGCACCCGGCCCGGACAAGTGGTTTCCTTTTGTTTCAACCTCTTTGTGATTGCGCCATTGGAAATTGGTTCCAGTTGAAAAGTGTTTGCTCCAGGTTCCAACCTGTGCAAGTGGACCTCGTTGGATGTTCCTTTCATCTGAACAGAACTTCTTCTTGTCCCCAAAAGTTTCTGCAACCAACAAAAAGAAAGCACAAATACCAATAAAAAGAAAAAACAATAATAATAAATATAAATAAATAAATAAATACATAAATACATAAATAAATAAATATATAAAAAAACAATCACGCTTCAGCGGATCCCTTCTCGGTTCGAACCGGGTTTGCCGACCGGGGCCCGAGCGCGCGCGCGCGCGCTCCCCGCGCTCCCGCGCGCCATTCGCGCCCCTTCGCGCCTCCGGGGTGACCCGGGCGCCCACCTCGCACAAGGCCGCCACGGCCGCGCTGTTGCGGCCTGGCGGAAGGACACCGAAGAAAAATGGGCCACTCCGAGCAAAGAAATGTCCTAGGGGAAATAGATGGGCAACTCCCCGGTAGATGACTAAACCACCAGGTAAACCAGGAATCGCCCTTTATTTTTCTACCAAAACAACCAAAACGGAATCGAAATCGAATCGAATGACCAAACGAACCAAACGAGAGGGGCACCGATTGGGGCCTTGGAACCAAGGTCAAGCCATGGCTCAGCCTCTCTCAACAAAGAATTACCTCAATTTTAGACCGGGGGATCCAAGACGCCGGAAACTGGAGTTTCCTGGGCCCAAGGTCTTGATTATGTTTTAGGCGGCCGTCTTTGGCTATGACTCTGTCCAAAAGGAACCTCTCCAGAGTTCGATCATTTGCTGAGTGCCTCGGGCAAAAAACTTCGCTGAACCCGGGGAAGAAATGAGACGCAGTCTGAAAGAAAAAGGAAGGCGACTAGTCCACAAACAGCATAAACAGCATAAGCAGGTAAAAAGGTGTGTGACTTTTTTAGTATGGCTTCCGCGCCCAATGACTCTTGAGGGCTTCCAGTGAGCCCTCCAGGCGGCGCGAACCACATTCCTTTGCAGGGACCGATGGATTCCTCCCGAACAACCAACATGCATGGGTTGGTCTAACCTGTGGCAGGTGTCAACTCAAGGGACCTGATCTCGCACTCGTTTTGTTGGGTCCCCTTTCTTTGCGGCAGCGGCATCTGTCTTCAAACGGATGGTCCTCTTCACAGGTGCTGAATCCACATGGTGTGTTCTATGAGAATCAACCGGATGGGAATTTCCTTAAAGGAACTCAAAGGGGAGGGCATTCCCTCATTCCCTGCTGAGAGCCAGAAAGTGATCATCCTGCATCAAATCTGTTTCCTTCACACACCAGGGGATCCAGGAAAGACTCCATTCAGTTTCAAGCAGTGGTTCACTTTCCTACCATATCAGTGTACAGGGTCACTGAGAATCCGCGATATGTTAGCAACACCCCTTAAGGAAACTAATCTTCTTAATCCCTATTGCAGCAATCCCCGAATACAGATGACTAACCAAAGTCGGGGGTAGTCGAACTCTTCCATCCCTGGAGATATGTTAAGAGTCCCTGGCCGCCCGTTGCTCAGAAGCTCGGAAGGCTCCACCAAAGCGTTGGGTTTAATGCAAACACCGGCAACACCTGCACGAGGAAACTGGGATCTGGTCCATACCTGAACTTTTGAAGAACAAAATCATCTCAACGCAACCCTCAGTGGCCCAGGCTCTGAAAACCGGGGGGGGGGGGAGGGGATTTTCTCAACACCAGCCCTTTCCCCTTTTCCGGCATCCCGAAAAGGAAAAAAAAAAAACACGTCAAACACGGCGGCTTTGTCATCTGGCCATGGGTCAAAATCCAAATCGTACCTCCAGTGAACATCCCAATCCATCCACCAATCCCAACCAAAATGGGATCCCAAAACGATTTTGACAACCACAGCCATGTGGGTTGAATCACCTCGCTGGATTCAAAGATGGCTATTTTGAACAGGGATCCTTACATTATACACCTGAACATTGCCTTGATAAAATGGTGGCTTCCCTCTATTTTGGTGGAAAAAGCCACATGTTTTCACATGGGCAACATGGAGATCTTTTAAGGAGCCCTGTTGAACCCCCGGGTGATTTGGATGTGGGCCACCCCTCTCAGTCGCACCCTCCCGCGAGGGATCGATCGCTCGGGGCCGCGGGCACTGCACCGCCAGCAGCAGCGGGCACCGCGTCTCGCTGGGCCAGTCGTTGACCTCGGCGCGGCCGCGGCCGCGGGGCGATTTTCTCGGACGCGATTTCGGGGGGGGGGGGGGGCGGTGTTTGGCTCGATTTCGGGCAAAACCCGAGAAGGGGGGTACACAAACTCGGTTGCTTTCTGCGGAGCCCTGCTAAAAGCGACTAGCTTTTAGTGGTTTGATACGGAAAACGAACTAGTTGGCAAAAAGTGAAAGTCCTAACATCCAAGCAAAATTCACCAAAGCAATGAAGATTGAGGGGTAAGTGGGTTGGCTGGTTCTGGGATGAAGGCTAGATGTCTGGAGGAACACCTACTCCCTTTCGCGAGGAAGCGTTTTTCAAAAACACCAGTATTTGAGGATAGAAGGGCAGTTACAACAAACAGTCTGCGGGCACCCTACCAATCTCAAGCAATCTCAATCGAGTTCACCACCTCGACCCAAATTCAACCAATCCAGGGACTCACCTTGAAGATGCTTCTTTTTCGCCTTTTCGCAGGTTCATTCCCCGAGTCTTCCACCCCGTTTTTTCCACTTCCTCGTTTGCACCCGGAAAACGCCGAAACCGCCCAAGCTCCTCTCCGGCTGGAGCCCCCGGCGTCGGCGCCGGCATTCACCAAGGCCTGGATCAGGGTGCGGACCTTCGGAGCGACCGGACGGAACCCGAGACGGGGACAGAGACGTGGGCTGAAAAAAAAAAGCCGAGGACCGGGATTCGGCCAAATTTAGGTGGTACCGTACCTAAATTTAGGTGGTACCTAAATTTAGGTGGTACCGAAAATTTAGGTGGTACCGAAAAATTTAGGTGGTACCCTAAATTTAGATGGTGCCTAAATTTAGGTGGTACGTAAATTTAGGTGGTGCCTAAAGGGTTCTTAAGGCACCATAATAGGCGACCCTCCCACCAACATGGAAGTGCAAAAAGGCCCTTTCCAAGAGGAAAGTAATCTTTCTACAGGGGTCTGTGCACTTCCATGTTAGCTGGTGGGAGGGTAAAATGCTTGAGAACTGGGATTTGGCCATGTAGGTGGCACCTAAAGGGTTTTTTAAGGGCACCACACAAAATTGGGGGTTGATTCATGTGTGATTACTTGGGGGGTTTTGCTGCTTCTCCCTGGGTGAAATGGGGAAAGACCACGTTGGGAGGGAAACACCCCCACCTATTTATAAACTGGGGTTGATGAACACTTGGGGTCAACACTACTGGGGTTCTCAAAATTCATCGGGGAAAGCAAATGATTACTGCCCAGTTACGGGGGAAACCAAACTGGTCCCAAATCGGGAAAGTCCATGCCCGACATGGGGAAATTCGTTTGGGGAAAACGACATTCGCTGACATGACATGAAATAAATGGGTGCAATTGGGCGAAACAAGCCGGGAAAACACAAGCCAAGGCGGAAAAAAACCATTTCAAATGGAATGCCGCTTGACTTGTGTGGCTAAAACTATCTTCCCGCGACTTTTTGTTTTTGTAACATTGTTCCTTTCAACAAGCCATCACATCGTTTCCTCCAGTGGGTATGTCTCAAAATGGCGCTGTTTCCTTTCGCTTGCTTCCCTTCAAATCCACCCCCTCAAAACAAGGTACCTCCAAAACAAGAGAGAGAGAGAGAGAGAGACCCACAGGTGTGTACACACACAAACACAACTGGAATCATTGTGGTCCTCCACCAAAGGCACCAGGTCAGGAACCAAATGCTGTGACTTCCTGAAACCTGAAAATGGACCATCTGGAGAAAAACCAATTCAGGGGGTTCTGGGTGAGTATGAGTCAAAATTAAATCACCAGCACCAAGCGGGCTTCAGTCCATGCTTCTATTTATCAGGGCAATCCATTTTGGGGGTACCAACTAGTTTTGACCACCACAGCCAATGCTTGGCGTCCTTCAGTTGTCTCCCTTTCACTCACGACATCCGCTCTCCCGCCCCCCCCCCGCCCCTTGCACGGCCGTGGCTCCGCACCGTTTCCTCCGGCACCTCGCACGAACGAGAAAAAGCGACGCGCGCGGAACGGAGGCGGCCCGTTCCAACGGCAACTCGGCCCTGCGCAGAATCCTTTTTCATGGGTCTCTTTTTCTTGAGGATTCGGAAGCCATGTCAACCAATTCTGAAGGGAGACCCACTCATTGTTTGCAGCTTGGGGCTCCAACATCACGCGCGCTTGTGGGTGTGTCTCAACATGGGGAACCCCCTCCAAGAATCTGGTTTCCCTCTGGCTTCCGATGAAACAACTCCCACCAAACCACTCTCAAAGAAGGCACACCCTGGCCGTTGATCGTCTCCCTGGAGGGTTTTCAACCGCATCTCTAGGTGCTCTTGCTCAGCACAGCACTAATCCCAGACCTCTCGAGGTTTTGCAGGGGTCTCCCTCGCAGAGAGAAAAAAAAGGGGCGGTGCACTGCCGGAGTCCAGGTGGCATGGGAAATCCAGTTGGACCCTCTCCTCGGCAATGGCTTCGTTGTTGCGGGGGGAAAAATGCGTCTTCCAATGGTGGAATTCCATGGTGCCGAAATCAACGGGCATCGCTCGCGGAAAAAAACAAATCGGTCGACCTAAGCTCGGAAAATGACTCGATTGACACAGTATCACCATAGCTGCATCCCGCTTGAAACGTCTCTTCCAACGGAAACATGTCTCAAACAAATATTTGGAGCCGCTAAAACAGCTTCGATGTTTCAACTGATTGTGCAAATCCTTAACCTTGGATGAAGGGTTGGCCCAAATTCGCAAGACCCCTTGCCATTTGAATCCAGAGTCAATACTTCACCTTCAATCCAGAAAAAACAAATTCACCTAAATTCAGAACTGAGACTGGATGCATGTCCAGAATCCGAAGGCTTGAAGCTTGTTACTTGTCCTCCCGTTTGGAAGTTGTCACAGTGCCGGGTTTTTGGAGGTGACATTGGTCCGTCTTGGCGCCGGAACAGGGCGCACTCCACTCGAAGGTCACGGCATATGAGAGGTGCCGAAGGGTGCCCGACACGGAGGTTAGAAGGTCGGAGGAGTAAATGGCGATACGAAGCTTGGTGTTCTCCATACGGATGTTGGGAGTCTAAGATGAACTTAGCATATTCTCTAGATACTGAGTTTGGTTGTGGGAGTCTGCTGATGATGATGATGATGAATCGATATGCCAGCAGTCATGATGATACTCATGTCCGCGCATCTTTTGCATCTCAAATCAGATGAGAATCATCACTATGCATCCTCAGCAACGCCAGCGGCCGTGATGATAATCATGACTACGCATCTTCTGCATCTCCAATCGGGTCTGACGGGACAATTGAAACGTATATCAAAAAGATAAGGACGATGATGCATGATGATGAGCATGATGATGCTGATGTCGATATGACAATCATCACTATGCACCCTCAGCATCACCAGCAGGCATGATGATAATCATGTCCACGCCAAAGTGAGCGTCATGATGATGATGATGCTGATGAATCGACATGACAAAGTCATGATGATAATCATGACTACGCATCTTCTGCATCTCCAATCGGGTCTAATGGGATGACAATCATCACTGTGCATCCTCAGCATCACCTACCAGCAGTCCGCAGCATCACCAGCAGTCATGATATGACAACGCATCTTTTGCATCTCAAATCGGATGATAATCATCACTATGCATCCTCAGCATCACCAGCCGACATGATGTGAATCATGACTACGCATCTTCTGCATCTCCAATCGGGTCTAACGGGACACTTGAAACGTATATCAAAAAGATAAGGACGATGACGAAGAAGATGATGATGATGATGAGCACCATAGATTAAAAGTATTGGGGCTAAGTTGATGGAGTGTGTTTGTCACACATCTCGCCAGGCAGCAGCTTGGTTTGAGGAACAAAACCCTGATCAGCGCCGTGTTAAGGAGTTCATACTCAACACAGCGTCCAGACATGCCATTGAAAAAGAAAAAAACAGCAACAACCACTTTTTCGGCCATGTGGGGTTTGGCGGCAAGCATTCGGACATCCCAGAAGGAGCCACGCCCAAGTCCCTTAAGGCCTTGTTAAGGAACTCGTTCCCGCACCTACAATGGGCAGTAGCCCCATCTATTTCTAGCCAAGCCAAGCTGAAAAGGACAAAAAATGTTGACCCCAGATGCAGCATCAACACCGGTGTATGAACAGGGTCCCCTACCAAAAGTGGTCTGATTTTCCACATTTCACCCAGAAGCACAGCCCTAATGATAAAACAAAGTGGATGAACACCTGGGAAGTCCACATTCTGGATGCTGGACACCTCTTCAAATCTCTCTCCTCACTCAAAAACACCCTTGCTGGCCGGGTTTCCCCGGTTTTTTGTTTGCTTCTGGAATCCCCGGACCAAATACGAGGGACTTCCACCCATGGGCCCGTTGCACCCCAAAACGGCTCAAACGGCCTTGTTGTTCATGGCCACAAGGTTCACGGCCGTCTGCGCCTGCTGGAGGTCATCCTGGCGAATTGGAGTGCAGGGAATGGAAGCCATCTGACTGGTGGAGAAAGGGAAAGGGAATGACCCAAAAACAACCATCATTTATAAGGTGGTTTCGGGGGGAGTGGGAAGCCATCTGACTTGCTGGTGCAGGGGGAATGATCCTTATAAGGTGGTTTCCTTGAAGGGAACTTTTATCATGATGGTTAGCCGGTCGCCAGCAAAGCCAATGGAAACCATCATAACCACCACGCGGTGTGACCCTTACAAACCATCCCTTGCTGGTGGTTTCCTTGAAGGGAACTTTTCTGGGTTCAAAAACAAATGCCACAAATTTGCTACCTATCTGGAAGCGAAACCCAAGCGTTATCGAGTCGAAATGGGTCTCTGCAAAGGGGGGAAGAAGGGGGGGAGGGACGGGAAAGATCTTAGGGGGGGAAAGGTGGGAAAAGATCTTTAGTGGGGGGGAAAGGGGAAACCGCTGGGTTCGCCACTTTGGGAAACCCGCTTGGTCTTGGCCTGCGGTCAATGAATCCGTTGAGACGCCCCCGGCCGGTCGGTGTGAGGCCCGCAACAAAAGAACCCGGGCGGAGTCACGCCCAAAGGGAAAGACAAAAATACCGAGACAAAGCGCACTCAATGCGTCCTGCCGAACTATCTACGAATTCGCATAAGCCTACGGAAATTGGTATATCTCACATCATCTGAAATCGAGTCCAATGCGCTTGGTCTTGGCCTTTTTGGGACCTACCAATGCTTGACGCCGTGCATTCGCAAAAAGCTGAGAATTGGACCCAGTGTTGGAAATGATGCTCCTGAACATGAACCCAGAGGTTACGAAGCCTTGAAAAAAAAACGAACCCGAGATGTGTGGACCCATATCGTGTTGCAAAAATCAAGGGTACCTTTGGACCCCATTCAGCTTCGACCAATAAATGGAAAAGAGCGGCCTTGGCAGGACTGCGGTTTGTGCATAGTGTAGATGGGCTTACTTAGATGGGGTGCTTTTTAAGTTGGCAAGGGGACGAAGAGGTTCCCCAAGTTCATGTCCCTTCCAAAAAGCAGGAGTACGTGATAAATTGTATTCTGGCAAAGGTGATTCGTAACCCAAGGGGGGCCAACCCAACTTTCATGGAGCTGGATAACAGTTGCCCAACATCGGAGTCCTGGGATTGGAACCTCTCATATTTCTCTCGGATGTGGCCAGAGGTGCTTCCCAGCAAGGCGGCCAGCTAGACACGCCTCTTGCGGACACGAAACACAGATGCGCACGTCACAGAGAAAGAGAGAGAGAGAGAGAGAGCGTGCGATACAATTCAATTCCACAAACAAATGTACCTGTAAGTGTCAACAGCCACAACGCACACACATTACTGCAAACTTTACTAGAATTCCAAAAGCTGCAGTAAGAATCGGATCCCCAAGCAAAGGACCTGTAGCATGGCGGGCTCGTTTTCCCCCAGGTGAGCTCGCGTCATAACCCCGCCAAGCATACTGGTTGGTTGATGATTAAAACTTCTAGGGGTACCTTGATTTTCCATTCTTTCCAGGCATCCGAAAACCTCCAGCCACCGAGAGCAAAACCGAGAGAAGGATGGTGTTCAATGAATGGAAAAGAAAAATCAATTTTTGTAGCATGGGCTTCGAACCAACCCTTCGAGCGAAATTGGCTCAGTGCTCAAAGACCACCACTGGTGGGTGCTTCAACCGGTTGCGGTGCACACGAGCTCGTCCCGCCTCCGGCCCCGAATCCTCGGAGAAGGCGCCCTCCTCGCGGGAAGGGGAGCGGAACGGGGGAGGGGACGTGCCGAGTGAAGGAAACTGAAACCGCTTCGCCCAAACGAACAGATGTTCGTCTTTCCTCCTTGGCGAATTACATGGTTTTGATTCATTGATTTTGGGGATTATTTTCTTGAAACCGTGATGTTGTTGCAACACACAAGAAATCAAAACCACCGGGAAGCTTGCCGCTCACCTTTGGCTTGACCCTTCCAGAATGGAAACTGGCCTTGGATCTGCCTCTTACATACCTTCAGCAAATGGAGGCGTGTTTCTTCGAAATGAGGGAACCCAACCATTTCGCGAGTTGGTTGGCCCAGGTTCCCCTTCAGAATCGCATGAATTTTGGGGCGCGGGAGGTCACCTATGTTGGAAGTCCACCCAAAACCGCTGGAAGTGCCCCGCAAGCCGAAGTATCCGAGGGTTGTGAAACGCCCAATTCCAGGGAGTCTCAGATGGTTGTCACCGTTCGCTCTTTCTACACTATATCTCACCTACCCTAGGAACCCAGGGCACCAATGGGGTTTTGCTCTGGGAACCCCCCGGCACCGGTTCGGTGTTTCGCTCGGGACAGCAATCAGGGGAACCACCCTGAGCCTTCACAGGAACCACCCCTCCGCCATGGAGTGATGTGTCAAAGGACTAGGACCTGGGGTTTTCCTCAAACCCAACCAGAAGAACAAACTACTCAAACCCGCCCCCGCAAAAAAAAAGAAAAGAAAAGCTGGAGCCCCACTGAGCAACAACGGCCTCCCGAAACAAAAAGAAAACACCAAACCAGGCCAACAAATTATTGGCAAACCCATCAACCTCTAACAACCACCTCCAAACAACCGCCTCCAACAACAACTAACAGCAACCACCTCCAACAACAACTAACAACACCCCCCCCTTTTCTTAAAGAAACCAAACCAAGCCAAACGGAGCAAAAAGCAACGCACGCAACACATCCACCGGAATCCCCCGACTCCTCGTCGCTGCTGTCGCCCTCGCCGCCTTCCCACTCCCAGACCTCGGACGGGGCTTTCTTGGCTTGTCTTTTGGCGTATTTCAACATGAAGACTCCGGCGAACCTCCCTAGGTGTTTTGGGTTCGTCTTCACTTTGGGCGTTGGCTCTTGGTGTAAGCTTTTTGGGTTTTGAGGGGTGTTGCTCTTCCACTTTCTTGAGCTGTGGCTGGTCTTTTGCGGGTGTATTGGGTTATGAGGGATGTTTCTTCTTGGGGGTGGTTTTGCCAGGCAAACCCACGAAAAACTCCATAAATTTGTAGCTGGGGTGGGGTACTCTAGCAATGGGTGGCCCAGATGGTTCTCCTTTCTCCTTCTAAAACCACAAAAAAGGAGGTACCCGCCCAAATGATAGTCTTTTTTGAGGCTCCCGTCTGCAGGGGTGCGCCTCAGTGGCTCGTTGGGCCTCAAAAGTCGGCAGTGGAATGAAAGCCACGTGTTTCAACATGAAGACTCCGGCGGCGAACCGATCCTTTCAACATGAGTCGCTGGGAACCCCCCGAATCTGCAAGCCAAAAGCAGGCAACAAAACATGGTTCCTTCGGTTTTGCATGCTATACTGTCTCAAAGCTGTTTTTTGCTTAGACCCGCGGCTTTTTTTGGGTTGGGTTTCCGAACAAACTCCAGCACAGGCACGGCCCGCGGGAAACCGAATCCTTGTTAGGACCTCCAACCCCTCAGGCAAACGACCTGACGCTTTCGCCCGCAGGCAACACAAGCCACCCAAACTGGAGTGACGGAGAAAGCGGCACGGCGCAAATCTACTCTTTTTGGGCGGTGATCTTAATATGTTGAACCGTTGCTAGGCGATCAGGTTGCCAAAAGCCGCTCGCAAACCTTTCAACGAGTCAACAGGCCGCCCTCTTTGTTCGTCCATGTCCAGGGTCGCGGTTGCGCGCCCTGCTGCAAAGAAAAGTTAACAAACACCAGCTGCTTCAATGCGATTCATTTCTCAAACCTCTCCCCTGACCTCTCCCCCCTCCCCCTCCCCCATCCCTCTCCCCTTCCGCGGCCGCTGGGCTTCCCAGACCCGGCCGCAGACGCAGGTGATCTTCCGGCAGCCCTCGGAGCGCTGCGTCGGCACCCCGCAGCCCGGGCACAGCTGGGCCTCGCTTCGAGCGCTGGCGCTTCGAAGGGCGGGGATCGTCGAAATGCCAGCAGCCGGCGGGTTTTTTGCCGAGAGCTTGGCAAATCTGTGGAGAAATCCAGGGCTGTGAGAGAGAAGGGAGGATTTTGTATAAGGAGGGGAAGGTGTGTGATGAGAGAAACATATCAAACAAAAAGGGCCCCCCAAAAAGAACAAACAAGCGGGAGGGGCGGCAGGCATGGGAGCACTCATGACAACAGGGCGAGTTGTGGTGGCATATCATATCCTTCTTAGGCAAATGGAAGCAAATAGATCATCTGGGCGCGGTTCACTTTTTGCGGCGAAACGCCCTTCCTGGTTGTTTACAAGGGAGATCAAAGGGAAAAGCGATTGGTGTTTCATCCTTTGACGGGGCAAATCGTCCAGTCCAGGAGACATGTCGAATGCCCCTTTGCCGTGTGTGAGGACACGCGCCCCTGACCCAGAGGCCAAGTGCCGCCATGCCGGTGGCACCACAATCTGCAAGTTCCGAAAAGACCAGAAAGGACGTAATTCGTCTACCGTTGGTTTGGGCAGACCCATGGGTACCAAAATGGATGGGTGTTGAGTCGCAAGATCCATTTGGTTTCAACCCGGCTTCGCTTGTGATTGCACCCTACCCCGCAGAATTGAGGCAAGAGAATCAAAAGGAGGGCCTCCTCAGCAACATGACGACGCCAGCCAGCCGCAATGAAGCGTGCCGCGGCAGAGAAAGCGTACCGCAGCGTGGCAAAGGGCTCCATGCTGGTGCTGCCGAATAGCATACAGCATGGCCGCAACTTTATAAGGACAACCCTCCGCTTTAATTTCCAAATTATGGCACCCCAAAGGAGCAAACGAACAAAAACCAAACACTAGCTGCTCTCAATCGCACCCACAGCTTCCCCAAATTTCCGCCGGCATTCCTCTATGTCCCTAGAAGTATCACCCCCAAAAGCAAAGTTGAACACCACCTTACCAACTTAGAGCCACCTCAAAACCATCTTACCACCGTACAACCACAAACCACCTCGGTCGCTTCCCCTCCCACGCTGAACCCCTTCCCGCCTGGCGTGCTTTCTCGCACCGCAGGCGCTCGTTGCCTCCAGCTGCCGGCTTTTTTTCGCTCGCATCGCAGCACCCGGCGCCAACGAGGCGCCGCAATTTTTTTTGATCCGCCCAGAGCCAGGATTTCTCGAAATTGGCTGCCCCAGTTGGGTGGTAGGTGGTTTCCTGTTGGCTTCCCTTTAAAACCCCATCCAAAAAGGGCTCGATTTCTAGTTTGAGCCTTTATGGGGGTGGAGCAAAAGGTCCGGAACACCTGTCGTGACTTGGGAAACCATTAAACAGATTGATATCTCAACATGGGACAAGCTACACATTTTGGGGCCAGGGATATTGATGAACCCCCATACCCTCTCTCCAACAATGGAAGTGGACATGGCTCTTACCCAAAAGGAAAGTGGTGATCAAGAACCCTCCCGTCAGCTTCCATGATTGCTAGAGAGAGGGTAGTGGTTCTGCTGTTTCTTGCTCTTAAGATTGTTATGAAAAAAACAAAACAAGCCCAATGAGTGAACAACAACCTTAAGAACAAGGGGCTTATCCATTTGGAGGGACGCCGGGTGTCAAAGGGCTTTGAAGCTCCTCAAAGGAACTCCCTTACAAACTCTAGAAGCACCTGGACCGTGGCAAGTGGAGTAAAAGAAGAAACATGAGGCCCTGAAACCAGGGCGTAAGAGTCACACATGTCTTCTCAAACTGGCCATGGGGATAGACCACGTGCTTTACCAATGTTGGTTGCTTCATAAGTCAACTGGCCACAAAACGGGGATGGAGTACGAGGGCGACTGGACCCCTTGTGGAAAGCACGGCTACAACAACCTTGCAATGTCCCGGCATGAACTGCGTCTGGATGTGTCAACAACTACTGTTCAATCAGCCTCCGCTGGGTTCTGGTTGTTTCTACTTCAACAAGTTCGCACCATGGGGTCATTTCAGGGGGGGGCCAATGCAATCCACTCTTTCAGGTTTGCTGATCTCGGGGACCATGTTCGGAACCTGGCCGCGAACCTTTCCAGCGGCCAATAGAAACGCCCAGGCCGACCGCAAAACCCGCCGAGCCCCTTGCTTACCCCTTAAAACTCCAAGGATTGGGGAAGTTAACCTTTTACTGACATTTTTCGCCCATGTTACCCCAAAAAGTTACGAAAAGTTGTGTTTTTCAGAGGTAAGCTTGGTGCAGAACCCACGAGTTCCACGGAAAAAACCAACACACCCCGGGGGCTGCGGCAGGTGACGCCGCGGTGCCAGGAGGAGACTTTGCAGCGGAAGCAGAACTGCCTGAGACCGGCGGGCCGGGAAAAATCCCCCCCCTCCCCAGAAACATGACCCCAGGTGTATATATGTATATCTATTATTGTACAAATAGGGGAGGTTGATGCCAAGGATTTATGTTCTGAATAGTCTGCTTGTGGTGAATTTAGTCTTGATATCGAGGTAGCACCAAAAAGAATGGCAAGTCCATCCACCACAAAACGTGTGCCCGGACGAGCATCCCTTTCGGGCACCCGTTCCGCCACCAAAAATTCCCGGCCAGTCCCGCAGAAACACGGCTCCGTGATGCCAACGTGGGCAAATCCATCGCGCGCTCACTTTGAAGATCATGCTCTTGGCAGGCAAAGCGGCAGGCCCCAATCTTTTTGTGCCTGATCTTTTGACCCACTTGTTTTTTGGAGTCCAGCCATGATTTCTGGATCCGCTTCCGTTGAAACAGCTTGGTGGCTGGGAATTTCCCATTCAACAAGAACCAGGGCTTCAACCCAAACCACACATCCGAACCAACGATGGGCTACCAAAGACAAACCGGGCAAACGGCCGGCCAAATTTGACCAGAGCCAGCGACCTGCCAAATGTGGTCTCCGGATCAACGAACCCAAAGCATCTTGTGAATAAAAGGAGTCGGAGTCTCCAAAAGTTGGTCCCATTTCATGAAATGTGAATGAACTAGGTAGAATTGACTGTGTTAAGTCCCCCCCCCCCTCAGAAAGGCGCTAAATGCAAACCTTTTTGACAGATGGGGGGCTTCGGTGTTCTCCCTATCACCGAGTATTGGCTTTGACAAGGAGCTCCAAGTCCGAAACGAAAGGACGGGGACATCTCCCTGAACTCGCAAACCTGCCGCAATTCCATACTCTGAAATAAGAATCGGATTCGATCCAATTGATGGATACTATTGATCCATTTCATGGATCCTATCTTAATTGGAAATATGAGTATTCCCAAAACCAATAGAATCCTCATGTGTCCATCGCCGTTTTTTTGCTATGGGGACATCGATGGATTCCCCAGGGATCCGAATGGGCAAATCTTCGCGTCGTCCGCCCGCATCGATGAATTCCCAGTGGCTCGCCGCAGCAAAGCGTGCCTCAGGGATCGACGCTTCGACGCGGTTTGCGGGAGCAAGGGCCGTGGTTTGACCAATCCTACGTGTGGCTACAGGTGGGGGTTAAACCTGGACCAGTGGTTTGAAAAAAGAGAAATGGAACCCCTGGAAAACGATTTTCCTTTTAAAGGGACCCCCTGTCAGGTTCCATGTTAGTTGATGGGAGGGTAATTTGCGCATGGCCCCAAATGATGGAGTGTTGGCAAAATATCCAGGTGCTTTTTGCTTCCCCTCTACGTTGGCACTGAAATTGGCCTTTACGCTTTTCGGAGATCGCCGTCTTGAGCCCTTCGCGCAGGGTCGAAGAAAGCCAGAAGTCCATCTCGATAGCTCGGAAACCCCTCAAACTGGTTCTCCAAAGTTTTGTTTCCTACGAATTGGTCCCCCAAATGAGCTGTGACTCTCTTTCATCCCCCCAAATGGCCTCTCCCTTTGGTTTCCCTTGAAATATAATGGACAGGGGGTGGTGTTTCGCAACCCCAAGGTGCACAAAGACGTCCTCGAGATGGGCTTGGCTTCCGAAGGCTCTTCGATCAAACCGGCGGCCTTTGGCCGAGCCTCTGACCGGGCCCAGGGCCGAGACACCCGACCATTCCAGGCAGAAGGCTTCATATCAGCCCCTCCAAGTGGCTTGGAGCCGAATCGGAAATCCGAATCCAAACCATCCAAAGGCGAAAGGAGTCTCCCACCCCCAAAACAAGAACAAACACATGCACGAATCCCCACCCCACATCTGGGCACACAGACATGATCTGCAAGATGATGCTCCACCTTTAGCTAAGCTTTACCCTGCCACTTGCAGAAATACCCATCTCTGTCCCCCCCTCCAAAGACCTCCAAGGCGATGGCTCCCCCCTCCCCCGGGTTTCCCGGGCGCTGCTGGGGGAAGCGGTTCATCCACGCCAGTTGCACGGCCAATCGCCGCCTGTCGCCACATCGATCGATCGATAGAGCGACCTGGCGTCTTGGACTGCCAGTTGCTGAGGCCTGGCGTTGGAAAAATTCAAAGTTCATTGCAAACACTTTGGAAGGCCTGGCGTTGGAACCTGGAAGGGAAAATTGCCGTTGCCACTCCAAAGTTCATTTGCTCCAAACCGCAGCGTTGGAACCTCCGAATACATTTGCTGAGATACCTCCTAAACATCAATTGGCAGGTGGAAACCTGGAAAGACTTCTGGCCCAGAACAAAACGGGGGTTCTTAAAATTGGCATTTGGCTTCCTAAGAAAGAGCCGTGCAAAAGGGGCCGGATCCCTATTTTGAGACACCCCCCATGGAGATAATACGGCTCTTGCGATCTTTGCAAACCATGTCCAGTGACAGATTTCCTGTAAAACCAAGAGGGGAACATACGTAAAATATTCAGTTCAGCAAACAGAAGAACTTAAGACCTGGCGAATGTTTCAGGGTGAACCCACAAACCTATGAAACTAGCAGTGGAGAAGGCTCCGAACCGACAAAAACACGTACACTCCATCCGATGACTGATGATCTGCCGATGTCCAACAGGTGGTCAAACCACAAACTGGGCCCGTGAAACTACCGAACCCAAAACAGATGGAGCCCGGAAGGAATCCTCTTGAAGGTAATCCCGCCATGGGCTTGGCTTAGAGGACTCCGATGTTTGCGGATTCCTCTCATATCTTTTGAGGGTTCCTCTCTTTTCATTTGGGCTTGGTTTAGAGGGAATGTGAAAAGAACACCACTTGTCTGGAGGGTTGCCTGAGACAACCTTCCAGATCTGGGAAACTCTTTTTTGGAGAATCGCTGCCTGCCGTTTCACCTGCCTTTGTTGGGGTCTGTTCCTTTTCGCATACCCATGGTCTGGTTCAACTCCTGTGCGGGATAGGTGTGCGGTTTCGAAAGGCACGAAACCAGGAGACCTTCGACCCTCAAGGGCAGTGAGAACAAAACCTCGCCGCAGTGACCAGACGTTCTCCACTGGACCCGCAGTTTCCTTCACATCTGGGTAAACCATAGCATCATCGACCATAGAAACCGTCACCCCCTTGGTCGCATAGAACCAAAGCCATGTACTCCGGACCGTGCTAAAGGTTGGCTCCCTTGTGAGGAGATTCGCTCTTTTTCGGAGGGGGGCGAGGGGGGTCCTTTGAATTGTGTAGGGTGCTCCGGATGGCCGGAGTTCACATCGTTGCCCTCCTGGAAAGGCATCCCAAACGGGACCCCTATTAATAGCTGTGGGGCTTACTGACAGGTTGACATGACCCGAAAAGCATTAATACATAACCTTAACCAATAACCCCGCAGCTATGAATCAGCCGGGTCCCGCACGAAAGAAAGGAATGCCCAGTGATTAGAAACAAGGGGCGCACATGACCCCCCCAAACAAAAAAACAACAACAACCCCCCCCCCCCGCAACCAAAAAAAAGAAGAAAAGCACACACAGGAAAAAAAGAAAAAAAGAAAAACGAAAAACTGGAAACAAAGGAAACAAAAAAGGTTCCCCAAGCTGTCCGGACCCACCGGTTGAAGGAACAGGTCTCTCTCGGCTTCTCAGGCGGAGGCTCCAAATCCTCGATCCAATTGGCTTGGCCACTGGGACCGAGTACCTGGCATGGATGGGAGCATTTCGGCTGCCGGTGTGTGTGTGTGTGTGAGTTGGCATTTGGCGGTGGGTGTCAAAACCGTTTTGGTACCAGGTGCACCACCCATTTTGGAACCTATTTTAGTGGTTGGATTGAATCGTTCACTGGGGGGTTTGACCCCTAGCCATTTGGGTCAGCTTGGATGTTTCAACATCACCAGCTCAAAGGAAGCTCACTTTGAATCCAAGAAGGACCCGCGTTGGAAAAAGATAGGTCTGTGGGCTGTCTGACCCAAAAACCGGGCCCCTTCACCCTCAAACAGCGCCAACCCAGTTCCAAGTCTGCCCCCCCACCTCGACGCCGAATTTGCATCACCCCAAAGAAGAGCCCCCGCCTTAGACTCTACCAAAAAACCTGGCTGGGTGCGACTATTTCTCTACCGCAGCTCTGGCGCTTGAACCCTTGTTGTTCCCGCTCCCCCCCCCCCCCGGCCGCTTCCCCCGCTTCCCATTTCCCGACCTTCCCCCGCTTACGCGCACCTTGCTCATGGAGCTGGGAGGGGCCCCACCCTTGCGGTTGCCGCAGGAGAACTCCTCCAGCACCGCTTGCAGAAACTTCTCCGCGGGGACCTCCGATTCGGCGATGCGCCGACGGAGGCCTTTGGGAGTGAACCCAGCCTTAAACGAAACCGCCAAGGAATGGTTTATAGGCTTCATTCCATGTCTCATGCGCCTACCGAATTCATTTCGGGGTTGGTTTACAGGTTGAAACCAGGAAACCAAACAACATCTTTGCCAGCCGGAAACATGGACCTGAAACTCCAGTGGGTCCGCGCCCCAAACCGAGACCCACAATCCGCCAGAGACCCTCCCTCGCGTCTCCCGAGGGTGTCGGAGTGGCAGATTCAGGAGCCAAGCTGTCCCTGTGATGATCAAATCCGATCGGCATCGAAATGGCCCCCAAATCCAGCTTGTGGGATTAATTCGGAAATCCACTAGACACTAAGAATCTTTAAAACAAATACTTAAAGAAAATGCTTTAGGCTAAGGAACCGGATGACAGGGAGCCACCAAGTTCAACCTACCCGGGTTTTGATTGCGGCTGGGAAGCGGTGGCCGAATCCGGCCGGACTTCGAGCCGCATCCGACTTCGTCAAGCGCTTGGCAAGTTGCACACCGCGGAAAAATCCGAATAACTTATGCCGACGCCCACCATGCCCGCGGTATGCAGATACAAAATATGTATGCAATGCTATGCAACGTAATGCAATGCAATGTAATGTAGTTCGCTCTGCCCGTCTGCCTGCCCGCATGTATGCAAGCATGCATGTATGTATAGAGAGATGTCATTTGTAGGTGGTCTTAAAATGAAGGAACCCCAAAATGATTGGTGTCCTTCTGTTTAACCAACCAACCATGGGCTCCCCAAAAAAGAAACACCCCGGAAAAATAATGGTATCGTTCGGAGCCGTATCTTCCCACTGTTTTTACCATGAAAGTCCCCCACCCTTCTGCCCGTGGTAGGTTGTAGCTTGAACCACCAGTTCCTGACTTTGATCACAGCGAAACGAGTTGACGGGGCCCCGACTTCCTGAGAAGCCTGTGGCTCCCGTGTCCGATTTTGATTTTGCAAAAGGCGACAAGTTGGTCAGGTGATCCTAAAGGGTCGGGTCCACATGCAATGTTCAAGGAACTCATTTTTAGACCGATGCGAACCTTGGATCAAGGTTTTCAGGATGGCTCGCTGACTTTTGACTATGGAACTTCGCTTGAACAAAATGCCAGACGTCTACTACACGGAAAAGCCCCACCTTTTTTCTCTCCGCGCACCGATCCGCATCCCAGGTCCGCGCCCGAGCCCGAAAACCTGCGATACAGAACTCAGGACAACGAAGCTCGAAGCCCGTGGGGAGAAACGGAAGCCCAAAAGCGAATCACAGTGGACACCCACCGCCCGAAACCCGCCCTTCCCCGGAACCCGATCCTGTTCCCCCCAGTCCGTCCAGGTCCGGAAGCGCGCGATCCCGCGGCTCCCGCGGCTCCCGCGGCTCCCGCGGCTCCCGCGGCTCCCGCGGCTCCCGCGGCTCCCGCGGCTCCCGCGGATCCCCGGCCTCTGCCAGGAAGAACTCCTGCCAGGCCCGCCAGAGCCTCTCCCGCGCCTGGAGACGGACGTGCCAAACGGGGGGAAACACATGGGTCAATCAATGGGTCAGTGCGGGTCAACAAATCTGTCAGTTGTTTGGAACTTGTGAAGCTGACCCAAACCAAATTAAGTGGGCCAGTGAAGCTTGGGACCCAAACCAAATCATTCAGAATGGGTTCACAGTTGTTTGGAACTTGTGAAAACCAAAATCATTCTTAGGCCCATCAGACACACCCATCGCAGTGCGTCTCAGGGTCGCCCAGAGGGTTCCATTGAAAAGTCTGCGACTGAAACCTAGGACCCAAACCAATCGGTCAAAAATTCGGAAGGCTCCCACAAGCGAGCCTTAGTGACACGGAGGGCTGGGTTCTTGTGGTTGAAACTTAGAGCTCCCCCCCGTTCTCCTTTGCTTCTTTGCTCCCGAAGGACAATAGACGAAGTACCCAAGATATGCAGGCGGATGTTTACGACGAAACCCGAACACACCGCCTTCCCTCCAAAAAACCGAGGCCATATGTGTCAAAAAGTCGAATCCGACCCCCCGAAATGGAAACCTGACAAGGGTAGTACTGCCATGAAGGAGCTGACCCGTGCAAACCGCCACGGCCACCCCTTGAGGCGGAAAGGCCACGACTCGTTGCCAGAGCTTGTTGATTGGGAAAACCGTCCGGGAACTGTTTTTTGGCGTTTACCACTCTGATCTGAGGGAATGGTTTAGGCCAATTCGGCGCTCTCCTGGACCAAGCGTGCCACCACACCACACACACACACACACACACACACACACACACCCCTAACACCCACCCTCCCAAGAAGACGCCAAACAAACCCAACCCACATCTAGCGCTTCAGCCAAAATCGCGCCACCCCCGCTCCCTGGTTCTCCTTTCCGCTTCGCCGAGGTGTTTGTTTTTCCCCGCGCCTCGGTGCCCAACATGGTGAAAGGGTATTTGCCCGACGCCGGCAACCCGTGAGGGCCTCGCATCGAGCGTTCTCGGGTGGGGCTTGTGAGGCGTTTGCGCCTTTGCGGCGGCTTGGGTCTGAAGATCCGGGAGCTTCGAAAGAGTCTAAAAGCTTGAGACAGAAATGGGAGGGCTGCCTGGACTGCTCCGACCTCGAGAAGGAAAGAGTTCCTCCAGAGGGTTCCGCAAAAGTGATCTCCGAAGGGTTCCGAAGCTGCGCATACTCACGAGTCAAAGCAGTGCCCCTTCCCGAAACCTTCTGAAAATGCTGTCCTTTTGGTTCTCCCGAAATTCTTGGTGGAAGGTGGGGGATGTCAGAACTGGTGGAGCTGTCGGTTCATCTCGCCGGAAGTCCAGCGAGATGCGCCACCCGAAAGGGTCGCTGGAGAATGCGATAAAACTGGATGGGTTGTTTGGGGCTCCTTCAAAACCAGCTTTCCTCAAAGAACCCGCTCGTTGGGGTTCCTACGTTTGGTTGATCTAAGCCCCTGACGACTCTGGGTCCGCCATATGGGTAAGTGGGATATGGGTGATTCTGGCACGCGACCCGAATGGGAGCAAAACACCAAGGTGAATGATGGGGCGGTATTTTTTACATGGAATATGGCCTCTTACATGAGAAATCCCTGCCAACCAGGGGGTGTTCAATGGGTCAAAAATATGCTTGTAGATCGCAATCCGCAACTTGCTCTTCCTTTTGTTTGTTTTCTTTCGAAGCCGATGGGTTTTTGGGGAGACAATTTGTGGACAAAATGCGCCGGGTGTTCAAAACAGTGTAATTGTCCAGTGTTTTCGGGCCTATGCTGCCTTGGCGGCATGACTTTTGTTGTTGTTTTGTAGATACTAATGGTGTTTTGCTATTTTGAGCAATGTTGGATTTGGATATTGGCGGGGGCAAGTGTAGTGATGATCTAAGGAACTGCTCACATTGGAAAAACATGTATGTTCTGGCGAAATCCCCACCTGTATAGGGCTGTCGCTGCGAAACATCCCCAGCATTGTCGTGCTTTTAGAAGTCTATATGTCGGGCAGTTGAATCGGGTTGATGCTATCCTTGCATGCTGCATCCCCGGCATTGCTTGCATTACCAGCATTCCCCACATAGTATGCTGCATCCCGTGCATGCTGGGTGTTCACGTCCGTTGCGGCTACCTTGCTACTTGCCTGTGGGTAGCCGTAGGAAGCCACGAGGAAACCAAATTGAAACCAACAAGTTGCCACAAGGAAACCCAAACCCCCCCCTGTCAGAAATTCCAAAATGATTGTCCGTGGAGATAGACAGAAAACAATCTGACTTGACTTCACATCAAACCCGAAACCCACCGACTGCCTACTGACCCGTAAGCACCCATTAGAGATCCTCAACATTAACAGTCACGTCGACGCACAGATGGCATCGGCGGATCGCGTAGTGACTTCAATAAGTTCGCCACCGAAGACATGGGGAGAACCAAATTGCCCTTGAACAGGCTGATTCCAAGAACAACAAAAAAGACGACAAGGCAACGCCCAGTGCGCAATGACCCCCATCGTTTGCTGCTGAACTTGGGATTCTATGCCAGAGGAACCTGGAAATACCTTAAATGGGCGTGCCTTCTTTTGAGGCTACCCTTTCTGTTGGTCTTCAAAAGCAAAAAACCAACATGTGGCCCGAAAGTCTCGAAAAACGAAGACGACGAGCGCCCCCCCCCCCAAAGCCCGCCCAACCTGCCACGAGCCCACAGAGCTCCCAAAGCCACCCTATCTAAAAGCTCGCTTTGGGATACCCCCGGCTCCGAGTCCGGGTCCCTTCCAAAGCCACCAGCGCGACTGACCCTTTCCGGTGGTCAAAAGGAAAAATCAGAAGCCATGTGGCCCAAAAAGTCTCGGACAAAAAGAAACGAAGACGAGGCGCCCAAACTTCTTCAATGCCGAGGCCCATCCGAGATCAAGCCCTCCGCCCCGACTCGATTCGGTGTTACTGGGCCCCGCGCCGTCCACGGCGCGGAGGTAGGAGCCCGTCTCGTCGCAAGCGGCGCAACGATAGGTGAGCAGTGCCTGGTGAGGAAAACGGGCACTGAAGGAAAGCGCGGGATGGAGAAGTGGCCACACATCGCCAAACGGTGCTGTTTTCTTTTTGTCTTCTGTGTTTTTTTTTTTTTTGGGGGGGGGGGGAGGATGGACCGGCAAAGTGGGGCGACTGTTTGTTTTTGTTTTTTGTTTTTTTTTGGGGGGGGAGGGGGGAGGATGGACCGGCAAAGTGGGGCGAAACTCCAGCCGTGCAAAAAAAATCGCCGGAGGTTCTTGTGCTGCCTTTTGTGGTGTTTGTGTTCTTGCTCTTCTTTTTTTTAGGGGGGGGGAGATGGGAGTGTTGCTTTCTGTTTACCTTTTCTTTGGGGGGAAGATGGGAAAAGGGAAACTGCAGCCACAAGTAGGTGGGCTTTGGGGGGAGATGAAAAAAGAAGGCCAGCCAGCCACAAAGCTCACCGTTTTGGGCATGACCGGTTTCGTGACATGACATATTTTGTTTACCTGGGCGATTTGGGAAAAGGGGTCCTTTGGACCCCTGCAAAAACAAGATACCTTGGACCAGCTTCCAAGTGAGTTCTGGCACCTGCTATTCAATCCTCCGGATTCCAAAGCAACCTACTGTGTCCCGTTGCACTCATGTTGCCGTGAAGAACCGAGTACTATGAACAGGAAAAGGTACAGTTTCCATAGACTGGATTTGGCTGCAAGTAGAATGTCCATTGGTTCATCATGAAATGGCTCTGGACAAGTGAGCAAATTCTCCTTTGGTGTCCTTCAATCGAATCAAACCTTCACGCACTGTTGGAAGCCCAAATCAAGACCTCTGACTGGGGAGAAAGGGCACCGCTTCCTAGCAGGAAAGACACCTGAGTTTTCGCCACAATTCCCGAAATCTCGTTTTAGGAAACCACAAGTTGCATGGTAGAGTTCCGGTTCATTCCAGGGGAAACCTGCCAACCGAACCGGCAAGGAAACAACATTGAAAGGAGGGTGCAAAGGAAAACTTGGGCAAGAGATCTTGTCCGCAAACAAAAAAAAGGAAAGAAAACCAGCCCGTTGCCACCGTCCAAAAAATGAACACACGCCGGCCATCCCTCCCTTTAAAGGGGCACCAGTTCAGACCCAAAACCCGGCTGAATCGGCACCGAGCTCCGCACCCGCGCGTTCTCGTGATACTTGGCGAAGGTCTCCTCCTACACGACCCAATCGGAACCCACCGGTTGGATGCTTTATCGGGGATCCGGATGCACGAAAAACACCCGATCATTGCAACTTGTAAATGGTGCTTTACTTGGGCGTTGAAAAAGCAACACGTGTCAAATGGTTGCAACATGTATCTTTTAAGGAGCCCTGTTTTCTATTCGAGTCATTCCATAACTCTCATTCCCTGCCCGCCAGCAAGAGACCTCCAAGTTGGTGCACCTTCACCTTGGACCCAAACCAGCAAACCCGCCACGAGTCGAGCAAAATGTGTTTGCACAACTTCTGCCTTTTTCGGACTAAAAACCACAAAAAGTCGTACCCCAGTGAACATCCCAATCCCCCACTAAAATCGGTTCTCAAATGGGCGGCTTGACCCACAGCCATGTGTCTGGACATGGTTTGATTCTATTCTTGGAACCTCCAAGCCTTTCTTTGTTGCCTCTGTTTGCCTTGTGCGAGGTCTAACGGCCGGTTTCCGGGCCTTTTGGCCCCCACGTTCCGGTGCCAAAGAAACGGCAACCCCCTGCCTTTGCGGCCCCCTTGCCCCATGTTCCCCCAGCAAATGGGACATGTGAGTCTCCTGGTCCAAAGCAAGCCATGGACCCGATGCTTTTTTTGGACACAAGAATTTCCACCTGTTGAAGACCAAAATGCCCCCCAAACCGCCCAAGCCCCCCCCCACCCATCCGAGGTGCCGAAGGGGCATCCCAGGACCTTTTGATCAAGCCTTTTTCGTAAGGCCCTAGGTCCGCTCGTTGGCTTGAAGGAAGATCCATTTAGAAGGATCTTAGAAGACGCCTCCCAGTGGGAACCAATGAGTAAATCTCTTGATTTAAGTAGGGGAAACGTCACAAGTCTTAGAACCAACCCAAGGAACTCTGTTGTCTCTTAGGGGTAGGAGGTGATCACCGTTTGATCTCATATCGCCCCTTTTGTCAGTGTCCGAACCCCTACCTCAGCTCCCAAACGACCAAATCCATCCCCCGGCCAATGGAACCAAATCCTTCCTGGGCCTTTTGCCCTGGCGTAGCTCCTCATGTCTTGTTGCTTCCCAAATTCCGCGCTCCGCTCGTGGCCAACGTCGCCCGCCCGTCGCCCATGGCTCCTTCACCAGGGGCGCCCAGGCCACGGTGGCGAGCCGCTGGTTGCACACCGGGCAGCGCACCTCGGCGATCCGCCCGCGGACGCGCCGGGAGTCAGACGGCCCCACAAAAAGGCTCCAGCCGAAGGTGTTGGGCATGGCCCGCTCGGGCGGTGAGTGTTTCTCTTCTTCTTTTGTTCCTGCCTTTTTGGCTTGGGGGGGGAGGCCTCGCTCTTTTTCGTGTTTTGGGGCATGTCGAGCTTCTCCACGCACGCCGCCGGATGGCCAGCGCCCAAAGGTCTGCCTGGTTCTCGGGTAAATGAGGGAATTGGCAAGCCGAAGCATCCGTCTCCAGGTCCATTTCCTAAGATTCCCAAAGTCTCCCCCCCTTTTTGTTGGCAGACCAGGGCCCCTGAGGATGCAGTGTGTGTGGAAACCTGCACGAAATCAAATCTACAACCTGGTGAAAAAAACAGACAAACAAGCAATATATGTCAACAAAAAAAACAACCACCAGAAATCCGTGTGCCTCCAAAGGACTGAAAGTGTACTTTGCCTGGTCCGCCATGCTGTTCTTGCTTCTTTGGGGAAACTCTTTTTTTTTTGGCACTTTCGGGGGAAAACTCAAAAGAAAAGCCGCCGGCGTCTTTCCAAAAAAGAAAACGACCCCACGCCTCGAGATCCAAAAAAAAGTGACCATATTGCTGAAATTGGATGAATTCTCCTTGAGCTTCTACTGGTGTTTCACTCCTAAGAGGCGGGCCAATTAGAAGTCTTTGCGTTCTATTTGAACAATCCTAATTCAACTTCAGCCAAAACTTGGAACACCTGCGGGCGCATGAAGAAGACTCTTAAAGAAGCGCCTCGCGCGTCGAACTGGCGGCATGGCTCGAACTTTCGCTTTCGGGGCCCCGCAAACCGGGATCTTCGCTCGCCCGGAGCGAGTCCGAGCCGCTCGAAAAGCGTGGAAGGCCAAATGGGTTGAGGAACATGGACGCGCGCTGGGAGCAACTTTCACAGTGCCCATGGGAAAGCGGCAAACGGGGGCTTTCCTGCTGGCGTCTCTTCCAAGCCCCAAGAAAAAGGGGCACCTTTTCCCCCGGTACCTTCCCTCCAACCATGGAAAAGGCGCCAGTTTTCTGGAAGGCCCAGGTTCCTCTCGGAGAAAAAAAAAAAAAAAAAACGCCCCGCTGGTTTCCACGGAGAAGATCCGCTTCCCTAGGCCCCCTGTTTCAATTTGATGGGGCGCCGCCGGGTTTTTGGGGGATCGATTCGCGGGCCACTTTTTTGGAGGGGGCATCCCCAGCCCCATTTTAAGAGACAGGGGGTGGATGGAAATTGGGGGCCAGCGTTTTAGATCAAGAACCCTGGCTCTGGGCGAAAATTGAGACCCTTCGACTCAGCGCTTCGCCGCGGGGGCGGCGTAAAGGCCGCTGTCGATGACCGCCTCGCGTCACTCGAGTGCCCACGTGAAGAGGCGGCGGTGGTGGTCAAAAATCGGGGAAACCGGGAAACCCGGTTGGCCGATCGGTACATCGAAGCAGAGACTAAAATCCTCTGGACAGAAAAATGGCCCCAGAACCCCCCACCCCTTCCCCGGAGAAAAAATAAAGAAAAGATTAAACAAAAAAAAAAAAAACTCTTGGCTTGCCTCCGGATGGAAAGAGAAGGGACCGGGAGCCGAGCCGCGCTTGCCTCGCGAATCTTTCGGCGACCAATCAGACAGCGAAACGCCTTTCGCTGGGCTCGCTCAGCGCGACCCGCCTCGCTCAACGCCCCGGCGATCCACGTGCGGGGCTCAAGCAACGAGACGAAAAAATGCGGACCCACAATGGAGCCCCGGTAAATGGAACCAAAGACTAAAACCTGCGTAACCCCGGTGGTTTAAATTTGAGCCACACCCAGAGTGTCAGAGTCTGATCCGTAGATCCTGGCCCTAAGAAACACATTCTCTGAAACCCCAGGTGGCCCAGTTTGCTCAAAAAAACAAAGGCCCAAAGGGCTTCCAAAACATAGATGGTTTCGCCCAGTTCACAAAAAGGCCTTCCTGGACTTTCAGTACTTTGTAAAATGCACGCAACATGCAAAGGTTACCTAAACATAGGCCACAGGAAAAGCTACGTGTGTGTCCCCTGGTGCAATTTCGCGGGTCCCCTTCTCGCTCCTTAAATGGGCCCCACTCAAAACCTGGGCTGGCTGATTCTACCAAACTTGCAAGGGTTCCTCAGAAAACCCGGGGGCCGGAGAAAACAGCGTCTAAAGCGGCCAACGCAAAAACCGGCGACTCGCGATGCGCTTCTGCCTCTGCGTGTTGCCGCAGGCAGTCAGTGCAGAAAGCCTGGCCAGCGAGCCGGGAGCCAGGGAGCTTGTAGTTGCGGGAAGCGTGGCACGTGGTTTCCCCGTTCCCGACTCGAAAACCGGTTCACATGCTCGAAAGCGCTGGTCGCTGGGCCTTTTTGCAGCCATATGTTTCAGCGGATTTGCGCAGGGCACGGGAAGCATGTCCTGCCAGGTGCAGGATCGGATCCCAACATGGGCTTCGGACGGGCTTGAAAGGGTACATGACTTCCTCGGGTGCGTCCTGTGTCACTCGGGGCGATGACGTGTCAATGTGTGGATGCGTTCCTTGCCAAATGCTTCAACTTTACTTGGTATGTGTGGCGGACTGGAAGAAACCCAAAAATGAATTCTGGGGGGCCCTAGGTCCACAGGAGACTGGCCATTGGGAAACCACACATGGGTTTGCCAAATGGGCGAAGCCTCAAACTGGTTGATTTCTTTTGGGTAGCCTCGGGTTGCCCTAGGCAAAAAGGGGCTCCCCGGTTGTCCTTGAGACCCCCTCAAAGTGCTCCCTTGACAGTTGGGTGAAAGTAGCTGTCAAGATTCCCCATTTCTGTGCGGTCATCCCGTTTACTCAACTTGCAAATTCGTGCCATCGAATTTTGGCGTAAGCCACCCAAGCTGACACCCCTAAACCCCGCTTCAACTGTCACCAGATTCTGGTGACACCCGCCACTTCAAAGGAAAACCCACCAATAACTCCCCCCCAACCTCCCCCCCCAAGGTACGGACGTTGAACTCCCTTGGTTTTCTAGGCCTCTGCTTCAAAAATCCACGCGACCCGCGCGCCTTCTCACCGCACACCTCCCTCCCGCAGTGCCGCAGCTGCTGCGCCGGGAAGGTCTCTAAGCAAATGCAGCACCTGGCGCGCAGCGCGCTGCGCCCGTCCCAAAGTTCCTCCGGCCCGGGAAGAAAAACAAAACACGACCCCCACGGTCTTTGGAAGGCCGGAGAGTCGGACATGTTATTCTCGGTCCGCCTTTGAATTAATTGTTTTGCCTTCTTTTCTCCTCCCGTCACGGTTGATATATGTTTTTTTTTTGGGGGGGGGGGGCTTGAAAGTGATCTCTTCCCCAAGTGCTGGAAGTGCTCCTTGGAGTCGGAGATCTGGAGCTGTGAGGCGTCAGGTCAAGGTTAATCAAGGCCGGGGCCCGCCGGTGACGAGCCAAATAGACGACTTGCATTTTTTGTTGGGGAGGAGACCTTGCCAATCCTCGGTAAAACTTGAGGGCTTGTGCAGACAGCAACACCCCCCAGTGGCTCGAGAATATAGTTTGGTACTCCGCTTTCCCCCGAAAAGATGATGACCCCCGACCATTAAAAAATCGACTTGCGAGACTTGTTGGTACTCCCCAGGATTCCGACTTCTCCGGAAGCCGTTTCGGGGAGAGGACTGAGGTTGCCCTGCCATTGCTTGGGCGCAAATCCAGTCACTAAGATTGGCAGCCAAAGGCGAACCATCTCAAAACGTTCAGAAAAAAACCTAAGATTGGCAGCCAAAGGGGAACCATCTCAAAACTTTGAGAAGGGGAAACCAAGGGCCGAGAGATTGAACTTTTCTTGGCCACTAAACCGCTAGCCCAAAACCTACGAAGTCCAGGAACCTGAGTAACTGGAATCTCCCCCCAACAAAAAAAAGAAAGCTAGCAGTCAGTTCCTGACCCACCCTTCTGCGCGACTCAAGACAGCGCAGGGGCCGCCGCGTGTCTGCATCCTGCGAGCCGATTCCGGAAGGAGAATGACGTGGTGAATTAGGTTCTTGTGACTTTTCCCTCAAGGGCGTCCTTCTTTGTTTTGGGGGAAACTTTTTCGCAGTATCAGTTGTCTGATACTTTTGAGCGCCCTCTTTTCCTACATGATCTCGCAGTACCCTTTTGGATTAAACCAAGGGCCATACCCTTTGAACCCCAGTCCGACAGGTCTCACTCTCGAGTGACGCCAGGAAATGGGTGACGCCTGAAAACACTCTGGGTCCGCCCTTAGGCGACCGAAAGGCTACCCTTTCGTAGCGGTTTGAAAGGGAAGCCGCGGGAAGTCGTTGGACATGAGACTCCCCTTGGGAAAGGCTTCTGGGAGCCCTCTAGCCACGGTGCGATGCTGGCACCCTGCTGGCCCTTCTCTCGGTCTGATTTTTGAGGGGGGGTTCCCACCGGAATGACGAGGCAAACCAAAGAAAAAACACCTACTGGAAGGTCGGGGAATGATTCCACGAAGAGGAGCTTCCACCAAAAGACCGCTCCAACTGCACGGGTCCAACTGCCAGTTTTTTCGTTTCTTTATCCTGGAAGCTTTCTGGAATTGTTGAGGGAAACATGATGGAAACCTTCCATTTGTGGTGTTCCCCCTCTTGACCACCCCCCCCCCCACTTATGGGTTCGTTTCCCACCAAGCAGACGCAAAAAATCAACGTCCAATCCTCACCGCTGGGGGGAGGGGTCCCAGCACCATTTCCCTACACCAATCTATTCATGCATCCTCGATTCAATGGACCCCCAGAGGTCGCCCATATTCAAGCAAACACTATGTGAACTCCAGACATTTGTCCCACCCCCCGCCCCGCCCCCAGAATTATGTGACCTCCATAGGTCACCCCCCTTTACGCACTTCTTTCGCACCTCTCTCCACCTCCCCCCCCCCTTTTGAGCTGCACCCACCCGCTTTCCAGCCCGCCCGCCCACCCGCTTTCCCGTCTTCCGCCTCGTACTGCACCAAGAGGCCCTTGGCGAGGTTGCAGCCGATCTTCCTGCGGATCCGGCGGGCGGATCCGCTGATCCGCTGGAGTCGCGCTTCGCCGGTCTTCTCTTTTTTGGGAAACCGCGGGGGCATTTCGCCCAGGTTTTTTGGTCGCCGGTTTTGTTTTTTTTGGTCGGAAGCAGGCGAAGTTCTTTGGAGTTGGTATCCATTTTGGGGCTTTAAACGGAACCAAAAGCAACGCCGCTGGAGCAAAGCCCCCGCTTGTGATGTCACACACTGCTACCTCCGTTTGGCTCCAAGTTTCAACCCTTGGGGTTTCAACCTTGACGGCCTGTCCACGTCTTTCTGGCACGTCTTGCAATCCAAACGGAAGGCTTGCAACTCTTTCCACTGAAAATCTTAGCTTCGGAGTGCCACAGACCAATTACCCAAGGACTCCCTATGAAGCGAGACAAATAACCAACCAAATCAAGGCTTCCCAGGCCGTTGCTACAGCGGGTTCCTTGCGACTCCCAACGTGTCAACCACATGGAACCCACAGGCTCCACCCCCCAAAAGCGATCTCTCCCCCTCCGCTTTCTTGGCTTCTCCGTTAGCATCTCCAGTCTCTGGAGCTCTCGATTCGACATGTCCCGACAGGGTTCCTGGAACAGAGACGAGGCTTCCCTCATGGAACACGCTCCAGAGAGCACTGTCGCGGCTCTAGGCCCTGTCAGCGAGACACATAGAAAGACAAACACGGCTGAAACAAGGATCCGCCCCAATGAGAAAGCTTGATGAATCAGCGCTTTTTTGTCGCATATCAACAGATACAGGAAACGACAGGGTTTGAGCGTCAAGAGCTTGGGATGTGCAACTTAAAATGTGTGGGTCCAAAAAAAGGGCTTCTCTGGGCTGTGCCCCGTCTTTGCCATCGCGGCTTCACAACCGAGCCATCTTCTGATGCCATCTTCTCAAAGAAGAAAAAAGGCTCACCCGAGCGAGCCGTGAAAGAGGGATACGACTTGAGCTCGGAGCTTGGGATCCAATGGACTCGCGCGCACGTCCCAATGGTCAGCTGACGGCTTCGGTGTGGGCCTTCGGAACGCTCGGCCGACTTTCCGGCCGACGCGGCCCACTCCTCATTGGAGGTGACGGCAAGCCAGCCAATACGGCCGCCTCGTCCTGGCACCGCCAAGAGGCCGCGCCCCGAGCGCATCGAAAACCCAAAAACGAAACTCAAACAAACCCATCCCCCGCCCAAAACCAGTCAGCGTTGTCTAGGTCCTCCAGTAAAGAGGTTCTATTTTAGTAGGGGAACCCTCCCCAAAAAAAGGGTAAAAGGGCACTGGGGGACCCAGTTGTCTTGGGGAAGCACCATACCTTCTGTTTTGGGTATATTATCTCCAGGTGTTAAATGGATCTCGCGCTGGCAGAGGTTGGGAAGCGGACAGGGAGGAGGCGGTAGGAGGGCTCCTTCTTTTAGGGTATTCATTTTGGGTAGGCTGCAAAATATAGTCTCTCAGTGTCCGTAGCATCCCCCCTTGTGCTATGGAGTATATTTTAAAATACAGCATGGTGCACATTCCCTTGGGCTCGCTCACTCGAGCAAAAGCCTCTCGGAGAATCAGAAGTGGCAATCTGAGGGATCCAGACGTCAAGTGCGTCGAGCCCGGATCTTGAATATCCCAAACCTGGGACACACCAATAAGATGTTCAGATGCTCTATGTGGCCGGCTTCTCGACATGGGACCCCTGTTCGGATGGTCTCAATCCGACCTGGAGAGGTCCCACTGCGGAACCTACCCGCCTGGAGCACGTTCCAAGCCATGCTTCCACCCCCAACAAAGAGATGTCGACCCAAAAAGTGTGGTCTTTTTGCTTTTGTGGATCTGTGAATCTGCTGCTTGGGTATACCTCAAAATGGGTTGGAACCAGCGTTTGGAGATATGTTGAGAGAGGAAGCAAAGGGACACCAACCGCCCCTGTTCGCAGGTCAGCAGAGAGCTGTGTTTCGTTGGCAGGCTCGCACACACAGACAAAAAAACAAACTTGGGTTTCCCGATGTATTTCTGATGCCGAATCTACCTACAAACATGTGTGCACCGAAAAAGACCCTGATCCAGAAGTTTGGTTGGAACCGGGGTCTCCTGGTTTCAAGACGGGCTCCCCATGGTCCAATCCTACCTTAGCAAAGTACGTTGCTCTCACCGCCAAACAAAGAACCGGAACTCAAAAAACGACGAACCAAGTAATGCGAAAATGCGTGTCAAGAAACAAACAAGAGCCGGAACAGGGTAACACACGTGCGAATAGTGAGGCCCAACGTGGTTGAGACACGCCGCAGCTCTTTGCTCTCGTCTTTCGTCTTTCGCTTTGTTTGGGGTTGGCTAAATTGAGACCCCCACGTTGGCTTCCCTGAAGCCCCGGGCGCCGAGCCTCCAAAAAGAGACCCATGTGCATTGCTCCGCCGTTTTCGCATTTCTCACTTCAAGAAACCCATGCGGGCCATCGGACTGCACTCTTCCTTTCTTGGACATGCCCAATATGGGCGTGTCTTCGACATTCAAACCGCCATCCGTCCAGTTCGGGGCACCGTCGAAGGGACGAGCCCGTTTCGGAGCGCGGCTTCCGCGCCCGTGGCCTGCGGGGTGACCAGGCACGGCGCGAGCTTCTCCTGCGAAAGTCGAACGAGGCCGAGGCCGATTGGGCGAGTCCGGTGCTCCCTGGCCTGTTTCGAAGGACACCATTGACTTTATTCCCTTTTATCTTATATGTATATACTTATATATATATACATGTATTTATTTATTTGGTCCCCTTAAAAAAACAACACACCCATATGGGCGGGACTTCTTTTTTTTTGGTGTGTGTGTGTGTGTGTGTGCGTTTTCTTGGAGGGGACCTTTTTGCGGCTGATCTTGAAAGGAGGCCGCAGAAAAAGTCGAAGTCATATTTATGGGAGTAGTCTCTAATGCTTACGCTGGTATGAAACATAAGAACTTATCAAACTTAATATGTGACTGCGATGCAAAATGATTTTGTAGGATATCCAAGGATTCTATAGTTAATTGATCTTCAATATAGTTCTCTTTAATATAGAACATGTTAGCAGAAGACTCTTGAAAGTGTCTTCATTTGAGCTCGCTCTGTGCGCCTTGATTATCCACTTCTCAAAGTTCAAGAGCAATCTGCTGACCTCCCCATCCGCGATAGGGCATGGAATGACTCCCCGAGCCATCCGTTTTTGAACAAAACTATGCCCCTAGAACGGTTAAAGAGAAAACAACCGACCAGTTGCTGACAAAAGCCCCTGACAGACCAAGTTGACAGCGAAAACCCCAACGATTCCAACTGCGAACCGAGCAGGTCGACTGCCGCGAATGGCCAAATCAGTACAGCTCCCCCACCGGAAGCCCGCGATCGGAAGCGAGCGGATTGGCCGAAGACAGCCGAAAGGGTGCCTCGAAGCACAAAAACAATTGCAACCACCTAGGCCTTCCTGCCCAAAAGGCATGCAAACCCCGGAATTGTCGTATAAACCCGGCCTGGCGTGTTCCCTGCAAAGGTGGCCTGAACACCAAGAGGTGTTATCACCTCTCCAAAAATCACCCGGACGGTGAATCTGAGGTTCCCTTTGCTCCAAACCCGTTCTGAAGGAACTGGAGCCAGGGGATTGAGAGCACGCACCCGGGCAGAAGCTAGCAATGCTCGGGATAAAATCAAACATCTATACATTCATAAGCTCACACATCTATAAATATGCATATACATAAGTGTGTATATATATATATATACATATATATATATATAAAAACAAGTAAGCAAATAAACAAATAAAAATAAACATAAACAAACAATTAAACTGCCATTCCCGTAAACCAGTTTGACGCCAGAATCTAACATTTGCATGCCAGCATTTGTTTCCAAGATGCCTCTCATCAAGAACAAACAACCTGGGTGTGAACTGTCATGGGTAAAGACGCAACGAATTCAAGTCAATCACTTTTGAGGAGCTTCCAACTCTTAAAATTCAACGCACGTCCGAGACTTTGGGACCAAAGAACCGGCCCAACTGGCTTTGGTCCCAGCTAAGTGCTGCCACAAGGCTTCGGGCTCGAGGTCTTGGGCACGCTGCATAACCAAGAAGTGGCTGCGCGCGTACTCCCTGTAACGTGGCACGCCGTGGCCATGCCCCGCATTGTAGGCCTTCGCGGTCCTGGTAGTCTTCGCGACACTCCAGCAGCTGCGCAGCCGTCACTCGGCTCCAGTCCACGCGGCGCCGCGGCGGCTCGGGGGCCTTCTGGCTCTGCGCCGCTGCTTCTTCTGCGCGCGCTGGCCTTGCTTTTGCTTCGCTGCCGCTCCCCCGCTCGCCGCCGCCCCGGCGACCCCGCCTCTTGTCGCCGGCCCCCCCTCCTGTCTTGGAAAAAATCGTCTAGAAATCGGCTTCCCCTTGGATTGAAGATTCAAGATCACCGATTTCCAGGACTGAGAATCCTCCGACCCCCCCACAGACAAGCGCTTCCAAATGGCTCCCAAAAGGCTCCACAAATCTGGGTTGCAAAATATTTGTTTTATGAGGGGCCTTGTAGTGCACACCAGAATTCACTGGAGATGTATGTCCCCTCGCCTCGCGCGGCGGCTCCGGCTCCGCCTCGGAGCCGCGCTTGGCTTTCGGGGGACCAATGGAGTTCGGCCGGGCGCAAGGCAGCGCTTTGGGGGTGGATCAGCTGGTCCCCTCGGCTCAGGTTTTGACCATGAAGCCAACTTATCCCATGTGGTCAAGAAGCATCATTCATCTTTTTGGTGGGTTTGGCCATCCCATGTAAATGACCCGGACCTTTTGATATCAACCCCTACATAGCAGCCTCTAGGTTCATTGGAAGGCCCTAAAGTTACACTAGGTTCAGCGGACCTTTTGATCAACCGCCAGCTAAATCTTGAGTTTCTTGCATTGAACACACCTTTTGATTCAAAAAAAACGACCGGTCGTTGCTGGGCGTGAGGAGAAGAAAGGAGAAACATCTTAAGGTGCCTTTCGGCTACGAAATCGGTGGATTTTTGGAGGGAAAGTGGGGAAACAACAAACTAGCGCAAGGGTCTGGAAAGCGACGATTTGAAGGGGATATTCAAACATATTTCGGATCACGGCTTTTTGGGGCCTCTGTTAGGGCTACCAATCTTTTCGGAACGGCTCGGGGTGGGCCTATGGGTGTCCGTTTGATGCTTGCTGGTCCGTGCGTCCGTGCGGAAGCCCATTGCACAAATCGGAAATTTGGGTCTCGAGCTCTCGAAATGGGAAAGCCACGGAAGTTGATTCGAGGGAAACGACTCGAGATCGGGCCACCCATTTTAGGAGAAACGAAATCTCCCCTTGCAGAACAGAAGGAATCCCGAAAGCGGCACACTCAGAGAACGCACATGACAGCCCTTGGGCGGTTGAGTCAGAAAATTCGCCTGAGGTTCAAAGCATTCCAAAAGGCAAGGAAGCTGAAACAACTTGAAAACTGCCTTACCAACCAGCCAAAAGTCTACCAAAAAAGCCTTAAGTCACCAACCAGAAGCCAAACAGCTTTGACCTACCAACCAGAAGTCAATGGGTAGAGTTCTGGGTGATACTGGCTCAGGGAGACCAAAAGGCGACTCTGCCAGGCTCATGGCATTCGGAAGGCGCAGCCTGTGTTGACCCGGCCTTTAGGTCGGTTTCAGGGAGACACAGTGGAACACCTCCACAGAAACCAGATTCCTCGGTCAGACTACCCCCCGGAAAAAAGCGAGAGTTCTTTGTCCCGAAAAGGAGCTAGCCCCAAAGAAACACCAACAGGACACAGGCTGAGAGAAGGCTTAGGCCCATGGAATCTGCTCATTTCCAGGAGACTCGCCCTTCTAGCGACACATCTGGTTTGGCGGTCTTCGGTCCTTCCGCGCGAATTGGAAAACAAAGAGAAAGCGGCCGAACGAGACGCCCCCGAAACGCTTCCTGCCCACTTCCCGCCTCGGTCTCCGGAACTTCAATGCTGTCGCCTCAAGGAGCTTCTTCGGGGCGCTGCCAGAAAAGATCGGATTTGGATTTCCCAAACTGGTGGTTTGATTTCGTGGTGTTTTCTTGAGAAACAAAAAATTGGAGGCGGACACAACTTTCAAAAATAAAAGGAAGAAGAGCCACTGGCAGCCCAAAATTCGGCCGGTTACTTGGTGCTTTGGGTCGGTTTGGTGGCATTTGCTTCTCACAAGCGAGGCTTAGCACTTCGTGCTGTTTGAAAGACTTTGTTCTCGAGTACTTACAAAGACAAAGTCACCTTTTGTTCTCGAGAAAAATGCGAACTCTTGGTTGCCTCAGGCAAATGGATCCATTCTTACATTTCCCCGAAGATCACCAGCAACTTGGCACACTTGGGGATCAGAAGCAAGCCGCTTTCGGGACTCACGTGACGCCACTTTCGGGCGTCCCCTCACTCTGCTCTGGGGGCATGGACAATCCCATCGGATGTTTTTTGCCTTTTCCAAAAGGTGACGTCGGATTCGTTGTGTTTCCTTGATCCCTTACTACTCGTTCCCTCCCAACGACAGTCTGAAAGTCTAAGGAACGGTACCGGGAGCCGCACGGGAACTGTGTCTTGCTTGACTCCCTTTCAGGGAGTTTCAACTCCAGAAAATTCACAACCTCATTGTTTGCACCATGTGAGTAGATGCCACATTCACTGTATGTCAGCAAAAAATGACTAAAAAATAGGAAATCCCTCTTTGTGTCATCTACTCCAAATGTGAATTTCAGCTTCCCTCGAATTGGTTTCGAGATGTTCGGGAGTGGCACACCACCTCTTTAAATTCCAAGCCCAGATGGGAGTTTCTCGAAGCGGTCTCCCAAAATAGTTTCTCTTGAAACACCGACCAAAAGAGAGCTTGTCCACTCATATATATATATATATATATACATACACACATTCGTACCATATGCATGCATGTAGATATATATATATATATAAATACATGTTCTTGTATATAAATATATATATATACATGTATAAGAGTAATACACGTATATATATATATATATATTCTTTCTACAGGCAGTATAGGCACACAGGGACAAACCAGAGGAACACCAAAACCACCACGACTTGGGGCCAACTTTTCGAGCGCCCGGCCTGCGCCTCTGCGACACCTCGGAACTTGGTCGCCGATTCGGCCAGGTACCCTCGTTTCAAAAGTCCAAAAGGGAAATGGTGGAGGTGTGGTCTGTTTTGTTTTCTTTTTATTGCCAGGTCCGTTAAAAGACCAACAAAAAACAAAACACTTCCAAACCAGGAAAAGCTTCCATGATTGGAGGCCAACTTGATATATAGTTTCCCGTCATAACCCCGGGGGAAATCTCACTTTGTCTTGGTGGACATGGGTGTCAACAGAAACGTTCAGATATACTAGGCCCTCCATTCGAGAGGTTAGAATAAGGGTTCCCCTTTTGCCGTAGTTTATTTTAGTAGGGGAACCCTCCCCAAAAAGGAGTAAAAGGGCACTACTGGGGGACCTAGTATATCTGACACAACTCCAATGACAAGGCTGCGATGACTTCGCAAAAACAACGTCGCAGAGCGCAGCAGAACGTGACGTCGCGAATGATTTGCCCAGCATGTCGTATGTCCAAAAAGGGGGCTTCTGGTCGAACACAAACAAGGGACGTTTCCTTTTTGGGGGATGATCTGGCTTGCCGCAAAGGAGTGTCAAAAGAAAACGTGCAATCCCAAAAAAGTTTCCCAAAAAAAGGCTTCCAAAACAATGTGTTTACCCATGCGACATCCTTAGCTGCCCTGGAAAACACGCATAGTGTTCGTCCTATCACCCCAACGTAGTCGAAAAGCAACAATGTGTTTATCAACCAATCCTTCTCAAGCTCATTCCACCTTTGCTTAGCAAGGTCCCAAACACAAATCAAAACGTATCAAACAGAAACAAAACCCACCCATGGTATTAAAATGGTGCACCCAGAAACATGTAAAGAACTAAGGCGGCCGCAGCTATTTATGGTTGGGATTGTCCCTTACCAACCTTCATCTACCAGGGTTTTGAGCAAGTGGCTCACCTGTGCTTGTTGGATCAAGACTTCCACCGTGTCTTTGGGACCCATGGCCGCTTCTCCGTTTTCTGGGCTCCCGAGCCGCACCAGGCTCAGCAGGCTCCTCGGATCGGATCCGGCCTTCTGGTTTCTTGGCGGGGAGCTTTCCCAAGTATCCGATGTTCTCTTTGTGCATGGCGGCCCCCCGATTTTCTGGCGCAGCTTGGGCTCTTGGGCTTGGACCTCTGGGAAATACATCTGAACTTGTTCTAGGGAAGCTGACGATTGGATGTGAGAAGATCATGCTCCTGGGGAAGCTCCCTCTCGGTGTCCATGATTGTTGCACGAAGGGTATGCTATACCCCCCCAACCCAAAAAAGGGAGAGGCTCCTTAAAACGCACACACACACACACAGACTTTGCTATGTTCTCAGAAAGGGGTGAATAATTGAGCTGTCAGATCAGTATGACAGGGATGTATATCTTCATTTGACTCATCAACCAAATAAACGGCAACCCCCAACCGTCACATTCCCATTCGAAACCCCGGGTCTCTCAATGTGTTGGGCCCCCAAAAATGGTTCGCAAATGGTTCGCATGGTCCCTCTGAACCCCCAAGGGTGTCGTCGGCTCTTTGAGTTGAAAAGAGGATGACAATCCGCTCGTTGCAACAGGAATTTGCGTGTGGACAAAGCCCGAGCTCGCCTACCCGGACAAAGGGAATCGCTAAACAGGCTCTGCTCGTTCGGGCTCTGGAGTGCTTCAGAGCGGCGGAAGGGGTTGCTGCTGTGAATGGACAAACTCCTGCACCAGTTGGGATGGGCAAAACCCTACAATTGCTGGAACAAAGCACCTACCAACTGATGTTGTTCATCCACAGCGCTGCCAGAAACATCAACATCACCAGCACGAGCATGTCAACTTGGCGCAAAAGTCCTATTTGTCTCCTTTGCGTATCACACACCCAGCGAAAATCTTACAAACTAGATTCGCCCCTCCAAACGATGTCAAGGTCGAAATCCCGAGGCAAGGCGCTTTGAAAGGGCCCGCCAGTACATCACGGAGAACTCGTTTCGCCCGAATCGCTGGCCGCCAAAAACCGGAGGCCCTTCCTTTCGGTTGCAATTGGGGGACGCCACCTCCAGGTTGGTTGTTCAGCAGAGTGTCCACGGGGGCCGCACCCAAGAAAAACCAACAGAAGCTGAAACAAGTTGCTTTGAGCCCAAAGTCTTCCGGTTGAATGCTGAGAAAGTTGGGGCTGGCCGCCTGAAAGGAGCACTTCAAAGCTCCGGAGACACCAAAACATGGATGTTTTTACCCACACCTGGGTGGTCTTTGTTAGGGCTGCTCTTTTTTGGAGCTGGGTTTGGACTTTTAACACGACATCGGCGACTCGCAGGCACCAAACCGCAGCCGAGGCGCTGCATCTTTGGCAAGGCCTCGGTCGCGCGCTGGGACTCGCACGGATCGATCCGCGGGTCGGTCGGTCGGTGGGTCTCTCAGTGGCTTGGAACGCAATGGGTGTAAAAACACGCGGGGGGGGGGGGGGGGGAAGAAGAAGAAGAAGAAGAAGAAGAAGAAGAAGAAGAAGAAGAAGAAGAAGAAGAAGAAGAAGAAGAAGAAGAAGAAAAACGGAAAACCGTCACCATGGCCACAAGGGTATGGAATGTAACAACTTGGTGCGATAGGGAGTGTGGGAATGAACCAGACTCCCGGAAGGAAACCATGGGAAATGGATGGTCAGGGGTCATTCCATTTCTCATTCCCTGAGCAGCAAGATAAGGATATGTGAGTCCATCAACGGCATCCCCCAGTGAAAGAAACGTATGGGTGATTGTTGCCCCATGGAAACTCCCCAAGATTCTCCCACAGTAACGCGCGTCAGAAAGTTGGGAGGCTTTTCCGGAACCCGAACCTTTCGGGGGGGTCCGAATCCTTAAAAAAGAAACGACGAGCCACCCATAATATCCAAGACAATGCCATGAAAATACATCAACGGTACTCGCAGAAAGAAGAAGAAAAAAGAGGAAGACTCACCGAGTCTGGTCCATGTCACCTGTGGCAGCTCTGAGCGAGGGCCCAACGTTGCCCAAGCTCAGCAGCTTTCCTTTCCAAAGATTCACATGTTTGACGGCCGACGAGCTTCCACAATGTCAATTCATTGAAACTGGTCCAAGTGGGCCATTCCCAAAAGAGCCCAGCTTGCCCAGCGAACCCGCGAACCCCTTACAAACCCTTTTACAACCCCTTTCACCTGCTCACCTGCTCTTGTCTGCCACTGTCTGGTCACCTCCGAAAGCGACGGCCCTCGACACCCGCCCCCGCACCACCCCTCCGCCCACTCGGTCGCGCCCGAGGTTCCGGGCAGCCACGGCGGGGCCATCGGGCAACACGCGCCGCAGCAGCGCCAAGACGCCCTCGCGGCGCCGGTCCAGCTGCGCCGCCGCCTGCCGTCGGCTCCGAAAATCCCAGCGTCGAGGGGGGGGGGGGGGAACGGAGCGGCGCCGAGAGCGCAACGAGGGCTTTGGAAGAAACGGGGGCGGGGGGGGAGGAATGGTTGAAACACCCAATACATGGGGGGGATGGGGGGCATGGGGATGGGGAGCAAATGGGGAGGCAAATGGGGGAAATGGTAATAAGGCCTGCAAAAGTAGGGGTCTGCAGGAAAAGAACCACAGGCGGGGGAGGGGAAAAATCGAAGAAGCCAGGGTGTTCGAGCCCCGTGGCTTCGACACAATCGACATATCCACGTCGAACTTGCAGCAAGGGATCGACAAACCAAGTGCTGGATTCTCGAACCCCATTTGCCCGAGGCAAATCGTCCAAAACACGAGACATGTGTACATGGAGTCTTTGGGATTCACCTTTCTCCAAATCTCCACCTTAGCGTTGGCTTTTGGATCCGTGGTTCATTTCATTTCCCGAAAGGGGAAAGTGCAACCTGGCGTTCCCTCATGAGGGAGGCTGAATCGGGACTTGCCTCGATAGGTTTTGGGGTATGTACCCTGGATGGTCCCTGTATAACCCAGTTATAAACCATGTAAAGTTGACTGCCAGCAACTCCCCTGAAGTGCTCCCAACAGAAATCTCCCCCCCCCCCCCCCGCCGTGCTTTATCCGAACTTGCAACCGCTGATTTCTGTGGGTATGTCCGTGGTAAGCACTCGCATGGGCCTTCGGTATGTCCATTTTGGGGATCCCAGTCGGTTTGATCATTGGGTTTGGTACCTTTAGTTTCAATAGCTGGATTGGTCGGTCATTTGGGTGTCTTTAAAATAGGGGGAACCCCGAAAATGAGAGGTTTTCCTTTTGGCTTCCCTTTTTGACCCACCAAAAAAGGTGTGTCCTCAAAAAACGTGATAGGCCCATCTGGCTCTTAAATGCCACAAGGTTACCAGGCTTTGATGGCAAGGAACCGCTTGCCCCCACATCGGCCGCTAGGCAGAAGTTCCTTCTGCTGCAATCCGGCATCCTTTCCAGCCCAAAGAACACCAATCGCAAAAAGCTGCAATCGCTTCCTTGCTGAACCAGGCTTTCCCTTCTGGGTTCCCTCGGTGGCCTAGCCCGGTGCTTCCAGGCGAACCGAAGATTTCGACCATGACGGACGTTTTCGTAATGTCGACCCCATATCCAACCCCAGTGTATCGCGTATTCATTAACCCCTGTTTATGTAATCCTGGGGTGGGGGGCCCTCCAAAAGCGGCCGGGGGCCCTCCACACCCGGGGAGAAGCTTCGAGCGCTTCGAGTGCTTCGAGCCGCACCTGCAGCAGCATCACCAGCGCCGCATCCACTTTCGGAGCCTCGGCCTTTGCCTCGGCCTCGGGCGCGAATCGCGGCTCGCGGCTCGGGGCTCGGGGCCCGTATCGGGTTGACGACCGAAACGCAGCCCCAAGCGTCTGAGAACTATGTCAGGTTTGGGCCGGGGTTTAGGTTTTCTATCCCTGTTGGCTACACGGTGTTATCCTCCCTGGTGGTAGAGGTTTGGGAATACTGAAAGGACGTCTTGGCTAAGTTTCTCTCAATTGGCTGTGGGTCAAAAATAGGTACCAGAAATGATTTGCCCTGGCAAAGGAAACATGGACTAAATCCCACAGTCCAATTCCTGGTGATGTTTTTCTCTATCCAATTGGCTCTGAAACGAATTCCCCAGACCGTCGCCGAAACGAAACGACGGCTGTCTGGGGCGACCGGCGACATGAGCCAGCAAAGACCGACTGTCCCGGCCCACTGCCACTACCGCCTCGCGACACCGAGCTTGGGGGCGGCTTCGCCCCATGTCCTTTGTGGGTTCTTTCTCTTTCATTTTGTTTTGAGGATGGGCTCCCATGTGGGATTCCGGTCTTCCTTGGCTTCCCTAACGCGAAGAAGCGAGTAGCAACTCAAGAAAGACACGACCTCATGTTTAAACCCCAAGGGACTTGAAGGCGAGAGGGTTCATACCTAAACCGGTGCCTGGGTCCCGGTTCTTCCGGGTCCCGGCGTTCGGCAGAAATTGGTCACTCGCGGCACGGGATCATTGCATCTGAAAGGAACCCAACCTGATTTCGGGTCACCCTCTCTCTGAGTCAGGTCCTTCAGGATTTAAACCTCTTCGGGCTGCCCCTCGACCATAAAACTTTCTCTAAAAACCTCCAAAAAATGAAAAATCAACAAGTATGCCGTCACCTTTCCATAAAAACCCACTCCATCCAAAAACCCGAGAAGATCCTCCTCAGCCGCGAGCCCCCACAGGACCAAGACCCGCTCGGAGCAGCTTCGGCGCGGCAAATCGAACGCATTCCCTTCCATGGGTTTCACATGTTCTGACAGATTTTTCCGCCAAACGCATTTATCCCTTGGCTCATTGGTTTCACATGTGGTTTCTGACAGAGTTTTCCGCCGAAGAAAGAAGACATATTTCGGGGCCCCTCCAGGGCCTTCAGGGGGCAACTTCGCACTCGCAAAGCCGCTGCTTTCCAGTCCAGCGGTCCGGCTCGCCAATCCTGACGCTTTAAGACTGTCCCTTTCTGGTCGCGAGATCGGTGAGGGAACGGCCCCCCTTTTAAAACCATCACCTGGTGGCTTCCTTCGAGAGATTGGTTCATTCCATTTCTCTCATTCCAGGAATTTCTCGCACCCATCGCAAGCTGTCCGGCTTTCAGTATTCCAAGCTTCTACAAATTCCGAATTCTCCGGTTTCCCGGGTTTTGGCTGGTGTCTATGTCGTTTCTTCTGGTTTTCATGATCGCCATACCCCACACCCTTCAGGGGAAGCGAATTCGCGGCACTTCTGGGGCTGGACACCCCAAAGGAGACGGGGGACATGAAGGGTCCGCTCGAAAAGCGGATGGCTTGAATCACCTCCAAAAAGACCACACGCTTGGACCAAAACAAAACACACCCCAAACCAAAACAAAAAAAACCTTTTGTTGCACTTCACCCGCCCAAGAAACATAAGAAGCCTGGCCCCGGGGGCCAAACACCGCATCGTCCGGAAGCATCCGCTCGCCTTGCGGAGGACCTGGCTGGGGCCCCAGAGTTCTCTGAGGGCCACGAAGAGTCGGTCCCAGTCCTGGCGACTGGCAGGGACTGACCGAGGATCGGAATTCAAAGAGAGCGAGTGCGCTATACACATGTTTTGGATTTTTTGTTCAAGGGGGTTTGACAGATCCCCTTTCAAGGCGGGGGTCCCTTTCTGAGTTCGTAGCCCGGCCAGCAGGAACTCCTGGTCTCACGGCGCCCAGCTCGCCTCTTGGGCGGCCGAGTCTGATCTGGGCGCAGTTGCCTCTGTTTCCCAAACGAACCGTTTCCTCACGTCCCAGCGCAGTCTGCTAAAGGCCGGCCCGCAGATCGAGGTCGGATTGATGGCCAAAAACAAGGCTCGGGGCGAACCAGCGTGAGCCATTCGCACTTTGGGCTACATCCCCAGCTGCCAGCCAGTCGTTGGCTTCGAGCTCACACCAGCGCCCCGAGCCGAATTGAGGCTTCCTTGGGGCCGCAAGGGGCAGTCACGACTTCCGAAATGGAAAAGGCGAGTGTCAGCAGATGTTGGGAAGACATGCTAAGCACAGGGCGCGTGCCCCTTGCTTCAATGCTCGCAGCTGAGCCGACTCCGACAATGTCAATCCGAGTGCTTTGAATCTAATTCGAAAACCTGAAACAGGAAGTGGATCCTACTAGGAGCCTTCGTCATGGCTTGCTCGGTTTACCAGCCCGAATCGGTGGAATTGCGGAGGAAACCCATCAAATACGTGGACGTGAAAAATCCCGCAAAATCTGCGCGTTTCTCAAAATAGCGGAACCCTAAAATGGGTTGTTTCTGCTGAAGTTGGCCGAATTTGGCCTTTCAGGGTGAAAAGGAAGAGGTTCTTCAAGGCTGACGTTCTGTTTGTCTCGAAAATTGAGGGCAAATAGGCGCATCCGTCAGACCGAAAACAGCTTCCCTTTAAGATTTCTCACCGAAAAAGCTTCCCTCGAAAAGGCACGTCTTCAGCACCATCTCTCCGGTGGAAAACGCCCAGGAAAACCGAGGAGTGATGCTTTGGGGTTTGAACCAAACAGGTCGATGGGAACCCTGGGGTTCCACTCCCTTCAACCTGGGCCACCTTTCACCGACCGCAGGTGGAAACCGCCCATTTTTCCCATGCGTTCGGAAAGGTGACCTTCCCCTCCACTCCCGGAGCAAAACTCCCAAAAAAACCGCTTGGGTGACCGTGCCCTCTGAAAAAGGAAAAGAAAAAAGCCGCCTCCTTCTGAAGCAGCAAGCTGGCACAGCACGCCTCGGACACGAGCTTTGCGCTAGGCCCGGCTGGGAGCCGAAGAAAGGCAGGAAAGGGATGGAAAGGCTCGAGTTGCATCGCCTAAGCCGAAAATATTTTTGCCTTCAGCTGAAGGATAGAAAAGAATCTATGGATTCCTTGTCCAAACTTCGGGCAAGGAAAGCCAAACGGAAGCCAGATGCTCTGCACCTAGAGGCCAAGCTTCGGCTGTCCTGCGTTACGGCAGTCCTCGATGGAGGTTTCCCAAACTGGGCAGTTGGTATGGATAAAACCGAGTCGCGTGATTGGACCACCAATTCTGTGCCGGATGTTGCCAGTTCTTTCGCGCGTTTTAGGGCCAAGGGGAACTGCCACGTAGCCGGTGGGAAGTGGGGCATCCTTCTTGGTGCACGAGCTAACCCAAAGGATCTATCACAACCACCGTAAATTACATTGGCAAGAGACCCCAAACAGTGTTGGGGAAGGCATGAAAATAGAAAAGCGAATGATCTCTTAAATAGATGCCTCTACAAGACCTCTTCAAAGGAATGTTTTGCAGGTCCTGCGTAAGAATTGTTGGGAGGATCTCCAGAAGGACCAGCACGGGGTGTCTTTAGAATTTTGCAGGATCTCTGCGCGATATCGCTTGAAGGATCTGCATGATGTGTATGCCCGATCGCTGGACAAGATCTGAGAGGGTCTGCATGAGACCGCTTGACAGGATCTTCTACGAAGGGCCAGCGCAAAAACATCTATGTGGGGATCTTTGCAGAATCTCTGCGCAAGGCGTCTGAGTAGGTCTCTTGGCAAGATTTGAGAACAGGATCCATGTAAATACAATTTCTCTGCTCAAGATCTGTATGGAGCCTCCCCCTACAAGACCAATTGGAGGAAAATCTTTCCAGATCCTGCGCAATAACTTTTTCAAGAATCCTTACCAAGGACCGGCGCAAGATATCTTTTGGCGGGTTTTTACAGGGTCAGTGAACACTGTGCAGACTTGAGAACATCGCAAGTCAACCCTCTGCGGTCTTCGGGCGGGTCGGGTCGTTTTTCCGCGGCGCGGTGCGACTTGCGACCTCAGACGTGAACCCTCTGCGGACTCCAGGTGGCTCGGATGGCCCCTCGAATTCGCTGCGCGGAGATCTTGTAGATTTTGACAGCGCGCTTCAACAAAAAGAGGATCCTCTCATGGATCCTGCACACACGACCTCGGCTCTTGGCTTCCGGCGTCCGCCAGGAGCTCGGCGCCCTGCAGCATGGTGGGGCTGTAGGCCCCCAGCACGCCTGCGCAGCTCAAACGAAAGGAGCCCCATGGAAAACGCGAAGCTTTCGCCCCACCTATTTTCCCCGTTTAGCTCTTTGTGAATGTGAAGACAGGCGTGAAGCCGAAGAAAGCAAGGGCAAACAAGCTTAAGAAATAGCCATGGTTTCCTGAAGCATTAGCTCTGCCTGCGGGTTTCGCATTTCCTCATTTTTTGGGGGGCGCAGGAAATGCCGGAAACACATCCGCCTCCACTTCCATTTTCCTACAGGTACCCGCTCGATCGATTTGGACAATGCTTGGTTGGCCAAGTTCGAAACTGGGATCTGGAAACAGTGACGCAGGGCTCACTTCGTGATCCTAATCCAACGCGAGCCTCGCGTCCTGAAAATTCGATGGGTTATTGGCTTCCTTCAAAGGTTGCAGGTGAAGCGCTTGGATTGAAACCGTCCGGAGGGGGTCAACCCCAACGATTCGAATCGACGCATTCATTCTCCTGTAGAGAGCTCCACACCCGTGAGAAGGTCCAGCAGCGCAGGTGTGCCACCTCAGGCAGTCCAGGTCGTCCTTTTAGCCCAGAACCTTCCCAGAACATTTAAAAACCCGCCCGCCCCCCTCCCACAAACCCATTTGACTGAACCCCAAGAACCGCGAGCACTTCCTTGCCACTCAAAGCCACGCCCTCCCTTCAAAAAAGCAAAGCCATCTCCCAAGCAAACCACCAGCCAAAAAAACATCTCTCCCCATCCAAAAGCCAGGACCACAGCCTCTCAAGCAAACAAGCAAGAAAACAGAACAAGAACAACGCCCAAGCCCCAAGTCAACGTTCCTCGACTAAGAAATGCGAAGGACAATCAAACCAAACGAAGGCCGCAAGGGGTTACTGTATATCTTTGCGGGGAAAGCGGGATTGGGAAACTTCCGTGGGTTCCCAGGCCAGAAGCCGCAAACCAACCAGGAGAATCACCCGCCTTCGGCACCAAGCTTAGGGTATTGGTTTAGAGCTGCAACTCTGTTTGGGAGGGCACCCTCAAATACACACACACACATGCCTGGACTTCTGCTTTGTGTTAAGACAAGTCTCCTCACTCAATTCAGAATGGGACGTCTGGCGTTTTCTCTATGATCGCGAACTGGTCTTGACAAATCAAAAAAACCCTACATGGAGCCCATACTCCACACTGCACCGGAAAATCTGAGGAACCCATATTCCGCAAAAACAGGACCATCCCCCATTTCCAGCTCCAGCTTGCATGCCTGTTAAAAAGTGTGTGTCTGTGTGTGTGTGAGTCAGCACGACACTCTGGCTTTTCCTGACGCAGGGCAATGTGCTAAACTGTAGGCTCAAGACCTTGATGTGCAAGCATGCAGCGGCTGCCATGAAGAAGTTCATCTAGGCGTGTAGGGACTTGTAGTCATGGCATGTTTCTCACCTGTACAAATGGCAGTCTGTGCACTCAACTGGCTACATATGCGAAAGAAATGCTTCCGAGACTGCGTGCCCGAAAATATGTATGTCGGCTGATTTACTAGTGAGACAAGTGTGTGACCTGCGTAACTGAGGTAGATTGTACTGCGCAAACTGGCGCAGCACAAAGAGTGTCAAACTGGTTGCAGTGGCCTTGCAGGCCTGTTGCGCACATGTGCTTGTTGAGGGGGTCGCTGCTGACAAACATGGTGCGTGTGTGCGTGTGTGTGTCTGTGTGTCAGCGGGTTTGTCTTCTGAGCGGTCCTTGCGCGTCGCGATGATCTCGGTGACAGGTTGCTTCATGAAGAAGCGCTCAGCTCCATGTGTTTTTCTTCTCTGAAACGCATTCTCTCATTGTGATTCATTTGGCTGCGCCGCTGTCTGTGCGTGTACTGATGTTGGTTCGTACCTCGAAAGCCTCCTTGATGAAGTTGCTGGCGCAGAGGCTAAGACTCCCTACGCTGCTGCACCGATCTCGTGTTGTTCGTGGTCAGCGCCTTTGCGTGCGACACTCCCACTTAGCGCGCGGTTGCTTGCCAGTGATTTTGGCTTGCTTGCTGGTGGCAATCCCCGTTACTCGTTGTCTTCGCAAGGCATAAGCTGCCTTCTGATTGCCCTTGCTCTGACAATCTTGCCGTAGAACCCAATGAGGAGTTCGCCCGTAGCCTTGCCAAGCCAGGCTGCATTGTAGAACCTTGGCTCGTGTTCGGACTGTGGGTAGCATGTAGTAGTCTGTATTGCTCTCCATCTGTTGAAGTAGCTTGTTGCTCCATCCAACAATTCCAGGCAATAGCGGCATCTCTGATGTGCGCTTTGAGTGTCCAAAACACTGCTCTGTGCGCTCGCTCACCTCTTGTCGCCATTTTTGTTGGCCACGCTTTCGATCAATGACTTTGTTCACTGCGCCGCTACCATTGCAAAATGGGAGAAACTTAGAACCTGCCTCCTGACATGCAAACCTGAGTGTATGTGTGTGTGTGCGTGTGAATCACTGTAGCTTCCCCTGATGCAAGGCAACGTGCTATAATGTAGGCTAAAGGCTTGATGTACAAACATGTAGTGGCTGTCACATGTAATGCAAGCATCAAGAGACGCTGTATATTAACATTACCAGACAAATATATATATATATATATGTATGTATATCTGCCGACAACAGACGGCGTGTTGGACATGAACAATGCTCTGATCCTTTCGTTTGATTCCCCCCGGACCGCTTGTAGTGCAACATCGCCAGCATCATCAGCATCATCAGCATCATCCACATTGGTGGCCGCTAAGGATGCGGATGGTGCAAGTGATGCTGGAGATGTTGCCCACGCTGGTGAAAGGAAATCTGGAAAGACATGAAGTGAAATGAAGGAAATGGCAAATAAGAAATAAAGGAACATGAAGGGAAGTGAAGGAAGATCTTGAGGGGGAAAGGGGGGGAGAAGATCTGCAGGGGGGAAAGATCTTGGGGGAAAAGGGGGGAACAGATCTTAGCGGGGGGAAGGGGAGAAAAGATCTTAGGGGGGAAGAGTGGGAAAAGGGGGAGAAGATCTTACGGGGAGACTTCCAAAGGGAGAGGTCCAATGGCCTAGTTCCAATGGCGATATGGGTCAATTCCAAAGGGACTCAAATAAGAAAGCAGGCTTGTAATGTCGGCGGCCTGAGCCGGAGGCGTTATAAAATATATTTATTGTGTCCCTTCTAGGCCTCAACTTCCGGTTCCCGTGGGCAAAACAACCGCCAACCGCCAGCGAGTCCGATGAAAATGTCGGGGGCCCCGGGCAGTTGGGCGCGCTGGCGAGGTCCGCGGCATCGCCTTTCGCGAGGATCTGGAACCAGGCCTCGAGATCGAGAGGAGCCGGGACCGGCAGCGGAAGCGGAAGCCAAGCAGTTTCGACCTCGCTTGGAACGGACAGTCGTTCGGCTTGAGATGTTTTTGTTTGGTTCCGCAAGACCGCGGAAGGTTCCTTAAAAGGCTCCCAACAGGTCCGATGGATTTCGAGGAAACCAAAAAGGTTCCAGAGCCAAGACCCTGAGGCAGCTCCCCGTTCTATTTGGAGAGGCTGGGGATGTACCCTGCCTTTAAAGGGAAACCAAGAGGAAACCGCTCTTTTCCTCCATGCTCCGTGTGTGTGTGTGTGTGTGTGTGTTTTTTCTTTTTCTTTTTCTTTTTTTTGCGGCGCCATTCAAAAATGAGTTAATGTTCGAATATGAGTCAATGTTCGGAGACAAAGCCATGTGGCGCGAGGGAAATAAGAATGTCTCTTGCTGTACACGTTGTGTGATGTTGAGGAGGGGTTCTTGTTGAGAGGTGTTGACCTGAGCAAAATACCATAATTATCGCACCGAAAACGGGTTCCTAATTTTCAGGAACCCAAAGTTATCAATCTCATATTGGGATCATCCCAACCCGAATCGGTGGGGAAGAACTTGCGCAATGTGTAAGAGCAATGAAGACCTTGAGATGGTCAAGGGGATCTTTTGCAGGGAACCAAACGAAAACCCTAGAAACACACCAAGAACAGTGATGGTTCAATACTCGTTCGCTGGTTGCAACCGATCTCCTGGAGAACTTCTGGCATTCCTTGGGTCCCAAGAAAAGTAACATCTTCGGCACCAAAGCTCTTCGGGTTTCCTTGGAGTCGACTGGACTGGATTTCGAAGGGGCATTCAGTGGTCCGATGCCGTATGCTTTGGGGCGTCCATGAAATTTTGGGCTCCGCCAATGCTTTCTTTATTTTGTTTCTCTCTTTTTCATTTTTTTCCGCATTTCCGTAGGGGTTGCATTAACTTCCCCAAAAAGGAAAGCTTTCGCCTTCCACACCCTCCAATCAGCTTCGGTACAATCGAGTGCCCACTTGTGTGCCAAAGTCGCAAAGCCAAGTTTCCCCCCCAAAAAAAAACATGAAGAACAAAAAAAGGCGCTAATTATGTGTTAAAAACCGAGAAACCCCAAGTTTGCCCCCCCCCCCCCCCCAAAACGAGGAAGAACCACAAAACGCCCCAGCCATCGCCCACGAGCACCCCACAATCGCGCGGCCCGCGCCTCGTTGATGACCGCAAAGGCGGCCTCCGAGCCCACCAATCCTTCAGTCCCGGGGTCCATGGCTCACATCGCCGGGAGAGAAAAAAAGCCGCACGCGAGGAAACGCAGGTGGTGGCTTGTGTTGGTTTGAGTTTGCTCCGCGAGCTGGCACAAAACGCGCCTTGCTGGTGGAGATATGTATATGCAGAATTATATATTATATATATAGTTGGTATAGGTTGACTTACGCATTTGACTATTCAAAACAGGGCACGTTGCTAGCATATCTGTAGATAATACATAGCACAGGCATCATACATCGCTAAGTTGGGCTCTCCCGACGAAACCGGCCCCCCAGTCAAGCCCGGGCGCGGGATTCTCCTCGCGGAGCGAGCTCTGAGCTCTGAGCCAAGAGACGAATCCCGTGGTCCCGTGATTCGGAGAATCCCGTGGTTTTCTCGGGTCGGTCGCTCGGCATTCCACTTCGCTGCCCGATCTTCCGAATCGATGCCTTTCCCAAGGGCAACAAAGAGTCGATCCCTTGCCTGGGCTATGTCGATCTCGAGTCCAAGAAAACCGGGAGCACTTCGATTCCAGTCGCTCGCGGAAACTTTCTGACCGAATCAAATCCTCTCCGTACCACTAGGATCAAACTGGCTGGGGTGGAAAATGGTCCCACGTAACACGTGGGAGCCTTCTCGAAATACCTCTTGGGTGGCCCGCCTGCCAACAGCTTCCATGAATAGAAGTCGGGAAACAAATCTCTCAATTCGCAAATAAGAAACAAACATGCTTGGTTCCCTCAAAACAACAACTCGTATTTACTCGTATTCACTTGCTCGCTCACTCTTCTTGGTTCCCTGTTGCGACAAACATTGGTTCAAAAACCTGAAAGCGATGTCCAAGTAAAGCGCCCCTGAGCTGGCTTCAAGCCCCGCCCCGGCTAGCTCGCCACAAACCGCGCGAGAGAAAGAACGGAAAAAAGAGGACCTAAGAAAAGAGGAATGCTAGTCATGCTAACTTACAGGCAGGGAACGACCTCTACCTTCATCCTTGTATTCAAGCACCCAGCACATCGCCTGAGAGAGGCTCAGAGCGAGCGACTTACCACAAACCCGTTCAGTTTGCTTCGTTACACCGACATGGCGGACGTCTGCAAGCCAAACCAGAAGAGTCACAAGAAAAACGGAGGGTCTTCTGGTTCCTTTTTCATGGGGGGTCCTTCCATCCCGGCGCAGGTTTTGGACGCGCAGCTCTTTCCCTGCCGGCAGCGTTCTCACATCTTTGGCCTGGGAGCGAGGGAAGACGCGAACGTCGGGTCCGGGTCTGACACGTCTGGGGGTTTGCTCCCCGCTTTCATAGTGTCAGGACCTCCGACCTTCCAATGGATTCAGCCACAAAACCGCTTTTCAAAGGTTCCGGAAGCGTCGGAAAAAACCAGAGGTACGAAAACCATCTGGCATCTGGGTGAGTGAATTTCTTGCCATTTGGGGTAGAGATCTCTTGCAATGGCACCTTCCAGGTGGCTCTTCCTTTGGCTTTCCTTCAAATCCTGGGTTCAGCATAAAGATCGCGTACTCCATATTTGCTCTGGTTGAACTGATCTATCCCAACTCACACTTGGAGAGTTCTCGCAAAACAACGAGTTCATTACTTGGAAGAATTTACTTTATCATATACTTGGAGTTTGCTTGAATATGTCCATACTTGGAATTTACTAGTTGCCCAAATCCAAGCTCGCCCCAAAGTCAGTCGCAACCTGATTTTGGGAGAAAAAAATGAGCCTTCATGAACCCGCGCAACCTGGTTGATTCCTCCAAAAGTAACATGTAACCACAGCGTTTCCGAGCTGAACAACGCTTTGCCACGCGAGCCATGGGGTTACAGCCAAATGGATCGCTTCCTGTGCCAGGCAAGGATTCCTCTCAACCAAAACATTAACAAAAAAAAAATGAGTACCAACCGTAACTCGGAAGATCGCAATCTCTCGAAACGCGTTGGCGGCCAGCCGTTTCTGGTCCCCACCCCCGTTCTCGCCGGGCCAGATCCGCCTGGGGCTTCTCCTATCGCCAGGGTCCCTCTCCACGGAGCTGCGACTTTTGGGATCGACTTTTGTTACCTGGCTGTGGTTGTCAAAACCACTGGTACCATGGGGTAGGTGAATTCACCACCCATTTTAGGACCTATTCTAGTGGGGATTGGTTGATGTTCACTGGGAGTATGGCCACCGTAAGTGACGTTTCGCAACCGGACCGGTTGACCAGAATCCAATCGAACTTTAGTTCACGGGCGTGAAACGTCCATGAAGCTGTACTGGAATCAGCTAGCTCCAGCGTTTGGTGAACCAACGCGCCTAAACTGACCTCACATCTACGAAACCATCCCGGGAAATGAGCCCAACCCCTGCGTTTTGGAGGTCGTTACCTGATGTCCGCGAGGAAACGAGCGTGTCTGTTTCTTGAGGGTGCCCTTCTTAGAGCTCAGACGAGGACAAAAGAAGCAGCACCAAAAATTGTCAAGGGGGGGCTCATGCCCTATTTTGAGACATACCCCGTATGAATCAACTCTTTGTACCGGCATATGAAAAATCTTAAGGAACAAGGGTATGAGCTCTTTGCACCATATAAAATCCCAAGGAACAACAAGACCGATTCCCCAAAGAGCAGCCCCCCAAAAGCACCACCAAACCGCAGGAAAAACCCAACCCACCGTCACCGTCCGCCACCCACTCCCGGCCGGGCCCCGGGCTTCTTCTGCTGCCGGACGTAGGGCGCCGACAGCTGGTCCCCGGCAAACCTCAGGCCCGCGATTTGCCGCGAGGGGCGCCGGAGATGGATTTTTTTCGATTTGGCGCCTGAACCGAAATGGATTGAATGGGAATTTGTCTGTTGGGGGGCACCGGATGGATCTTGATTTTGCTGAGCCGAAGTGGAGTTTGAAATTTTGGAATTGGTCTGTTGGGGAAAGAAGAAGAAAACCCGGCCCTTTCGGTTCAAACGCAGAAAACATGGAGAATCCCCTAATTCCCTGCACCCTTCCCTGGGGGATCAAATGTGGAACACATGGTTGGTCACTTGCGAAAGGACTTCCCCGAGCACATTTCCGTTGAGGGCCCTCTTGCTTTGTTTTCCGAAGTCCGCGGTTGGCACATACCCCGAGTTGCTATCAATGTTGACTCAACCTCACATCGCTCATGTTTGTTGGGGCAGGATTTAGATTGTGATCATACGATGTTCACATATAACAAATTGGATATCGATCCAAATTCCACACTGAAATTCAATGTACTGGCTTCGGCGTGGTCCACAAGGTCATGTTGACACCAGTTGCTTCCTTCGGCGAGACTATTGGCAACGATATCATGTTCGCTTCAACTCCAACAAGTGTAAGGGCACTAGGTTTTGAATAGGGGGTCTAGAACAAATAACAGCCATCCTCCGGCTGTCTTTAGTGGAGATTGACACGTCGTTCTGTGGGCGTCTCGTTGAAACGATTCGAACCACAGGGCAGCTGTCTCCATCAACCAAAAACGGGCGTGTCCACAAAGAGCCCGCCCCCAAAAAAAAGAAACATGGTGGGTGTCCTTTTGGTTTCCCTTTTAAGCCAACTAAAAGGCGGTTCAAAGGACACCCGATGGCAGGCTTTCCTGCTGAAACACGGGAGGCCTTTTGGCTGTCTCTGCAACCTTGCTGCTCAGAGAGTGACACTTCCGGGTTTTTGGGAATAAACCCTTTGGGATTCCCTATATATATACAAATTACACCAGCGTAGACCCCAGATAGCACATCGCGGCTACGAACCATTATGCAGCATCATCATGGTTCCCGAGGCATCATGATGATGTTGACAGCATCATGATGATGTTGAAAGCATCACGCACAGCCACTCAGCATGTGCGCTAAATAGACACGAAGACAGCGTCCTAATGAGTTCAGCAGCAAAAATGATGATGTTGACAGCATCATGCTGATGCACCAGCAACGAACGATCCCGCGCCACATATCTAGCAGAAAAAAGGCAGAGACGACGTCCTGATGAGTTCGACAGCATCATGATGATGCGGACAGCATCACGATCATGCGGACAGCACCACCATGATGCGGACAGCATCATGGTGATGCGAACAGCATCATGGTAATGGTAAAATTGAAAAGGCAGCATGATGATACCACAGCCACGAATCTTCTCGCGACAGCGTAGTGAAATTCAGCATAATCCTGATGTTGGCAGCAATCATGGCGCCACCACACCCACGAACCATAACGCAGCATCGCAGCATCGCAGTGACAGCAGCATCATGACGCGGGTGACAACATCATGATGACACACCAGCCACGAACCACGCACCATGACAAACGACTGTTAGACTACTAGAGCAGCAACAACGTCCGAACCGGTTCAACACCCTGCCGTCCATATGCGCCCACACCGTCACCAACACCTCAAGACAGCAGCCCCAACAGCACCCCAACGCAGCACCCACACCAGCATTGAACAGCTCCCCGAGCACCAAGCACCTTGCCGTCACGTACTGTCACCAGCCCGAACAGCACCTCAAAACTGCACCTGCGCCAGCGCCCCAAAGTGCATGCCCCCTAGCTCCCAACCGTCGATCTTGCAACACAATCCCACTTCTTCATTAGAAGTTAGAACCCCGGCAACCCAACACAGCAGTTGCACCACCACCCCAAACTGCGTCAAGCTCGCAAAACAGCACCAGCACCCCGAACTACATCTGGCACCCGGCCGTCAATCTCGCAAAACAGCACCTCCACCAACACCCGAAACTGCATGCCCCTAGCACCCGGCCATCACTCTCGCAAAACAGGCAAACACTCTCGCAAAACAGCACCTCCACCAACACCCCAAACTGAATGCCTTTAGCACCCGGCCAACTCTCGCAAAACAGCACCTCCACTAGCACCCCAAACTGCATGCCCCCTAGCACCCGGCCATCACTCTCGCAAAGCAACACCTCCACCAGCACCCACTGCATGCCCCGTAGCGCTCGGCCATCAATCTCGCAAAGCACCTTCACCAGCACGTCACACCTGGCACCCGGCCGTCAATCAGCACCTCCACCATCACTGTCGCAGAACAGCACCTCCACTAGCACCCCAAACTGCATGCCCCCTAGCACCCGGCCATGCAAAACAGCACCTCCACCAACACCCCAAACTGCCTGCCCCCTAGCACCCGGCCATCACTCTCGCAAAACAGCACCTCCACTAGCAGCATGCCCTTTAGCACCCGGCCATCACTCTCGCAAAACAGCACCTCCACTAGCAGCATGCCCTTTAGCACCCGGCCATCACTCTCGCAAAACAGCACCTCCACCAACACCCCAAACTGCATGCCCCCTAGCACCCTGCCATCACTCACGCAAAACAGCACCTCCACTAGCAGCATGCCCTTTAGCACCCGGCCATCACTCTCGCAAAACAGCACCTCCACCAACACCCCAAACTGCATGCCCCCTAGCACCCGACCATCACTCTCGCAAAACAGCACCTCCACTACTAGCACCCCAAGCTGCATGCCCCCTGGCACCCGGCCGTCAAGCTCGCAAAGCAGCACCTCCACCAGCACCCCAAACTGCATGCCCCCTAGCACCCGGCCCTCAATCTCGCAAATCACTTTTCCTTCTTTATTAGAAGTTAGAACCCCTATAGCTTTCAGCTATCTGGGGAAAAAAAAAAAACCGGGGATGGCTTAGTTCATCGGGAAACCCCCTTCCCGTTCCTTGCCCAGCCAAAGCGACGCCCTATGGCCGGCGGCCGGCCGCGAACGGGCCCAAGTCCCCGGCTCCTTGACGATGCTCTCGACCCAAGACAGGCGCTTCGCCTGCAAACAACGATGCTCTCCAGAAGGTTCGAAAGCGATGCTTTGAACCCCCCATCCCCCATGCCCCATCCCCCCCATCCATCCATTTTTGCGGCAGGCCGTTTTGTTTCTTGGTTTTTCCCCATGTTTTTTTGTTTTTCCCCCCGCTATTCAACAACGTAGTTGGTGCCAAGATGGGATTGAGCTCCAATACTTGCAATGTCCTTTTTGGCGGCCAAAAAAAAAAATGTGCCCTCAAAATTTGAAATGACCCAAACCAAGGAGGCCCCTTGGATAGTTTATGAGGCACATCATTTACAGGCAACTTGAACAGAGGCAACCTACCTGAATGCCCTGGAGGTGCTATTCGGGCAGGACTTCTTCAATTGGAAATGGGCGGTTTGGTGGGCAAAGGGGGACTTCTGCACCCCGTTTTGAAGGTGTGAGAATTCATAGCTTGGGATGTCCTTTTGAACGGCGCTGAACGAATGTGGCAAGCTACTGCTTTGATCCTGAAGCATGCAAGAAGACAAGCACGTGGGTAAACAGAGCTTTTCCCAACGGGATAGGTGTGACAGTGGCACTTGCTTGAGTTTTCAGAGCGACGCCAAGGCCAAGAGGCGAGGCAAGTTCATAGGGGATGGGTGCCGTGAACTCTTGGACTAACCTTGGCATCGGCGAACCATCGCATTCTGCGATTGCCAGCCCCATGTCTTTACACTTCAATCAAACACGTCATTGTCCACATAGCTGCCTCAACCGATGCATGTCACAAGGTGCCACAAGGTTTGTATAGCAGTGGTTTCTCGGTTGTGGCAGTTAGTAGTAGTTGCCTCAATGCAGTCATTGCCTCATGGTAGTTGCCTTAACACCCTATTTTCCCCAAGCCCCAAGTAAAGCAACTTCATGGTGAGCTCGTTTCACCCTCCGAATCCGTGGAACTGCTCGCATTAAAATAGCCAAGTTGTTTCTAGTAGTTGCCTCAAGCAGTTCCTTCCTTAAACGCCCTGAAAGATCTCTCATGGGAAACTCGTCTAAAAGAAACCACAAAAGTGATGTCTAAACATAGGCAGCCCACACCACGCTCCGTCCGCTTCCTTCCGATTGCTTCAACAAGCTCAACCCTAGGGTGCATCAAACATCATATGTTCAGATTCGATTTCAAGCCTTATTTTGACACCCCCAAGCATGGTTGCCTCGGTGTTCCGACTCCAAAAATATCAACCTACATACCCAACCGGCCTTTCCGCCTTTCCCGCAAACTCCAACGATTTCTGCGATCTCCGCCGCGCTCGGATTCCCGGATTCCCGGATTCCCGCCGGGTTCCCGCCGCCTCTCTGCGCTCCTTGCGGTAGTCCTCGATCATCGTGTCGGCGTGCTTCAGGGCTTCAGCGATCTGGGCCTAAGTGGGCAAAAGCCGATCACATCTGTGGGGTGAAATGGGTGCCCTCGCGCAGATGTTATTTTCAAACACGACAATCCAAGGAGTGGGAATCGCGGAGGTTTCAGGGAATGGTTTGCAAGGAGCCCAAAAACAATTGGTTGCTCATTGTTTTCGGAGCCGGCACCTGCTTCAAAGCCAACCAGTTGGCACCCTTAAAATCCTTAAGGCTGCTTTGGAAGAAATCAACACAACCAAGAACGAGTGGAGTTGTCTTCGGAGTTGGTACTCTTTATCGTTTGAAGAAAAAAGGGGGACCCCAAAACAGATGGTGTTCCTCTGGGTCGAACAACTCCACGGCGCGAAAACGCCGGAAAGCCGGGGACTCCCCTCGCCCGGACTCCCGCTCCGGACTCCGGCCTTGCGGTACTCGCTCTTGTACCATCGCTTCAGCCCCCGGGGCTCGCGGTCCTCGCCGGCCGATGGGCCGGCCGATCCGAAAGCTTGGGACCCGGCAGACATGTTTTGGCTCGAGGTGGAGGCGAATCGGATTTTTGTTCCCTGCCATTCCATCTGGCCTCTCGCTGAAAGGGTCCTTGACATCAAACGGAATATGTTCAGCTCTCGACATGTTCCCATCCAAGATTGGGAGCTGCAAGAAAAGGCGGAGCCTAAATCAAAAAGCTGAGAGAGTCGTGACTTGGGTCCAAGCTCCCCTTCAATCGGCACGCTCTTTGAGTCCTTGAGAAACGCATGCCCGTGAACTCACCAGCCAATGGATGCTCCGAGTGCACCAAACTTCAACAGGGCCACGGTGCGGCGCAATGCCGGAGCTTCGGAGGGGTCTCGTTTTGGAGGGTGCCGCTAGGTTTGGTTTGGTCCAGAAAACGAGAGCCGGGTGTCAGTATTTGAAGGCAAATGAGCGATGATCCACCAACCCCCGAGTGAAACAACCACCATCTTCCGTACAGAAATGGACAGGCCAAAGGACGAGAACCCTTCAACTGCTGTTCACGAGAAGGTGAGGCAACCTAAAAACAGGATAAGTCACAGGCTATGGCTCGGCCCAGAGGACCTGGAAATAAACGCGGTTTACCTATGAGCCGGTTTGAGGGTGAAATTCCAGGAACCTACAAAAGGTCAGAACCTACAGTTCTGGAATCAGAAATTCCAGTTTGGAAGGAAAACTTCTGACCTACAAAAGTTGGCGACCGATTCTCGGTCAAGGGGTGAAAGCTGCACGGAGTACCGAATCCCCTGTATCAAGCAGGGTTTGACTCATCAATCCACTGTTCCCATTCGCTTAACCCAAACCCTTTGATTTTGATCGGGGGGTGTCCCACTTTTACCCCAAAGAAAGTACACCCCAAAAACCATCCCGGAACCTTCACAGATTTGCGGTACATGCAGGTGGCACGACCCCAAAGACAGCAACGGTGCGAACGGAGACAGGCGGTCATGAATGTGCAACTTGCCCTGGTAGTAGTCATCGGACCACACCCACGGCAGGCTGTTCAGCAGGTACTGCTTCTCCACGTCTGCCTGTCGCACTGCTTCGCAAACGGTCCGGGGCCAATGGCATGCGCATGAACTTGAAATTGGAATTCAAAACTTTGTGTCGGACATCTCTTTGGTGGGGGGGGGGTCTGTCCAACCACTTTTGAAGTGGCTCCAACTCTTTAAGGCATATGGCTGTGGCTCAAAAAACCGGAACCACAATCGAACCCTGGTAAGTGGAAACATGGACCAAAACCTGCGTAACCCCTCCTGTTTAATTTTGAGCCACACCCATATATCAGAAGTACCGGAGTCCCAGCCATGGGAATCACTGCCTGATGCGAAGACCTCTCTTGGGAAGTTTTTGCAGACTGCGCAAATGAGTCCTAAAAGTGATCCATCGACATTGCCACTTCATAAGAAGCAGTCAGCTCAGCGCGCACCCCTTATGAATCCGCGTCTCGCGAACCTGGTCGCTGCAGTGAAGAGAAGCCTCTCAGGCTAAAAAAAAATGCCTTTCCCCGGTCCCATTCCACAACCCCTGCGCATGTCCCTCTCGCTTCCCTAGCAGACGGCAACGGCAAAAGGCCACCGTGTTTCAGTAGTCGAGGGCCTTGCCTAGCAATAAATTGCTTTCATACATACACCCCCCCCTACATGTTTTTTCATCTTCCATCTTCTACCCTTATTCGTTTTGATCATTTTTCTACATTCCTTTCTGTCCATCTCATCCGTTTTTTATCATCATTTTTCCAAAATTTTCGCCATCCTTTTCTCCTTCCTCCTCGCCTCATTCATTTCACCAACTACCCTTCAAAATGTCATTTCCTCAATCTCCTCACCTCATTCATTTCAAAAAAATAAATTTTGCAAAATATATTGCAAAATATATTTGTCATCAAAAAAATATTCGAACTGTCTAAAAACGATTTGTCCATTTCTCGGACAAAAAATAGAACAGCAACAACATCACTCCCCTCCTTCGTTTCATCACGTTTATCATATATTTTTTTAGGCGTGGTGTCCCTTGTAGGATTTTATTGGGTTTTATGGTGTGGGGTTTCAACCGTCGGCGCCGCTCACTTGCCACGTCTTCATCTTCTACCACATTCCAGAGGCGGGGCGGAGGATATGGGATGGGGGCAAAATCGGTGATGTCCACCCCAAAATCTGTGATGTCCACCCCAAAATCTGTGATGTTCACCCCAAAATCGGTGATGTCCACCCCAAAATCGGTGATTTCCACCCCAAAATCGGTGATTTCAACCGTGAAAATGGCACTTTCGGCAATAGGTTCGCACAGCCCCAGATGATGAAAAAGGCGTTTTGTCCTAGCACCATCAGCATTTTTGACCAAGCAGTTTTAAGCTTTTTGTGGGACACCCGACGCCGTGCCAGGTTGATGAGCGAGCACGACAAGCTTGGGTGCGCCCCCTTTTGACTGGGGGGCAGGGCGGGCTGGCTTGGGTTTTGGGTTTGCTGGTGGGTCCCTCCCTCTCCTTGTCTTTTATGTGTTTGTTGTGTTTTTTCCCGCGCAGGTATCTTCATCGTCTTCTTCGCCTACGAGACCGAGCCCTACTAGGTAAGGACTTGGCCGGGAGGGCTTTTTTCTGGGGCGGGGTATATATATATAATATATAAGGGGAAACTCTCGCCAATTTTTTTGTGCCCTGTTTGGCAATTGGTGGGAGTTTCCTGATATATCTATATGAATATTGGCGTTTTCTAAATTTGATAAACTATGGATTATCCCCTTAAAAATTAATATTTTCAATTTTATAGAATTCCATTTTTTACTGTGTTGTCGTTGGATGAACCTAGAAATTTCAAGTTTCAAGCCCAACCCCAAACTCAAAATCCTTAATCCGTCAAACTCACTAAGATTTCACAAATTAATTCGCTAGGTATTTTATATAGGTCTTTTTGCTTATGTATTGTTGGATTGTCTCCCCAATTTTCCTTGGTGCCCGATGGCAGTCTCTGTGCGGTTTCAATATGTTTATTATTCCTGATGTTGCCACAATCCTTTTTACATAATTCTCTAGGTTTCCAAGTTGTAATGTTATTCCAGAGCCTAGTGCGTTTTCTGTAAGGCATTCCATATTTACAATAATCAACATCTTTAAAATCAAACTCATCCATAAACTCCTGATGTTTTAATAATCCAGTTTGTGGATTTTCGATTACAAAATATTTAGGATTGAAATATTTGATAATCTCAATAGTTTTTAAGACAATACTATTTGCATATTCGATATTCCTAATTCCCCTAGTTTTTGCTACACTATATTCAGTGCATGGGGGACTACTCCAAATAAAATCAAAATGGTTTCTGTCAAACTGTTTGTAATCCCACTCCAAAATATCAGTGTTGATATCAGCATGTTTCAAGTCTAATGATATCACATTAAATCCAAGCGACTTTGCTATGGTTCCGACGCTTTTTGTTCCGCTAAATAATTCTAATAAATTCATTTATTAGAATTATTTAGATATTAATTATTCAAATAATACATATACTCCATCATCATTTTTTGAAATTTTATAAAATTATAATGTTTGTTGCTTTGGTTGTTTGATTTTTCCTGTATTCAACATATCACAGTATTTCTTTTGCTTTGTAGGGTAGTCGCCCGATGGTCTTCCTATAGATTTTGCTTGAAATATCTTTTCGATTTTCTCCTTCTCTTCGTTGCTTTGTTGTTCGCGTTCAACTGGTTTCATTTTGTCATCAATGGATTTCATCATATCATTTAAGTTTTTGATATTTTTACCAATTAATGTTATCTTCTTCATTAAATCATTAATAGTATAATTTTCATTTTCAGACATTACTATATATTTATTTAGATATTTATTTATTTAATTATATATTTTCATCATTTGTTTAACAGTTTCCTGTGTTTCGTTTTCATTATTATCGGATGGTGTTGCTTGCCTACCAAATTTAAAAGTTATATTATGGACATCAGTTTCTAAGTTGATACTGTCTTTAGTTTTATCAATATTCATTTTCTTATCATTTTTACTTATTTTGAAACTTGTTGGAATACATGAACATTTACAATTTCCTTTCTTCTGTATTTCTAACTCCTTTTTAAGTTCTAACATCTTTTTGCACATAGGACAAGCAACCTCAATTACTGCTGTTTCTTTAACAATTTCTCCGCTATCTTCATCAGTTGAAGAAACACTTAAACCTGTCTTATTTTTTTCTTTTTCTTTTTCACCATGTATATTAATATTTACATTTTTATTTTTGATATATTGTATCACAAACTTAATCAATTCTAATGAATATTAACAGCATTTTTTAGTTTTATTATCAGAAATTATTACTTGTTCTATATTTTCTACTTCATCTATTATATTAATATAATCTGAATAACTCCTATTCATATAAATAATAAGATAAAATAGTTATTTAATCTCATTATTTTCATGCATGATAGAATATTCGGAGGGCACAGCACTTGGGGTTTTCTTTACAATGCATCAAACTAATTAGCGCCAATGCTTTATTGATTGAAGCAATGGAAAAACCTGTTCCATTTTTATGGTATTCGCCACCAGCATATCATAAAAAATGATGTTCCATTTAATATTAATTACAAGTGATTTTTATATATATATAATTTTCTATATATCTTTAATATCAATTATGACAGATGTTCCAATAATAAAACCAATAAACATAACTGAATATGAATTCAAACAATCTAAATATGAGCACGTGCCAAAATTACCATTTAGAAGTATTATAGTTGCTTCTTCGACAGGCGGTAAGACTGTCCTTATTCAAAATCTAATATTGAATGTTTATAGAAATTCATTTGCAAGAATATTTATATTTTCACCCAGCGTCCATAACGACCCTACATTTACAGAAGTTAAAAAATATATCAGGGACGAATTGCACGTGGATGATGAAAAAGAACAAATTTGTTTTGATAATTATAATCCAAGTGATTTAGAAAATGTAATTGAAAGACAGAAGAAAATAATTAATTATATGAAATCTAAAAAGATAAAGAAACTACATTCAATATTAATCGTTATAGATGACCACGCAGACGACCCTCAATTTGTTAGATATAGTAAATTATTACATGGATTATTTACAAGAGGCAGGCACGATGCAGTAAGTGTGATTTGTTCAACACAAAAATACAATGTGTTAGCGCCTATCATTCGTTTAAATGCCAGTTCATTATATATTTTTAGGTTGAAAAATGCCAGTGAATTAATGAGTTTTATTGAAGAAAATAGTGCCATTGTTGACAAACAGCAATTATTAGATATGTATCATCAAGCCGTCAATTTTGCTCCATATTCTTTTTTCTACGTGAATATGAATTCAAAAGACATTAATAAAATGTTTCATATCAATTTTGAACAGGCATTTCAAATTACAAATGATGAATAAAGATATTCTAACTTAATATAATATAATAATATGCCAGTGAAACTATGTAGATGTGGTGGATTGTATCGTAGAGGTAATTATAATTTTCATACTAATTCTTGGATACATAAACTTTATAAGGCATTGAAGAGGAGGGCAACGGACGAGGAATTATTAAGACTTCAAAATAATTTTGTTGATGAAGAAGACTTAATAGATGAAACAAATAGCACTGTTTCAACATCAACGCCAAAAAGTGAAAGAAGTTGTATAAGCAATTAATAACATTATTAATTTAAAATAACGAATATCTACATAAATTCAAAGCAGGTAATTTAAAATATATTTTATCTTTTTTACATTCATTAACTTTTTCTAATTTGTTTATTATTGCTTTCAATGAATTTATTTGTACAATATCAATTCTTGACATTTCACTTATCGTATTTACATCTATATCTTTTATTACTTTAATAGCCTCTTCATCATCAATTTCTACTGGTTTTGATTTACTTGAACCCATTATATATAATATTATTTAGGTTTTAATTTTTCAAAATTGAAATGTAGGTTTTCTTCTTCTTCTTCGTCTTCAGTTGGTGCTGGTATTTCTGTTGGACTTTCAGATGAAGAACTATGA